CAGCTTTGTATTCACCATATCAACTCAAACGTTATGCTTAAAGCCAAGCAGAAGTAGCTTCAGAGCTATTCTAGTAGTAGTAGGTCTGAAGAAGACGATCTAGCTCCACAACCAGTTACCGAACTTAGCAATAAGGACCATGCCTATATCCATACTTCAGTAGATAGGGCTACGCCACATAGCTACCGGGGGGTTCTTATAATGTGGAAGTTGGTTCTATTTGCTGAGACAGAGGATGCCTTTAGGAAAGCATGGGCAAACCTTTGCAAAGAGTTTAAGGACCAACGGCCTATTCTGAACTACCTGCATGGAATATATCTACCACTAAGGGAGCAGTGGGCACGTTATTCTATTCGCCAGTACCGAAACTTCGGCATCCGTGTAACCTCAGGGACGGAATCAAGCAACAACAACATCAAGGGCTATCTTCTTAATGGACTTAGCCACCTATATCACTTAGTTAATGTGATGCAGGATATGCTTAAGGATCAAGAGGTTCGCTTTAAGCAAGCTTGTGCACAGGATGAGATCCTCACAAGCCGTAAGTTTATAGGGAACAGATCTGAGTACCTTGGGGAGCTTCGAACAATACTCTCATCGCAGTGTCTTGGTTTGATTACGAAGCAATACCGTCTGGCAAAGAAGGCTCTACCAACAGGTAGAAATCCATTTCCAGCGCCTCTTAGAGACTGCATAGAGGACTGTACTGTCTCTATAGAGTATGGTATCCCATGCTGCTATAAGATCTACTCTAAACTTGTAGATAGGGTACAGTTTATGAAGGATGAGGTTCACCCACGATGGCGGCTGCGGGAGTCTTCTTCCCAGGATCTATATCGACGGATCCTTGATCCGAAGATTGCAGGAAACCTCCGTGGCAGACCTAAGAACTCAATGCAGCCAGTCCTATCATCCCTATCATTAAGGGATAGCACCCAATCAAGCAACCAGCTAGCTAGACAATCACATAGCTAACTACAAAGTCAACAACCTAGCCAATTAGCAGCAGGGCGCAGGCGTGGCAGACCACCAGGAAGCCGTAATAGGACCACCTTAGCAAGGCTTACACAAGAGACAGCCAGTAGCCAGGCGCCAACCTCTTCCCAGCGGCAGACACGAAGCCAAGTAACTACTCTTAGTACTAGCCGATCAACTGGCCTTCGTTCGAATGGAAGAAGATTACAGGCAAGCATCCGTAGGACGAGGAGTCAATGGGAACTACTTAGTAGTAGTAATGAGAGTCTCAAACGTTAAGGGTAGGGGGGGCATTCTTTATTATTATATAAGAGGAAATAGAAGTAGAAATCAATTAAGATTTATAAAAGCCGTTTCAGTTTAGTTTGATAAAACCTAATTCCTCCTTAGAAGGGAAGAAAAAGACCTACCATTTGAGATTTGCAAAAGCGGTCGTTTAGATGGTTTTGCAAATCTCAAATGGGAAGAATAGCCAAGAAACGTAGGCTAGTAGGGCGGGCCGGCTTTATGTCTATGAAACGGAGGCAGGCCTCTTATGGCTGTGAAAAGGTGGGGCGTTAGCAACGCTGGCCTCACCGCCTTCGCCGACTTGTACCTGTGGGTCACCAAAATTTCTAGCCAATCACAACCTTAGAATGTGATGCGTCCCTAAGGATGATGCGTCCCTATCAATTCGTGATGCGTCCCTATCAATTCCCAATTAATAACTTAATATATATTTCTTAATATTATTAGTAAGGTTTAGCTAATAAAACTTCTAAAAGATAAGTTTTATAGTCTTATTTAAGCTTATATATCTTACTTTAAGGTTATTATAATATTATTAAAGAATCTCTTATTTTAAGGATTTCATTTATAAAATTAATAATCTTACCTTATAATACTTAAAATATAATAATGTTTTATTTTACTAGCTTAATATTATATTTTCAAACTTATTATCTATATAATAATACTAATTAAAATAAGAAACTTAGATTTACTATAACAAGTATAATATTTACGTATACTAACTATATTAGTACGCTATAGCTTAGGTAGCTTGCCTTATAATAATCGGATCTAATAAACCGTAAGCAAAACAGACCGTACTCGCTAGGAACTTAGTAATTAATGTCCATAACCTTGGGTTTTAAGCCGCGCCCGGTGTGCATGCCAGCCAGCGCCATCGAGCGCCGTGGCCCTATAGGCCGCGTTGGCATGCTGGGCAATTTTGGGTCAGAGCGAGGTCTTCTTTTTTCATATTGCTACGAATGCGCCGTGTTTCATTCTTAAATTACCAATACGACAGATGGGCTGCTTGCCAAAGTATTTGAAGGCCATTCATCCTCTCAGGCCAGTCATGAACGTTCAAGTTTCGTATTGTCGTCTCGGTCCAAGACCCAGTTTGAGATGCAGCCCAATAAAACACTATCACCTGGCACTTTAGCCATCTCGTTCCTCCTGTGCGGTGTATGCACTGCAGTTGACCCGGCTGCAGTTTACGATGGTGGATTCAACTCTACTGATGATGCACCCATCCTCCTCCGTATAGGTAACGGGGGTGCGGGCCAAAGCGGCTTGGTTAAAGGTAACTAGCTATGAGATGCGTGCACGCCCATTGTTAACTGATCATCCTAGCGCTTGCGGATTCCTTTATTCAGGATAGCGTTAGAAATGGCTCGGTTCCCTTCCGTGTCGGCTGGGTTCTCAGCGATACCACTTTCACCATCAAGTATCTCCAGAGTGGAGATGCCGATGTTGGTATCACTTACACCCCCTCGGCTGAGAAGATTGCAATATCTCAGGGAATCGCTTCATCGGCTTATTACTATTACCTTTTCCGTGACCATTTCCTTATTACTGGACCTCCGGAAAACCCGGCAAAGATCAACGACACTAACGACGTCTTTGCCATCTTTGCGGATCTCTTCCAGGCCGCCGATCGTGCCAATAGCAGCATTCCTGTTCGATTTCTGAGCCGATATGACAAGTCAGCGACCAACATTAAAGAGTCTGAGCTCTGGATTGGAATCGGCCAGGTTAGTTTACAGACAGCTGAAAAAAAAAAAGAGAGAAAAAAGTTCTAATTCATCAGGTTCCATGGGCTACTGCATACTCGACCTGGTACCATCAATACATCAATTTTCCAATCCAGGCTCTTACCGCAGCAATCCAACTCAAAGAATATACTCTGACCGACAGGGGTACTTATCTGTCGCTTACTAGCAACCTTACCAGTCAAACTGTGATATATAAGGCGGCTTCCGACAACGAAACAGACCCTCTATTGAACCCCGCACATTTACTTGTCGGCAACAAGGCCAGAAACTTGACAATTGCACAACAGTTTGCTGACTGGGCTATAGGCCCAAGAGGACAGGATGTGATTGGCAACTTCGAAAAGAACGGACAACAGCTCTATAGTAAAGCGCCATAATGGGTTTGCTACTCAAGAGAAGTTATACGTACATTACTGCTAGTAATACCCACATTATCTTTACGATGGATGATGTACCCAGTCTTTCATTTTCCATTATTCATAGATCTGATGGCGCAATCAACCCACAAAAAGACATAATGACAGTGGAAATATTTCGTATGCCACGGGCCCTTAATAAAGACGGTTTGGTGGTCGGTTCTTTAAAGCTGTCGGTTTAAAACGTATCATACATGTCACCTTCCTATTTTGTCTTTTGATCGGTTCTTTTCGCTGATGACGGGCATATTCTTTTCTTTGAACACCCTGCCAAGACAAGTACATTTACTCGGCCATGTCTAACTTGACGGAAGCCTCGGACCTGAATGAGAGTGAGCGGGATCCCCCAATTACCGCCCGATCCCCATGTCCGAGTGCCGAGACCCGAATGTCTCGGCCGTTTTTCCGTTCCGTGCCGTTTCAGATCATTGTTGCTTGTGGAGTATCGTTTACGGCCCCAGGCATGTGGGATGCGTTAGGCGGGCTGGGAGCCGGAGGTGCTGCTGAGCCGTAAGCCTTGCAGCAGAATTTCCCTCTTTGATTTTTACACAAGGCTTACCATTTCTGAAGATATGCTGTATCTGCAGCCAATGCGCTTGTTTATGGTCTGTTCGCTATCGTTTGTGTGGCTGCTGGTGCCATCAACAATCGTATCGGCTTACCCTATGGACTTGCGATAGGCGCCATAGGCTACCCGCTCTTTGGTGCCGGGTTGTACACAAACAACGTTAGTGCCAACACATGGTTTATGCTTCTTGGAAGCGCTCTGTGCGGAATTTCAGCTGGGTTCTTCTGGGCAGCTGAAGCGGCAATCATCATCGGCTATCCTTCGCCAGGGGATCGCGCCTTTTACCTGGCAATTTGGCAAACAGCAAAGGCTGCTGGGCCAATTGTAGGTGGCGCCATCAATCTTGGATTAAATGCCAACAGGAAGACGACTGGCTCTATATCATCCTCGACATACATTGTATTCATAGTCATTATGTGCCTTGGGTTGCCAATCGCTCTGTGCCTGTCGCCTCCGACTAAAGTCTGGCGGCGGGACGGAACCAGGATCATCACTAACACCAGCTCCAGCTGGGGCGCCGAGTTCAAGGCCGTCGGAAAGCTGTTTATCAGCAGGAGGATTTTGCTTTTGCTTCCAGCGTTCTTTATCAGCTATTTCTACAATGGCTTCATGAGCACGTGGCTGGCTACTTATTTTACTGTTCGCTCACGCGCTTTCTCAAGTTTCTTCACAAACTTTGCAGGAATCTTCAGCTCCTTTCTCGTCGCTCTGCTGTTGGATAACCAGAAGATCTTCATCAAGACTCGAGGCCGCGTGGTATTTGTCTCTATTGTTGCTGTCCTTGTTGGAACGTGGATCTGGGCTTCAATCCTGCAAAAGCAGATTTACGATAAGGATGAGCCACCCGCGTATGACTGGTTCCAGGGAGGATTCGGTAAAAGCTACGCTCTCGTTTTTTTCTGGCAGTTCGGTGGCCAGGCCTTTCAGCAATTCCTTTACTGGCTTGTTGGCCAATATGCAGCGAATCTATCGGACTTGAGTCACCACACAGGTATCTTGAGGGGCACTGAGGCGTTGGGTCAAACCGTTGCCTGGGCGTAAGTCATCCTCCGTCTCCTTTCTATTTTGTTGCTCTTGTGGTTTATCTTCTTATTAAGCCTCCTAAGTGGCTTTTTACTTACAGCTTGAGTATAGGATGCAGTCCGAGGGCAACGCAAACCACTTTGTCAGCATCGGTCTCAACTTTGGCATCACCGTTCTATGCCTCATTCCTACGTGGATAATACTATCTGAGCTTGAAGCAAGTCATGAGAGCTCTATCGTGCAAGAAGAGATCCCGGAGAGGGTCGAGAAATCTCCGCATGAAGTTTAGTCGTAGGAAATTATGTCAACGAGTAAATGGCCTGCTACTCGTGCCGTACATAGAAGCAGTAGATGATAGGCGCCTGAGTACGGGCTCACCATTAGACATGATCTTCCGGTTATGTCTACTAATGTTGAAGATCGGTAATTCTCAGCACATGTTACTGGGCGGTAGGGAGCTCATAATGTGCGTGTCACCCGCGATTGGCGAGTCGAAATCATGGTTAACTTTTGCCTATCTCTAATATCTAACGCCCATCCTTTTCACCTTTACCTCCGATTCATACCCATGTGTCCAGATTAAGCACCTTGCATTGCGGGTCCTCGCCAGACCGTTGTACAAGGTGTCCCAGACGGATAACTTTCTCGCCGGCAGCCTCCAGTACCGCAATAGTTTCCTTTTCCAGAGCTGCATCCACTGCCACCACCATTCCCACGCCAGTGTTGAAAGTGCGAACCATCTGGTATGGCTCGACATTGCCGCTCGACTTCAGCCACTTGAATATGGCGGGCATTTCCCACGCGTTCAAGTCAATCTCGGCCGCCAGGTGGTCGGGCAACATACGAGGCACATTGTCAATCAGACCGCCTCCTGTAATATGAGCAAGGCCCTTGACGAGCCGGTTTTCGATGACACCGCGCAGGCTCTTGACGTAGATTTTGGTGGGTGTCAGAAGGCTCTCACCGACAGTCCTGCCCGCATCCCAGGGGGAAATATCGCTATATGCAAGTCCTTCCCGCTCCAAAATGCGGCGAACAAGAGAGAAACCGTTAGAATGAACACCGCTAGAGGCCAAACCAAGCAGGATATCGCCAGGGGTCATATCATCCTTACGAGGCAACCTCTGGCTGTTGATCATGACGCCAAATGCACAACCGGCAGCATCATAGTCGTCCTTCTGATACATGCCGGGCATCTCCGCTGTTTCGCCACCTACAAGCGTGCATCCCGCATCGATACAGCCAGCTGCTACACCCTCAACAAAAGATGCCGCAGTGCTCAAATCAAGCCTGCTGCAGCCGTAGTAATCTAAGAACATCAAGGGCCTGGCACCTTGGACTACCAGATCGTTGACGTTCATGGCCACCAGATCAATGCCAACAGTATCGTGCTTGCCCATTTTTTGTGCAATCATAAGTTTGGTCCCCACGCCATCAATGGCACCAACCACAACAGGTAGCTGGCCATCCTCGAGCTGAAGGCCGCATTTGGCCAGGTCAAGCTCGCCGCCAAACCCGCCGATTTCGGCGTCAGCACCCGGTTGCTTTGTGGCACGTACTGCCTTCTTGATGCGTTCGACAAATTCGTTCCCTGCGTCAACACTAACGCCAGCCCCAGCGTAAGTCAAGGCCTCTCTTTGCTGTTGTGACCGAAACGCACGGTGAGCAATGTCCTTGCGATAATACATCTTGTCAAAGTTGATGAGCGTGACTCCCTGTTCATAGGCCTTTTTAACTGCTGCTTCGAGTGATTCGGCGGTTGCATTAACCGCAATGACACGGCCACCCGAGGTCTGCAGCTGACCTTCCGGAGAAAGCTTTGTTCCCGCATGGAAAACAGTGATATCTGGCGACGCGGATGGGTTGACCACCATAGGAGTTCCCTTCGCATAAGAGCCTGGGTAGCCTCCCGCCGCCACAACGACTGTTGCACTGTACTTGTTTTCAATCTTTATGTTGACACAGTCGAGACGAGCCTCATGCGCCGTGCAGGCAAGCATAATCTCAGCAAGATCCGTGTCATGAGAGAGAAGAGGAAGTACAGTCTGTGTTTCAGGATCGCCAAATCTTACGTTGTACTCAAGCACCTTGGGACCTTGATTGGTGATCATAAGACCGGTGAACAGAACACCCCTGAATGGGTAACCCTCCTTGCGCATGCCAGTGATGGTTGGCTGTACAACTTCGAGCTCGATCTGGCGTATAAGCTCTTTGGTAGCAATAGTAGTTGGAGCATAGCAGCCCATTCCACCAGTGTTGGGACCCTGGTCTCCGTCACCAATCCTTTTGTGATCCTGGGCGGGAGGAAGGGACAAGGTGTGATTACCGTCGCTGAAAGTGAGGATGCTTAATTCGTCGCCAGTCAGAAACTCCTCTATGACCACCTCATCTCCAGCAGAACCAAAAGCTCTATCCAGCATAATTTGCTTGAGGGCCTCTTTGGCTTCCTCCTTGGTGGTAGGAATGATAACACCCTTACCCGCTGCTAGGCCAGTAGCCTTGATAACGACGTCGTGAGATATACGGTCGAGATAGGCAACTGCCTTATCGTAGTCGGAGAAATTTTCATAAGCAGCCGTGGGGATGTTGTGCCTCTTCATGAAATCCTTGGAGAAGGTCTTGCTGCCCTCCATCTGGGCAGCCTCCTTGGAAGGGCCAAAACAGGGGATGGCGGCGGCACGAAAATAGGCCTCTACTCCATCGACAAGAGGTGCTTCAGGGCCAGGAACAACAAGGTTAATGGACTTGGATTGAGCAAAGTCGACAAGAGCGGGATAATCGTCGGCGGCAATGTTGGCAATGTTGGTAACCTTGGGGCAACTGGCAGTGCCACCATTGCCAGGAATAGCAAAGATGGAATCGACCAGAGGGGACTGGCTTAATTTCCATGCCAGTGCATGCTCGCGCCCTCCATTGCCGATGAGCAAGATGCGCAGGCTGGCGGTCGTAGTCATTGTGACAATTGATGATATGTAGCGACCAGGAGGGTACGAGGTTGAACGCGGAGGCGTCTGGGAAAATAGTCCTCGATCCGATTTCAGTTGAATAGAGAAGCGAAAACAGGAGGAGAGGTGGGAAAGTAAAGTTTCTTTGCTTCACCTCCGTTGCCTGGAAGGAGGGGGACAAGACAGGGCGGGCAGACTCAGTTGCGACGCCGGTGCAGAGGATTTTCTTATCGAGAACTGCCCCTCCAAACTAATCAATGACCCTGGGGCGGGGTGATTGAAAAAATTGGAACTTGCATGGGTTAGCGCGAAAATTTCAGTTGGAGAATTCTTGCTACCCCACCTTTCTCACATGACAAGTGCCGTGAAGTACTTGCCTGGGGTGCTCGACAGACGGGCGACCAAAAAAAACTTAATAGCTGTAATTAAGACAAGATGAGTATACTTACGTCAACTAATATTAAGCCTATTGGGAAGGTATCGGGCCTGGGACTCTCTTCACTTATTAACTACCTAATAAGGCGTGTTGATTTTTCTTCTTTCTTTCTTTCATCAAACCAATCTGTTCAGTAATTCGCGGCGCCTAATACAGCGCGTCCGCGGGTTGCTGTTTTATCAAACGCCGGGGCATCCCTAAGAAGGGCAGAGAGGGCTCGCTTCCATGTGTCTACCACAGAGGGGCCCAGTTCGTTCAAGGAAATGGTGGGTTAGGGAGCGAGAAAGTATCAAAACCTATCAACCTGCTATTTTTGCAAAATATAATTTTTATGTAACTCTTCCTGGCAGTCCAGTTATAGAACCAGCCGGGGCAGTACCGACTCTTCCAACTCTTCAACGCTTCCACTACTAATGAACAGTGCATACTCATTGTATGCAGCGCTCAATATCACATCTCGGCCAGCCGAGTTTTCCTGTTGCAGATCAATGTGGGCACCTTCAGAGCCCAGGACTTTCCGGTACCACTCAAGTGCTAAGTGGTGCAACCCAAGCATATGAAATGTTCTCGCAACACCGAAGAATGCTTCTCGTCTTTCATCTGGTGTCCCGGCAACTTTCGAGTGGCAAAACTCAAATACACATGCAAACCCCTGCATGATGAGATATTGCCGGTTGTCTGCTTGACGCTTGAGGGCGTGGTGGATGTACCCAAGTCCCACACTGAGGCTGATCATTGGGTTTAACGGATCCAACGTTCGTGCTCGGAGAAAGTAGTCTATGATGGATGCACCAGTGGTTAGCCTGTTTCGTTTCGGCAGCTCATACCGTGGGGACAGAGGACTAGCAGTAGCCTTTTACTTACTCAGGGCAAACGTATAGCTCGTGGACGTAAATAGAATATGCCCGTAAAGCATAAGCAGACAGATGTCAAGTTGTTTAGTCTCGGCAGCATTTGGCATCTCAAGAACTGCGGCATCGTGATGCCTATCCAGTTGGGTTGCCGACAGATGCGAGGCGTCAATTATCTTGATTTGCCGTAATATATATTTCTGGGCAGGCCCTGAATTATACCAGGACGCTGGAGATTGGCATAGCCTGCACAAGGCCGCAAACATGCGGTATGAATCTGAGTCCAGCTGCCGGACCTTCATGAAGAACCTTGCGACGGCCACACACATTTCTTCGTCCGCCAGGTAAATAGCGCATGCTAGAATTGCATAAGTCATGTGACTGAACCGGCTTTGGGAAGAAGGAGCTTACCAGCCCATGCCACATGAATCAAAAACATGTAATCCTTTGAATTGACAAATACAATGGAGTCTCTTGCCGCTTCACAGACCTGGTATGCCTCCTCTCCGCGGTTGGCCAATGCTAAGCTAATCGCATAGTCGAGAAACAGCTCAAGCCACTCGCCAAATGGGATTCCGCGATAGCCGTCATCTTCGTAAGCAATGCTCATTCTCTTATCGTCTGACAGAGAGGGAGCTACATCTATGAACGTCCTTCGTCAGCATTGAAAGACAAACAGCCCAAGAGAGACAGTTTAGTTCTGTGTGAGAGGGTGGTTACTTTTTGAGAGTCTCTCGGCCAGCTCCGAGAGCCCTGGTTGCGTCCTTGATGACGCACTAAACACAACGTCATTGGCAGCGCCGAGAAATTTGAGATACTTGTCCCAGGGATAGAACTTTCTGAAGGATCTGAATTCGCCAACAAGTTCACCAGCAGCGGCCATCCATGTCGGTATCAGAGAGTGGTCACCTTCCTGTATGTCTCTTTTCAAGTTGCGCACAACTTCGTAGCGCCTTGTGAGCTCGTCAGCCCGGGCGCGTTCTTCTTGTAGACGTTGATCTGGAGCGACCAGCCTTTTCGGCCGGTACCTAGGTCGAACAATGCTGTTAGTTGGCCTCCGTCTATGCTCCCGCTTACGTCGGGGCTTTGTGCCATCGACCAAGACGGAGCCTCGCGTTCGTGGCCAACTTGCACTGGCCCCAGCATTTCCATCGCCGTCTCCGGGCTGCTCTCGCTCCTCATTGATACCTTGCAAGGCAATGACTTCAGTGACAAGAATAAGAGCCTCTTCTTCTTCCTTGGCCTTTTCATAGATCCTGGCCAGCTCAATACGTGCATCAATGTTGCTCTCATCTACTTGAATGGCTAGAAGGAAGCAATCTTCTGCCGCAGCAAGGTCAGATTTGGCTAGGTAGCAGCGGCCGAGGTGCAGCAACAGGGTAGCATCTTGACCATAGATAGAGTGTCTCAAGAGTTCGTAATAGTCAAGGGCCTCGGGAAAGCGCTGAATATCGAAAAGCTCATCAGCGATATCTCGAATTAGATAGGGGAAGTCCTCAACCGCTGTGGCTGTTGCAGACTCTGTGGGGTCCAGCCATTGCAAGTGAGACTTTGGCGTGTTAGTGATCGGAGTATCTGTTAAATGATACAGTGTTGTTGAGGAAACTCGCCTGCGATTCTTCGTTGTCTCGTATCTTTAGCCGATACAAGGCTAAACGGGCCCTGAACTCCAGGGGCAGACCCATGCCATAGGTGTACAATCCGTAAACAGATGATTCAAATGAGGGAATCTGGAGGCGTCGGGAGTGATCACGATCCCATTCCCTGTCATCATTACAGACATCCCATAACTCGTCATCTTGCCGCCCGAGTAGCCATCGAGACAACGATCTGAGTTGTGATATTGCATTGGTGTAGTCTCCAGCACATGCGAACAGCTCTACAAATATGCTGACATCATGCCATGATAGCTCCTTTCCTGCATCATGGTCTGCCGTACGGGCATGTGCAAAAAAGTTCTGGTAAGCTTCCACAGCCTTCTGTACATCTTCAGCACCCCCCGAATCGGCACAGGCCTCGGCGAGTCTTCTCACAATATCTATGTCCAACGGTCGACGCCCGAGGACATAGGCAAATTCGCTAATCGCTTGGGATAAGAAGCCTTGGCGGTGACTTGCCTCAGCTCTACCTAGTCTGGCTTCAAGGTTCGTAGGTTGGGCTTTGACAGCAGAAGAGTAGCACATAAGTGCGGTCTTGAGAGCGCCGTCCTGCCCTTCCTCTGCTAGGCTCATGGCAAATGATGCACAGCTCATCCAGCCCGGGGCATCTTTCGGTCGCAAATGGGCAGCAATGACCATGGCCATCAATGCCTTGTCATTGAGGCCCTCCTCACGGAAAATTGATGCCAATACGGTCCATGCTTGATGGGTTTCTGCGTTGATTCTGATAATTTCAAACACCAAATTTCGTGCGCGGTCGTATTCACCACTCATGAAAGCCTGATTTACCCGGGCAAGACGGAATTTGATATCGCCTCGTGGCTCAGCGGCTTTTCGAGGACCGCGAATACCACCACGCGGTGGCTGTTTTGATTTTGTAATCGGCGGTGCTCCATTAAACTCCTCGCCCTCGCCGCTGTTGTCTGCCGCGTTTGTAGATTGATGAGACGAAAGAAATTCCCGGACTGACTGGTCAAATTTCGCAATATCTCCACGAAGCTCCATTTCATCCGAGTCAGCGTCCGAGACAAGGCCTTCATCTTCTCCCATAAGCTGCGCCCCGTCCCCGAGATTCACAACCTCTGAATGGTCCAGACCAATATCCATGATGCCACTTTTGATGGCAATCAGCACGTTACGCGGAATTCAGAACAGAATACTGAGAAAATGGCTCGAAAATGGTCCCAAACCCCAAGAACTTGTTGAAGCTGGCCCAATTGACGAACTAAATGGTCGCTGCTCTTCGTGATGCAATTTATGAGAGGACTTTTAGCAGGCAGGGGTTTTGCGAACAAGCCGAAATGAGAAAGATCTAACGGGCGTGCCACTATTAGCGTCGCATGTTAAGATGAGTTTAATTTTTGCGTTAAGCAACAATCGAAAAGGCGTTTTTGGTTGAAGCGTGTGTCGCCGTTACTTACATAAGTTCAAACGTAAAATGAACGAGAAGGTGAAAAGGTTCCTGGGTGAAATTAAACCTGGTACGTCACGCGCTAGTACCTCTCCTCCTACCCCACCCACTAAACCGAACCCCCAAGTATGCAATAGTAGTCTCCTTGAAAGCAAAGACAGACACATCGGATTCAGCAACTTGCCTATCATACGGAGTACGCTTTCGAAAAACGCCAAGTTTAAGGTGCAAACTTTCCGTTGCAATTAGCCCGTATGAGCAATGATCAGCGCGCTATTCCAACAACCACATACGGAATTGTACCTGTACCCACACACTTGGCTAGATAGTTCACGCTCCTTCGGGATTATTCCTCTTGTCACTAGAAGAGGTATCTGATATTAGCAGGCTCAACAAACCAAGGCTTCGGCAGTCACGTGATCAGAACATATGTGTGTATTTTTTGAGAGTGTCCAGGAGTTTCTAACTCGAAAATGTCGAGGCAATTGACATTGTCGCCGAGGACGTTCCTCAACCAAGCCACCTGAGTTGAGGCAGGACAATCAACATGCACGTTGCAAACTAAATCAGTCATTTCAAAGAGCAAGAAGCAGTAGCTATAGCTAGTGGCTTGGCAATGTGCTCTGAAGGACGAAACACGTCTCCCGATGTACAGCTGGGACAGTAGTGATATTTTTTTTTATATATGTACATAATCTCAAGGGGTACTAAAACAAGCATTCCAATTCGGTTCCTTTTCTCGATTGCCAAACGAGTACATACACACTCGCATAGCGCGATATCGGGCCCGAGTGAGTTGTGTTCCTAACCGTGGTTTCAGATTCTCATGCATTCTTCGCCGCTAAGAGGAGGCCACCTATGCGCTGAATACGCCGGGCCTCTACTACGCCGCATTGCTCAGGCGATCTTGCCTTCAGCCTTAGCCTCTGTACACCATATGTCAGTTCCGATTATACTGGAGATGGAGCTGATACGTACCCTTGACCTGCTCAAAAACTTTGAGCATCTTCCGCCTCGCTCCCAAAGCGTTCACTCCGCGATCCTCCAGGGCCTTGTCATCCAGTTCAATCAACTCGTGCCATTTCATATCTTTAAGATTTTCCGTATACTTGTGGAGCCGAAGGCTTCTGAGCCAGCTAGGAATATCCTGTAACAAAGTAGGATCTGTTGGATCTTCAGGTGGCTTTGAGCTGCCGCGTCGACCTCTGGGTGAACGGCCGCGTACCATGTCAGAATGGTCAGATAGGTATCCCTCATGATTGCCTACACCCAGCTGACCCACATTTACCTGAGGGATGCCGTTGTTAAGCAGCGGTGAGGATCCATCATATGCACTTAGGAAACCATTGTTTTGTGGAGAAGCGAATGCCATAGAACCAAATCCAGGTTGCATCGCAATGCCAGGAGAACTGGGCCGCGATCGATGCTGGCCGAAGCCAATGTTCTGGGCCTGAAGTGCAAGCATCTGTTCGCGACTGAGTACCTGTCCGTGTTCGTTGATCATTACGACATTAGCACCAGGAACATTAACACCCTGGATACTCTGGGCCATCCCTTGCTGGCCTGGAGCGCCAGGAGCATCATTCGAGCGTGCACGCCGGTATTTGCGGACATCATCAAGAGCGAAGCGGTTGTTTACTGTCGAAAGCGCTGCCAGTTTCATGGCAGTAGCGTTGGCAACCATATCAGCCTGTGTGCCACTGGGGTTGGCGTTAAAATTGGCCACCAGTGGAGTATTGACCATAGATGCCCAGTTTCCACCACTAGGATTGTAAGGAGAGAGAAGAGGGAGGTCCGCTGGTTTGTCACTGGTTGTCAAAGTCGTGCTTTGAATGTTTTGATTGCTCGAAATTTGAGGGCGGGGAGACCTCAAGCCGCCAGACGGTGGCGGCTGCACAAATTGACCCATTGGCGGCTGACCGCCAGACGGCTTGGATCCTTGAGCGGATTGATCGCCTCCAGTCCAAGGAGACGCCTGATTCTGTCCATTTAAGTCATGGTTGTCGCCAGGGGTAGCAATGGTGGGAGCTCCCAAGGGCTGGCGAGAATCGGCGACAGCACTGTTGCGGTTTGACGCAGGCGGGTTGCCTGTCTGCTGTGTAAACTTGGCCTTCTCGGTGGCAATGGCAGCAGCAGCATCGGGAAACATAGCGTTGATCGTCGAAGGATCAAGGCCCGACTGTCGCTTGCCAGTTGCGGTGCTAGAGGGACGAGCAAGGGAGTTTCTGGCAGAATCCACATTCAACTTGTTCATGGCATCGCTGAGGCGATTCGACATGGGGTCTCAATGACAAAAGGTCAGTTCAAGGCTGGCTTAAGAGCGTATGAAGGCCAAAACACACAGAACGAGGGCAACACGCTTACCTTTATCGAAGTTGGCAGGAGACAAGACGCCTGACATAGGATGGTTTTTGCCCATTTGTTGTAAAACTTGAATAAAGAAGCGAATCTGCACCTGAGTTGTTTGTTGCAACAGGGCGTAAAGAGCAGCGGTTCGCTCAGCCTCGCTGAGAACCCTGAACCATTGCTCAATGGCGCTCAATTCATCCTTGAAGTCCTGATCGAGGGTGGCCGCGGCCATCTCTTCCAATGTAGTCTCATATTGGTCGATATCAGCTATCCACTGCTGTGCAATCTTATCCTGGGCATCTGTCTCGGAGTTGCCATGGCCTTGGCCCTGCTGTGACTGACCATAAAAATCAGAGGAGGGTCGAATGCGGCTGGAAGGGGACGCGTTGGAGAGCGCAGCCATGTCGGCCGATGCCCTTAAATGACTGTTAGCAGGAACAGCTCTCGAAGAAGGCGGTCGAAGAGACGGCGTTGTGTTTGCCTCGGGAGTGCTGTTGCGGTTTCCCGCAATGTGACTGCCAGGCATATTGAGCATTGTCGGCAGACGGCGGGATTCAGGCAAGGTAAGAAGTTGCGCAGTGGCGGCAAACGGGTTCAATCCGATTGATAGCGAAAAAAAAAGTCGTCAAGTAGCAGATGAAACGATGCGTGTGGCTGCAATGAAGGGTGTCGTGTCTTTGTCTGGTGATGGAGGGGGGTTCGGCCCGGCAAGGAGGGACCAGCGCTGTTTCGAGATTTTCAATGGTTGTCAAATCAAGTCAACCAAGTTCCAGTGAGCAAATCCGGTCTCGGTAGCACTCCAGTGACAAAACTTATGGGCGATGTCGGTAACTTGATTTGGGTGGCTTTGAACTCGGCTAGACGACCAGAACCCTTGCTGAAGCACACAAGATGCTTTCTTGTCCTTTGGGCTGTTCAGACGGCAACGACCAGAGGCCTGTTCTTTTGTTTTTCCAACGGGGACAAACTTTCACCGGCACGAGGAGAGTGAATTGGTAGAGTACGTATTCGTGCCCAAAGCTCCTGCAGAAACCTGCCTGACCTCAAAGGAGTCGGGATCAAATGAGGAACCTGCTAAAACATATCTTGTTGTACGGTAACGGGGGTTCTGTCTGACGATGACCCAAGATGATCCTGGAATGGGAGAGTGAAAGCCGGTGGTGGGCGGGATGTGGCTTAGAGGAAATTGAGCAGATTTTCCAATCTGTTGTCCTGTATGGCAAAAGCAAGGCTTGTTGTGTTTTGCTCTGCACAGTAGCGGTTCGACGGAGGAAGATAATGATGTGATGTATCGATGGTAGCGCTCATAAACAAGTTTGGAAGAGAGAAGAGGGACAAGTGGGGGAGGGGAAGTTAACCAGAATATCGATGCTCTGGCAAGACAGCAGTATTATTCAAAAATAAAAATAAAAATTGCTGCTTCCAGGCAGGTAATACGATATCAAGGCTGGCGTCGTCTGAAGGTATTACCCGAATGAAGGGGGTGAGAAAAGAAAGAAGGACTGAACTGTTTTCTTGGGGTTTGAGGAGACGTACTCATGTACGACACGGGGGTTCAGCAACGTGGCGTAGTACCAGCTGAGTCATGAAAGCCTGGTACCCCAATGGACGCTGAAGGAGACCAACAGTACCCACTCAACGTGCTGACTACAGGAAAAGTTCATCACCCGCACGCGTAGGAAGCGTCAGGGGGTTGTCTGCTACCGACACTGAGGACTTTGGCAGTTGGCATCGCAAACCAACTGCTGGAACGTTACAAGCTCACCTGAAAGGTAATGAATTTTACAGTACGGATTGGGGCATGGTGTCCGTAGGTGGAGGCGGCCGCTGACAGCCTAACCTTAAGAGTGAGTATTGGCGAAGGGGGAAGGGTTGGCACGCGTCAAAAAGGGTAACAGACTGACCCAGATTCTCCATTCCATCGCCAGGAGAGGCCACTGTGCCGCGCTACAGACGTCGCCCAACTCCTATCACCGGAAATGCTACCCCTTTCATTTAGGTAGATATCCTACCTTTGTCAAAGTTGTTGCACGTAGAGTAGCTTGTTTGCTGCTATTTTGGATGAGTGTGCAGAAAGATTGACTTCTACCATCACATTATGAGTTTCGAGTAATTGTGAAACTCGTTCAGGGTGTTGGACTGCTGGCACAGGAAACAAACACTAAACGGCAAGCCGTATATGGCTTCATACGGTGACACAACTGTAGCACATTTTGAACATGATTGTCGAACGTGAAATATCAGCTCTGTCCGCTGTACCGTTTCGTTGCACATTAACATCTCATCAGCAACAAAACGTAGTAGCATGTGGACCGGATTATGAAAATGTATGTCGGAACCGAGAGGTTGAACCGTGGTTGATTGATTGGTTTGCTGGCCTAAACTTTTTGCCAGCTTCAGTTGTTCCCTAATGCCCCATTGCATCGCAGCCATGCCGTAGAAGAAATCAATAACCATGAACCCAGCGTTTCTCCCTCTATGCCGTCTCGCGCTTGCCCTCCTTGAGCTCCTTCTGTTATAGGTGTCAGTAACTGCTGCTGCGAAAATATTGTGAACCGGGTTCTTCGGCGGAGGGGCTGTACCAGGGCCTTCATGGTGCCGTGCAGGGCGTGACGATGGTTACGGCGGAACTTGGGGTCGGTGCCCTTCAGCGAGGGGTATCTCGAGGTCTTGGGCTTCTTGATACTGCAAAAAAGTAGAAAAAAAATACAGCGTCAGTATGTCCATATTTTCATTGAAACTGTTGTCATGGCTAAAGGGGTTTTAAATCGTACCCGTTGCGGTGCGCCTTGCGCGACTGGTTGTGCTGCGAGGAGTTCTTGGACTCTGGGAAACGTTAGCAATACAGTTGTTGGCAATTGAAATCTGCAAAAACCAGAGAATCACAACGTACTGGCCATTGCTGCGGTCGAAACGTGCCCCTAACTTGGTGGTGAAGTCTGGAGTAGCTTGTGCGGTCGCGGGATTTCGAATAGGCAGGATATCGAGGCTCTGGCCTTGGTGAGTCGTGGTGCAGGTTGTGGGGTCGAAATTTTGTGCCCTAATAGATGGATTGTGAGGCGAAGCCATGGCGAACAGTCGAGAGTGAAAAAGTACGTACCTTGCCCCTCACTGTAGTAAAAACACTGTGTTTGGGGAAATATACTGTAATGGTCCTACGCCAAATCAGGGCGGTAACTGACATTTCGAGAAAAGAGGATGGTAGAACCAAATGATTTGTTTCTAGCTTCTTAACGCCATATGTTTGATTCGCCTTTCGGAACATGTGTATATCCCTGCACTCAATCCCTCAGGCTCTTATCGCAGAAATCAACATATTTAAAGCCAACCGGTACACTGAATGCAGAAAATAATGCAACACGAAGTCTACCACGTAGATGGAGCACCCAATAAAAGGCACCTACTTCCGAACGATAATCGATGCTTCCACTACGTTTCTCTATGTCATTGTGCTCTACAGATTGGTGCCCATCCCTACATATTCCCATCCGGTCTACCCATACATACTGTTATAGATTGTCTAGATTCTCCCTAAGTGTTCTTAGTTGTCGCAGGTGGTCAGGCTGCTGTCAACTCTCCCATATGATGATCGTGGTCGTACGTTACCTCCCGATGAGAGGCTTGGCAGAGGATATGTTGCGAGCAGCCGCCTTGCTCTGGGCGATTGTCTGTAGATGCTTTGTTCGAAGACTCTTGATATACCTGATGAAAAGAACAAACAAGAGTTCCATGCTGCCGTTCGGTCAATACCCGTCACATCATTCAGACTTAGAGGCGCTTAGGTGCAAACGTACCGTTCTTTGGTCATCATCAAGATCCCTTGCACAAGGAAACCCTTAAGAATTTGTGGCGTAATGCCCTTGAACAGACCCAGAACACCCTCACGCTCAATGATGAAGTTCATGACCTCGACGAAGCTGCTGAAAGGCTTACCATTCCTTTCAGGAGGTGGTCTGGACTGTAAGCCCACCTTGGCAACGATCAAAGGTTGGGTAGCAATGGTAGCCATAGCTTTGGAGGCAGCTCCGAGCACTAGATGAAGTCAGCAAAATCCTGCCTGTGCCAGTGCCATAGGGTACCAGAAGGAAGGTGGAACAGCCTACAGAACGCTTCCCAGGGCTTCAAGTTTTTCTTGCCTGGGAACAGAGATTCTTTGAGCCTTTCGTAGGCACCATATGTGATCGCTGGGTTGACAACGAGCACCAAGCTTGCCTTCAAACCACGCCACAATCCAAACAAGCCGTCTTCACCATCGATAACCTCTCGAGCCGTATCCACAAAACCTTTGCGCTCGGTTTTACGTTGGGTCTGCTGGCGGGTGGTGATGACAGCAACAGGTATTGTGCAAAGCTGCGCAACGGCACCGGCAACAGCACCGAGGCTAAGCTCTACCAAGGTCGATGGTGGTGCCGATGTCTTCGCCGAACGTAAATATAGAGCCCGAACAGTGGAATACCAGTAAAAATAGGCGAAGTTGGTAGATGCGACACCAAGGAGAGAGCCACTCATGCCAGCATAAAGGCCTTTAGGACCATCATCTGCGACTATCTTGCTCAAGGCGTCCCAGGTCGACGAGTAGTGCGGTTCAACAGGATGGGTGCTATCTTGGGTAGCAGGAGCAGGCTGCGATTTGACTTGAACCTGAAGACGCGTCTTGACGCTTGTGAAAGGGTAACGCTGTCAGTCATGTCTTGGGCACGAAGGTTAAAGTATGCAAAGTCGAATCAAAATGAGTAAGGACGAGGATCTAACGTGGCTAATGTCCAATTGTTGCGTTGCTAAAGGGAAGGGAGTGGGGGATCACCATGGCGGGCATTTTCTCACATGTCAAGAGGGTAGACCAGGGCGTTCGCCAGCACAGCACCCGTAGCGCCAGCAACAGCTTTGCCCCATGGTGACATAGGAGCTGGCTTGGACTGAGCAGCCATGGTTGTATATATTGCTTGGAGTCGAAGGTTCAAGAGTTGGCTGGTAAATAAAGCGAGGCCGATTAGTCGAAAATCTGAGGGGAGACGAGGAAGGAAACACGTTGGGCTGTGACAGGGGGGGGCTTAGAATCGTCAGTGATTGATGTCGGTATCCGCGTCGGGGTCGGGGTCGGTGTCGGCGTCGGCGTTGACAATCCGTAAACGTCGGGATTCGAGGGTAAAGAAGACGCGGAAGTAGAATGGTCCAGGAGCAGTAAAATGTGCAAGATGCTGCGTAGCCTGTTTCGAGAGTGATAATGAGAAGAGGACGTAAATAGCAGTGGAAGATGCTGTGCAGCGCTGGGCTAGACTGGACAGGATGAAGGGTCTGGTCAAACTTTAAGGGTGGCCATGTGTGATGGGCTCCTACCCAAGACGGTGAGAGGAACAATGGGTAGCCATGACAAGCAAGCTTGGGAAGGAGGTGTCAACTCGCTCGTCGACCGAGGTCCTTTGAGACTTGGACCCAGCCAGCCGGCGCATCTACCGTATCTATGGTATGGTACAACGTAGGTAACCGACCATTTAGTCGGTTAACTGGTGAGGTCACTTGTGGGGTTCTCGGCAGAACGAGCGCCTGGTCCGACTCAGGGGGTGGTCGATCAGGTGCAACTAACCAGCCTACTATGTACTGTAGGCTGCGCTTTAGGTAAGCTGCTTCGGAGAAGCCATTAAGCACCTCGGTAACTGTTGACCAACTCGTCGCAAAAGCAGCAGCCAATCCTCCGATTTCTTCCTACAGGGGTGTACAGGGCTGGACTCCAACAGGCAAGAAAGTGATTCGAGATGTATGAGCGCTACACTGACGCTTAGCATGTGGCTTTCTATGTTTCAATATGCTTGTATTATCCATGCCTGTGCATCGGGCAACTTGGTAGGTGCGTATCTAATCTGTAGCGATTATGTTCCCGTACCATCCACCATGGGACTGCTTATGAGCAGCCACTAAAGAAACAACGATAGCACAATGGGGGAGCGACAAGTGTCGAAGACACAATATGTGGGCCATCTGCTCAAGAACGCTCATCTGTCCTAACATGATTGGCTGGCTACCGTGTGTTGTGCCTGTTTCCGACTGCCCTGCTGCGGGGAAACGTCCCTTGGTTATATCTGCTTTACTTACGGCGCGCAGGAAGACAGCAGAGTCGTCGAAATCTGCGATATCGTTAACATAAGAATGTGAGAGAAAACACCCTTTGGCATTTTTTGCTCAAGAACAGCTCGGCGCCCTACCTCCTCTCTGCAAATCCACGCCTTGGCCGATGTCGCTCTCCTGCAGCCTTATCTGCTGGATCGCTCACCTGAACCTTGCACCTTTTGTCATCATACATCGCCCATAACACTTGACCTATATAATAAAGATCCGGATAGACCCAAATCGCTTGGGCTTCTGGTTTTGCAATTGGCTTTATGTGATTAGTTAGTCAGCTGGCCAGATCTGTGAGGTGGGCTAGGCTGGGCTTGTCCGCTTTGGTCCGCTTCCAATTGGGATTGGGTTGGTCTGCTGTGGTCTTTTGTTGGGTCTCGACAGTCCAACACCCGTGGTGTGAGCCGTTTTGCTTTGCACAGCCTCAACCTGGTGCGCGTTCCGCTCCGTTTCATCCCACCAACGACTTTGCTTCCTGATACTTCATCTGCTTGCCAACCAAAGGCACCCGAGCTTAGTTTATTGCGCTTCCGTCCTTTGAACCCCTCCCCCGCGCCACGGTCTCTGCCGTCTATAAGGTGTCCACTAAGTCCCACCTCTACGCCCCTGGGTAAGAAATAGGACCGAGACCCGAGCGAGAGTCTGATCTTGGATCTTAGATCTTAGATACAGAGCAGGTACTGGAGTCTCTCATGTCATCTGTCTTCGATAACACATCGTTGACTGGCTGGTGCTCGATTGCGTCCACCTTACATTCAGACCCTTGGCAGGCTTGCAGCCGGCCTTGCCGTCACTGTCCTCTTACTCTTCCAGTCACTAACTAATCTGGCCATGCTGCTCGGCGGAAATCATGGAAGCGAGAGCCATTGTGAGTAAGAGGTCTTGTAGTCATGGCTTCTTGATCAACCCCACGCCGATATCTTATTTTTATTTTAGTCTTGTTTGGCTGACCAATGCGATTTTGCTGCTTAGAGAGAAGAGGCCCTTGTGGCCAAAACAACTGGCCGTGAAGCCTTGAATCATGCTATCGCCGCCGCAGACTTATACATGAAAGCTGTCAAAGAGTCCAATTCGCCGGCCGACCGCACACGCTTCAGAAAAAAGTGCGAAGGGCTCATCGCTTATGCGGAACAGCTCAAAGCTTCTTGCTCTGTCCCCGCCACAACCATCGCCAACGACAGCAACATTGGTTCTGGCACAGTCACTAGTGCTCGCTGTCAGACTCGCCAGATCCCTTCCAGCGAGAGGACCATACTTCTTCGTTCTTCTCGTTTGCATGGAAATATTTTCCCCCCATGGCAATCCGACCCAGCTGAAGGCTTCTTTACCCTGCCCGATGGAGGCCAAGTTTTCATGTGAGTTGCGAAGCTCAAAATTATCCACATTTGAGATGGGCAAGCCTTTCGTTGATATGCTACCTTGCTCACGCTCAAGATAGAGACCCAGCGAAATATACCATGTCGGCACGTCAGGAGGCAATACTCGATGATTGGAAACGACCGGTGGATCAGGCGGCACAGGATTCTGTAGATGAAGATTTCATGGCTACCAAGGGCGAATGCGATCTTGTACAAGATATCACAACCGACTGCTCTGTTGTAGCAAGTCTCTGTGCCGCCATGAAAATTCTCCTGGGGAACAAAAAATCTGTAAGTCTCAAACCAAGCCACGCACAACTAACACAAGCTCGCTGATCACTGCTTACTAGATTCTTGGTTCTATCATATTTCCTTTCGACCATGAAAAGGGACGACCGAGGATCTCGAGCAATGGCAAGTACATGTTTCGAATGCACTTCAATGGTTGTTTTCGTCAAGTCGTGGTGGATGACCGGCTGCCTGTCTCACGTAATAACCGTACACTATTCGTCGTTGACCGTCAGAATCCCAACTTGCTCTGGCCAGCCCTTCTAGAGAAGGCCTATCTCAAAGTACGGGGAGGTTACGACTTTCCTGGGAGTAATTCTGGTACAGACCTCTGGGTTCTTACCGGCTGGATCCCCGAGCAGCTTTTTTTGCAGAGGTGCGTCGAGACTTCTCATTAATACCGTGGCCCACTCGGTGGCGATCAACTGGTGATAACTAATTGGAAGACGCAGCGAAGACGTGGATCTCGAAGGGACATGGGAAAGCATTAAAGAGGCATATCATGCCGGCAGCCTTATCATTACGCTCGGCACTGGTCGTTTAACACCGTCCGAAGAGGATGCCCTTGGCCTCGTAGGAGAACATGACTATGCTGTTCTGGATATTGACAGCGCACCAACAGGGCGTCGTTTACTCGTTAAAAACCCTTGGTGTGATGGTCTTGTCTGGAAAGGCGTGGGCTCATCCGGTCTAGCCGAGACAACAGCAAAGCTTTCGCTCTCTGATGCCTCCGTTTCGGTCCAGACAAAGACACCAGAGCACTCCCGACCTATTGGCTCCTTTTGGATATCGGTCGAGGATGTAGCACAGAACTTCGAGTCTATGTACCTAAACTGGGACCCCGGCATGTTTACGCATCGACAGGACCATCACTTCACGTGGCGTGTCCCTTCCCAAAACATGACGTCCTCCCTGGCACACAACCCACAATATTCAGTTTTATCGCCCACTGGGGAGATGGTATGGATTCTGTTGAGTAGACACTTCGCAGATGAGGAGCTAGACATTGCTCGGAAGAAATCAGCATCTCTAGCGGCAGTTTCGAGACAACTAGGATTCACTAGCATCTTTGTATTCGAGAATAAAGGGAAAAAGGTTCAAGTAAGGGAGGGCTTTGCCTATCAAGGCCCCTATGTCGACTCACCGCAAACGCTCGCTAAGTTTAAGCTTCGTGCCGGCCAGCCATACACTATCGTCATGGCTCATCAGGATTTGCCACTTGAGGACTACTCTTGCACGTTCACTTTTTTTTCGCGAGCACCACTTGAGGTAAAACCTGCTGAGGAGGAGATGAGATACCACAAGGAACTGTCGAGCGCTTGGTCCAGGAGGACAGCCGGAGGCAACGCATCGTCAATAACTTACTCGCAGAATCCCCAATTCAGCATCTCCATCCCGCAAGCTACGCCGCTATCTATCCTCCTCTCCTCAGGGGACCGCGAAATTGCTATCCATGTCGACTTGGTGTGGGCTCATGGGAAAAGGGTAACCTCCATAGGGGTAAAAGATGTCGTTGCAAGCTCCGGAGATTATCGAAGGGGCAATGCCCTTGTGCAAGTTCCTATGGTAGATCCAGGGACTTATACAGTTGTGTGTTCAACTTGGGAACCAGGTCAGCTTGCCGATTTTGGTATGCGTGTTGGATCACAGGTTGAATGTCAAGTACAGCTTGTTCCAACCGATGGGGCTGGTCTCCTACGCACCCGAACCCCGTCATTTGTATTTGGCGAAGGGGAGGAGCAACGGAGAGCGCCAATAGCAGTATCGAGACTCACTCGGGCTCAGGTGGTGGTGCGCTGTCCTATCTTGACGGGACAGCATAGCCAGCACATACCGACAACTGCCGTCCGCATCTCTCTCGTGTACGGCCGAGGACCCCAAGAGTCGATACTCGCTACGTCTGGAGGTGGCGAGTTCCGGGAGCTCACCATGGCAGTACGAACCCCCGAGTTTGACATTGAGCCAGACCGGCTTCAACAAGATCAGCTTTGGCTCGTGATAGAACAACTTGGAAGCCGCCAGGGAGCATGCCAGAGCATCGAGGTCGAGTTTTTAAGTGACAACACGGTTCATGTCGGCGACTGGCAGATTGTGAATATCTAGAAGCCCCGGAAGAGCAGATGTTGCAAAGAGGAAGACAAGTTCAATCGGCATCTGAGCCTTTGCTGTAAATTTCGCCATGATATCGGCCACACCTCGTTAAGACGCGCTTCAGAGAACTCATAAAATGCCATACATAGTAAGGAGTTTTCGATTTGCAACACGGGAGCATATAACCCTGATGATAAGTCGCCATACCAATGCATTTGCACCCGTGGACGTCCTCTTGGAAGCTCAAAGCATAAGCTGAACACAAACGTGGCGAAAATAAAGAATAAAAACCAACCCAAGCAAACAAGGCAGAACGTGACGGGACGCGAGCGACTCGTCAATGTGGTATATAGTCCACCGCAACGCCAAAACCCTTTGGATCAAGACAGAACAATTCCCGTCGTAAACTCGTGCCGTGCCAACTCAATAGGCCTTATGGCCCGCAACGAGAATACCTCCTCCCTCGCGAATGAACAATAAACCTGATGAAAATGAGAAAGCAAAGCGAAGTTAAAACAGCAACATGAACGCGAGTACCGCCCCAAGACCCCAAAGTCCAACCCCTATATATACCAAACCTCATCCGGTAATCAAAGTCAACTTGAAGCCGGTCCAATGGCGTGAAGGTGAACCACAAAGAAGCTAGAAGAAGAAGGAAAAAGTATATACGAGAAAACGTAAAACCATGAGCTGTATCGCGTTTAGGAAGGTCCTCCCCTTCGCCGTCTACCACGGTTGGGCCCATCAGGTCGCTGAGAGAGGACCTCCCGTAACAGTGGGTCATCTTTATCTTTATCCACGTGATGAACTCTGACGTGTCTATGAAGTTGGTTAGCTCAGTGTATGCAGGAAGAAAGAAGAAATAGTATGTAAAAGAGCGCAAGGGCAAAACGTAAATGTGATTTTGCATTTTCACTCTGTGGTAACTGGGGAAATGGCGTGTCCAGAAGCTGGAAGATCCATAAATGGACGTTTCCTTACCTTTGCAAATTGTCTGGACGAGGGTATTTGTGTTCTCGGTCTGGACAAAAGGGACAGACATATCCCGGTGAGTCATGAACAAGGCCGTGCCGAATCATTTCATTCTTTCGCTTGAAGCCTTTGCCACCCTCGCTTCGAGGGCAGCCTTTAACGGAACAATAGTGCGGTCGAGCGGAAGAGTGGACGTTAGCATGAGAGTTGAGGAGATATTGTGTCTGGAAAGGCGCCGCGTTACAGCCCGTAAATGTGCAGACGTAGCCGGCCTGAGGGTTGGTGAGCCCGTCAATACTCATACGATCAGCTACTGAATTGGCTGGTGTTGATGCAGTTTGGTCGGTGCTGGGGGTTTCTGCTGTTCCACTGCTGTAATCGGCACTTGGTCGATGCGGGCCACCGCCACTAGACGAGGAATAATAGTATGGACTGACAACGGCAATGGAGTGTGCAGGTGACGGTAGCTCTCTTCGGAACCCCTCATTTGGTGAAATCGGAGGCGACCCATGCCCGCCTGGGAGTCCGGCTAAGGAGGGCAGCCGAGGTAGACTAGCAGGAGGCGATCGAGGGAATGAAGCAGCGTGCCTTACCGGACCCAAGTCCTTGTCCGTACTAATGGCTGATTCCGCAAGATGCTTCAAGTCTCCCAATTGCGATCTTATGGATGGCAACGGACCATGCCCGCTGCCGTCTGACTTTGGCGAGTCCAAAAGAGGGGGTAGTCCGCCAGGGGCAGATTGAGGCGGGCTGACCGGAGACGCAACTTCAGCTTTGTGCAGAGCTAAAGGTGGTTGATGCGCAGGATGCTTGTCCCCGGCCGGATAAACAACAGCAGGGGCGGCCAAAGTTGGGCGATCATCTCGAATGGGTAATTCCCGAGTGCTGATTCCTGGGAGCACCGTTCCTGGTTGCAATCTCGAACCGTTTCTTGTGCGCGAAGGGTCGATCTTGACTGTTGAGATGGCGGTGGCTGCTTCCGAGGTTGGAGCTTCGGCTGAGCTAGGAGCGGTGAAAGCTCGAGCCAGGGCGCCGGCCGCTAGGAACTTGAGGTCAAATGATTCAGGTGGGCGATTCATGTCGCGTTCAGGAGACTCAGGAGAAGATGAATCGTCCTCAGATCCGTTGTCAGAGGCAAGAGGTTCAAGAGCGGCAGCGTGTGCTATTTCTGGCTGTCTGCCGTTACCAAGGTGGGCGACCAGTACTGCATCGCCTTGAATAGGCTCAACCTTGCGACGACCTTGAGATGATTTTCGACCAGAGCTGAAAGTGGGCGGGGGACTAGGGGAAGGCTGTAGTTTAGGGCGGTGAGGTTGCATCTGTGGGCTGTCGCGGGGAAGAACGTCATCGGGGTCGTAGCAATCGCTCGTAGGTGGATGTTGGAAGTGGCTCTGAGTAGCGGACGCAGTCATAATTATCGCGACTGACGGGGAACGTAGCTCGCAGCGCTGACAGTATCAAGCCGCCATGGGGAAAGGATCGGGTCGAGGGGAAATGACGGCGCAGCGGCGGCGACTGTGGTTTGGCAATTACAGTAGCAAAGAAATGAAGCTCGTGAGGACCGTCGTGTACGAGAAGGCTGGCGTTGTCTTCGGGTTGCACGATGCGAACTTCGCAGACTCGTTTAATCCCCTCGCTGGGCGGCAGCTGTTGGGGCCGAAGGGAGCGACCGGGGTAATGTGTTATGATTGAGAACGGGATCAAGTCGGGGAAGACGGCTGTGTGAGTAGAGTGATATGCGTCGCGATTCGGCCCCGAGACAGCTTTCGCCGCCGTCGTAGGGTACGGGGGTAAAACTGTCGTCGAGGTCGCAGGAGATTTTGATGCAAGTGCAAGCGCGAGGTTATGGAGGCCGGCAGGAAGATGAAAGTACGTCGGGGGTTTAGAGAATGGTTGCGGCAGCGCTTGGGTGTAAGAGGCGGAGGTCGGTGTGGCCTGTGAACAGGGGGGTGGGGGTGAGAGGTGTGGTGAGGAGCGGGTTCGTGGGGATACAATCTGGGTGGGCTGAAGAGAACAGTGTCTGTATTTGCGGAAAATAGCGAGCACCCAAGGTTGATTGGATGACAATCATGCAGATGCCGAACGATGGACAAGATCAGCAAATGAGAGGGGAAGAGAAAACGAAGAGATGGAAAGATCTGGGGGAGAGGGAGGGCGCGTCGATGTCTAGGTGAGAGAGTAAGTATACTCAGTAGAAAGTCTTGTGGTTGCGGTAATGGTAGACGGTAAAAGAAGGGCGGCGATGCTTCCGTATGTAGGTAAGGTCGGCTCGAAATTGAGGGCGCCGTAGGGGGTCGAGGACCTTGACCTTAGGCTGTGCAGGAAGAGGCAGGTCAGTCGTGCTTCTGTTGTCGTCGGCTGCCTTGGGATGAGTTGCATCGTTAGGTAGAGCAGAGCAGAACAGAGACACAACGGGTGAGCCAGAGCGCGGCGGTTCTTCGCAAGCGTGTCTGTTGTGTGTGTGGGTGTGGGTGTGTGTGCGCATGTGTGGAGGGCGCCTTAAAGGCAGTATCCGTTTGCTTTAGCGCATAATCTCTTGGGTGCGTATGGGAGATGCGCCCAGTGCCACAGATAGATTCAAGGGACCGCGTGACCCCAGTGATGGACTGGAAGGGTACGTGGAGGCGACCAAAGATGGGAGACGGGGTGCCAGTCGCTTGTGAAAGAGTGTGGGTAGTGATGGCGGAAAATCGGACATGGGGATTGGGGGAAAGAGGAGGCGTGGGAGTGGGCATGGGAATGGAGGAGAAGGAGGAGAAAGATGAGATGGGGAAAGGAAGGGTCTGCAGGCAGGTAAGTCTCTCGAGGTAGGAGGTACCTTGTCTTGGCCAAATGAGGCTAAAGTTGTGCCCCAAGGTATTGATGAAGAGGAATGCGGCATCCCTACGAGGGGAGATACACGAGGGTACCTGCTGCCCTATCACTATGTCTTCAGCTATCACACTTTGTGGGAAATCAAAGCAGGGAGCTTGGGGAGAAAGAGAGGCCAACATATCCGTAACCAATTTGAGAACGTTTTATAGGCCCTAGTTTCATTGCATTTTCCCCGTTACTTTTCTACTGCCGGGGATCCTTTATCCGGAAGCCTTGTTGCCATTTGTTTCTGATGAATTGGCAGCATTCTCAGCTTCTAACAATGGAGGCAGGTTCCCTTGACCGGCGGCATTGGCAAGTTTTTGGTAGGTCTATGAGTAGGAGTGTTTTGCAGACCCTATGTTATTAGCAGCGCAGTTCCTTCTTCCGTGGTTCCACTGCCCACACAAATAGCTAACACACCGCCACCTGCCATACAAGGCGAGCGTCACCGATGAATTTTCTGCCTCGGAAATCTCCAGCATACAACAAGGTCGGGTTCATCGGGTCAGAGCAGGAGCATGTCGGCAGGACGACAAATTTGGACGGTATTGGGAGGTGAGAAAAACAGACAGGAGAGTTCCACGAGGACCTGGACGTGGGTATTCAGGACAAAGATGAGCATCCGTGATCTGGGTGGTTGGGGCGGGGAAGAGAGGATGGGATGGGACAGGTTCCCTTGCCCATGGCCATTTCACTGTGCGTTGTCTGCACTGTCACACGTCTACTGCATACCTTGCATTGAGGGGAAGTGGATGATAGGATTGGAATGGAATGGAATGAGGATGGGACGGGTGGAGGCCTATTTTGAGGGTAACAAGCCAGAGTCACGGCGCTGTCAAATAGCCGCACCCAATACAGTGGATGGAGGACGGGATGGAAGTGGAGGCTCAAGACAGGGATAAGCCCAGGTACTGAGAAGTACAGCCTACGCCACATGAAGCAACTCCACTCCTGTTCAAGGTGCTATACTGCTCTGATATGTACTGGTGCCATGCCAAGCCGTACCATACCATACCGGACGGGGTCTTGCTATAGTCAACGCACTTTGGCCGCCAGTGCAAACTCTGTTGAGTGGCACCTTTCACTGGACCTGAACCGGCTCCAGCCTTTACGTGAGAGCGAATACGTGAGAGTGAATGAGCGAATGGTGTGCTGATGGCTAGTCCCTCATCTCCATTCCTCTATTTCCCTTCACCAGGCTTAGCTAATACACTAGTGCTCTGCCCAAGAGGCGCTGGGGACGTCTCTGTCCTCTGTTTAGTCAAGCTGTGTCGATTTCTCCACCCTTTGCTCTCTCCAATGCAGGGCAAAAGGCAGAGAGCCCCTCCTGCCTGGTGATTGGGTTATGTTATTGTTTCTGTCCAATTGGGAGGCTGACAGCCCGGAATTGCCAGCGTGAATACACACCCATGTCCACGATGGACCTATGCACTAGGCCCGCTAAGCCTCTAAGCCTCAATCCGCTAGGCGGATCAGTCAAAGGGGTCCGGTTTGTGCCGTTTCCATTGGACAAAAGCCATTTGGCCAAGGAAGAGACCCCAGCTCTGCTTCCAGAGCTTGGGGGTTGGCATCATCCAACCTTGGCGTGTGCTACGCACCATCGTAAACCGAGGCCAGCAGCGAGGCTGGGAGCCTGTGGTGTCCACGTCTTTTTGGCGGCCAAAGGGGCCGCTATATTCCTTCCCCTCCACCACACATTGACTGCCACGCACCGATCGAGGAAAAAAGCTCAGAGGTACCTGATGTTCGGTGGAGTTATATGCTAACCTCCAACTCCCCCCTCGGCTCTTCGTCAGTTTCCTGGCTTCTATTGTTACCGAAGCTACTGGCTGTATCCCAGGTCATATCACTTCACAAAGGAGTGGGCCAGACAATGAGGGACGAAACAGCGTTATATATTCTTGCAGGCATTATTGCCAAATCTGGTTGGCCTAATTGCCGTTCCGTGAGATTTCGTGATACGCACGCCCTGCCTCACCGGCCTCGACAGCCAGGGCCCTGGGCTACTCTCAACCCCGACAAGTTTACCCCAGACGGGGGTTCTTCAGCGGGAGGCAGTTTCCAGCCTCTAGCGTTCGGCACGTACCTCGGCTGTATTTGATGTTTTTGCTTTGCTTAGGTAAGCATCCTCTACCCCACATGGAGACGGGGCGATAAACTCACAGAACGACTCGTCCTGTCAGTCGTTCCATATCAATGTGTCTTCTACAGATAACCCTGTTCGATAAGATAACTGTTGGCCCTGACCAGCCACCGCAGTTGGTAGATTTGGCCAGTCTTGCAACAATTTTCTTGCGCCCCAGTTCACCTCCTCACAAGGGATAATTCTTGGTCCGTATTGACAATCCAGTGAGCCCCTGCTCAGTACATGGTTCTCCAGTTGCAAATTCCATGTAACCACGGTGCGGTGGCCTTATTTTGTGCATTCTATGCTTTGCCGCGAGCCATTTACTATCGTCATAGGCCACGGGAGTGAATCAAGGAATGCCGCGGCTGACCAGACTATGAAGAGAAATATATCTAATACATGCACAGGAAGTTTGTGACCATCAGGGCATGATCCCCAGAGGAGTTTGCACCTAACGACGAAGGCAGGCCAACATAGTAGACATGACGTTCATTTACACATCAGGTTTGCTGGACACTCGAAAATAAAACAGACATTAGGGTTTTGCAATCATCTCGGTACCATCATTGCTGTTGGTTCCAGCCATCGATTTCTGTGTGTTTAAATGTCTTTCTCCCCCATGTGATATTTTATGGCAGCGATGCCATCTTATTCTGTCTGCCTCGGCCAGTTCGAAAAGTCGTCATACTGTTGACTGTGTGTATTTGTAATCGCACAGTAATGGAATGTCTCTGTGCGACACCGGAGCCGAGGTGCGAAAATGAATATACAGGCACCAGAGTGGAGGTGTATCCAGCTACCACAAGCATCCTGCCACTACCGTCGCTCTGAAAAACATCATAATCGCCTCAGAAAGTGCGAGGCTCTTTTTTCACTTTACTTCTTGCCACAACTTACCATCATCTTAACCCAGCAGAGTTGTCTAGCAAGTCATCCCAAGTTTAGTTGTCATTATTCTCCCTCGACCAGCGCATCCTCCTCAATTGTCGATCTCCTACCCCGCAATGTCACCTCCAGGATCTATGCTTGCCGTTGTGTTTAACGGACCACGGAATGTCTCTGTTGAGCAACGCCCGGTCCCTACCCGTCAGTAAATATCTGGTGTTACCGTTATTCCCCCTATACTCGAGTGTAGTCCTTAACAATCCAACAGTTCAGGATGAGGACGACATTATTGTCAAAGTACAGGCAACTGCATTGTGTGGCTCGTAAGGCGTCCCTGGAGTATTTGTACCCTCCATCACTCAGCTAAGAGCGTTTCAGAGAGTTGCACGTTTTCCGCGGCCACCAGCCGTCCGAGACCGGCTTTATCATGGGCCATGAGTTCACGGGTACTGTAGTCGAAAAGGGCTCCGCTGTTACTTCTTTTGACATCGGTGACCAGATTGTCTCACCCTTCACATCCTCATGGTGGGTTCCATACACATTTCCCACGCTGTTGCATCCAAAGCTTACACAACTCATGGCAGCATGCAATGCTTTTACTGCAACAATGGCTACTCTTCACGCTGTGTGCACAGCAAACTTTTCGGTTGCGGCGCCCTGGACGGTGCGCAGGCCGAATATGTGCGTGTTCCCAATGCAGACGGAACTGCTATGAAGGCCCCAAGCACTATCTCTGACAAAGCCTTGGTTCTTATGGCCGACATTTGGCCAACTGGCTTTTTCGGTGCTAAGACCGGCTTCAACATGCTGAAGGAAGAAGAAAGGTCTAATGCCACTGCTGTTGTGATTGGGTGTGGCCCTGTTGGTCTCTGCGCGGTCATCTCTGCCCTCGAGTATCGTCCTAAGCATCTGTTTGCTATTGATAGTGTAGACAGTCGACTGGAGCTTGCTAAAAGTCTAGGCGCGGAGCCCCTGAATTTCAAGACAGACCGGGCTGGCATGGAAAAGCGGATTAAAGAAGTGACGGAAGGCCGGGGGGCTGACGTTGTCATCGAAGTTGTTGGACTCTCGCCAGCTCTGAGAACGGCATTTGATGTTGTTAGACCTTGGGGTGTGATCAGCAGCATCGGTGTTCACAACGGTGAGGCAAGTACCATACTTCCATGGAGTGCACCGTATGCAAGCTTGCTAACCATAAGGACAGATTCCGTGGACTGGGGATGAAGCATATAGGTGAGTGTGACTAGATTGACAGTCGAAATGTGGTTACGCTGACTCTCCTCAAAGCAAGAACCTGCGAATCCAAATGGGTCGGTGCCCTGTACGATCCATCTTTCCCGAAGCCCTTGCCATGCTGGAGAAGAAGCAAGATAAACTTGGGTAAGCATAAGCCCAGCCCTATAAGCCCTATGAAGGTTAAGGTGATTTAACTTTTCGCTAGGTTCATGTTTGATCGCGTTATGCCATTGAGCGATGCTGTTGAAGGATATAATCTGTTCGACCTGATGAAGGTCCAAAAGGTCATCTTCACACCATGACCGTATTATTTGTTGTGTCCAAATTGTATTGGAACCAGAGCTCTAGAGAACCATGACAGACAGCAGTGACCAGCCAAGAGTTTGGATGTGCCACAGCAAATTGTAGATGATAACGCAACATGGGTGCCTTAGTTCTGTCTCGGCTTCACAATGCCCTCGTGCACGAGATAGTAGGAGACGGTCGAATCATCGTGAACAACGGCTAGCAACAGTCTCTTCTGGCGATCTGCGCCCCGCCAGTCGCGACTCAAAAGCGTATCTGGAGTTTGAGACACCCTTGATTTGCGAGGCAGAGCTTCGATGCAATCGAAGACAGCGGCGAAAGTTGATAATGTCCATTGCTCGCTCAAGTGCACTGGGAGAACCCATTCAAATTCGGGCGTTTGGCTGAGACGTTTGCCCGTGGATTGTTCGAGTTCCAAAGCCTCGATTTGCTCGTCAGGATGCATGTATAACCTCTTCGGAGGGAGACCAGTGATCATCGGTCGTGGCCGGGGTTGGCCATCATCGTGGACCTGGGCATCTGTCCAATCGTGCTGGTCCTTGAGGTTGTTGAGAACCAGAGCGGTCAGATCGACAAGGTGTTGTTGTTCGACCGCCATGTTAAGTCACCGCAGCACGTCACCACGACATGTGAGTGAGTTGTGCAGGGTGCTGATAATAATCTTTGTGAAATAAAGTTGAGGTGGTGGGAAGTAAGGGAAAATATAAGCGCAGTGAAGAGTTCTCAAGGTTCTCAAAGGGTCCTCTAACAATCAAGGGCCAATTGGAGTTCGCAACCGGTGGGTGACAGACCCAGTTAGCCATCGGGGGATTTGGGGTTGTTGCCTAATATACTATACGTAATACGTGCATATCATGGGACAAGCTGGACTATGTGGTATTTCTTGTATAATTGCATAATCGTTTAAATCTTGCTTGCTGTTGGCCTTGTGAATCAATTTTCGGCATCGTCATCGTTGCATTACGTCTCTCTCATATGCCATATCAGCTACATACACTCGCCGTCATTGATATATCCGTTACTGTTATGATCTTATCTTTCTACCTATCATTGCTCGCTCCCTTACCCTTTCCAAATTGTGAGACGGAATATTTTGTCACTCTTGTACGTTATTGCCAAAAATGCTCACACAGTCAAGCGAATGTCATTCGCAAGACATGTACGCCTTTTCTATATGAGTCTACTGCTGCCGCTACGTATCTATGTATTGGCACTGTTTCTAATGGTTGGGTAAAATAAAACGTGACGGGTTCTCCGATGTCAAGCTTTTTGGGTGGTGCCGTTACCGATAGTAAAGGGCTCATCAATGTGCCCAGCCCAGCCCATAGCTCAACTTTTGTTAATCAATGCACATTAAAACGCACCTTCAACCCACATATTTTGGCTGCAAAGCGTACGTACGCGTTAAGACGTGGCGAAGCTGTACTCGTAAGACGTAAGACGACTCAGGTCGACTTTTCCATACCTCGGTGGTGGCGTATTGAGAGTAGGTTCGACCCGGTTTGCACTATGCTTTTATGCATGACGATACATTGGGTTCCACTAACTGCAAGACGCATGGCTTCTATGCGCAATCAGATGAGACCGATAGGGAGGGAAGGAAAGCAAGTCAACACAGGACAATAGATTCCTCCTTGCTGACCGACGTAATCTGTAGGTTCTGGTCCAATCAACGGGTAGCAAAGTGGCTACTGCGCAACATGCTTGACTGTTTTGGAGGGTAGCTGACCTCACTGCACACAGGCATTCTGAGCGATTTGGTCGTGGGTCCGTCGGGGCATTGTCACTGTCGTATCAAGCACAGGTATTGACGTAACTCTTCCAGACCTGCGACGGCTATTTGGTGGTTCCCGCCCGCACGGTTAATGCTTGGGCATCTGTTTGCTTTGTTACCTACCTGTTTAGGGCCATCAGGCCAATGATGGCTCTCCAGGCTCTAATGACCCCTGCCCAGGCCTCCGTCATTAGGATTTGCTCCTGCCAGCACCAGTCCCTGTCCCCGCCGCCCCTTTCTCACTCTTGCTCAGCCCGTTTCTCATAAAACATTTCCGTTCCCTGAGGTCATAACCTTGTGTCGCTGTGGCTTCAACCTTTGTCTACTCCACACTGTTGAATCTTCCATCAACAAACTTGCCGATACCCGATTTCCTCTCGATTAAAGTATCTTACGGCTTGCATCATCGCTTGACAATCGTTCGCTCTATTTCCTCTCACTGATACCTTGGCGCCGTATTTGTTGGCTAACATTTACCATTGTTCATCTAATCCCTCTTTTCATATTTCTTGTCTGCCTGGCGACCACTTCTATTACCCGATTCGCCGAAACATCGTGTTCCCGGAGAGGCATTGTGGTCGTCTGCTATACTACTCGGACACCTACACCCCTGGTTCCAGACGCCCTCGAATCTACCGAAAGCTATAACTGCCAAAAACGACTTATCGGCCTCGACGACTTCGAACAAGTTGCCCCCCATGTCTCGGCCAGCGTCCTCACTGGGCAACAGCGAGAAGGAGAGAAATTTACCACTAGACCAGTCAACAACAGACTCAAAACCTTCGGACGTTACCAAGCCCGATGATTGCAACAAGTCGGGTATTGAAGGTCACGAAAGAATACCAACGAGTGCCGCCTCGGCCACAGTTGCCACCGCCCAACGTGACTTATATGAGCCGTACGCGAACGGTTACCATTTCCCGCCCGCACATAATTGGAAACAGTCTTTGCGGATAGGAGCGAAGGCCTTTTGGAACTATACGTGGACACCGATTGGCTTTTTCGTCGTTCTTTATGGCCTTAATGTTGTTGCATGGGGTGGCATGCTCTTCCTTTTGCTCTGCAACGCATCGCCAGCCATGTGCTACCCAACCTGCAACGACATCAATTCACCACGACGTAAATGGATTGAATGGGACTCCCAAATTGTCAACGCTCTCTTCTGTGTAACTGGTTTTGGCCTGGCACCATGGAGATTTCGCGACCTTTATTTTTTATTGCAATACCGCCTTTTACGGAAACCCGAGGCGCTTGCCCGTCTGGCAGGCATTCATCGCAGCTGGTTTCGGCTACCTGGCTCTGATCAGCTTCCTGCCGACGTTGGGCCTGATAATGTTGCACAGTTGGCGACGGATAGGCCGTGGTCACACATTCCACATCCTGAGAAAGCTATCCCAGACCCACCTCTGACGGGTGTCAGAGCACCACCGACGGCCATTTGGAAAATGGATTTTGTTATCTGGTTTAATGTGTTGAACACATTTTTGCAATGCGTCCTGTCAGGGTTTATGTGGGGAATGAACAGGTATAACAGACCAAGCTGGGCTACTGGATTATTCGTTGCCCTCGCCTGTATAGCAGCTGCCACTGGAGGCCTGATGATGTTTTCCGAAGGTAAGAAGGTTAAGAGCATCGAAGGGGTACCGGTGAGTAAAGAGGACCAGGAGCGGTTAGAAAAGGACAAGGAGTTAGGAATTCAACACTACAACAATATCAAGGATAAGGAGCCAAAAGGGAACAAGAAGGGCAAAGGGGAAATTTCATAATATACGAATCTCATTTAAGTTCACCAAGCGTAACTTGATTTTGAAAAGTGAAGGCTTATACCACGTTGTAAAAGCAAACGTCCAAGTACAAGTGAGAAGACTGCAGTCCACGTCCACTGTTGAAGCGAGGTAGCGGTGACTGATCTGCTTTATACTAGGGTTGAACTTGCATAAAATATTAGACATAATTATTTTTTGCAAGTTAGCGGATATGCACCTAGCAGAGTATTATGCCTATACATGAAAGTTCGACTGCCTGCAAAAAGGGCACTCATTTTGGTGATTAGATATCTAGGCTTGTTATCTTCTCTGTCATTCAATATGTATCCCTCAAGCCCAGTTGTATCGTACCCGATGATACAATATAACGAAGAGAGTGTCGTTAACAAAGCGACGCAACTTACTCCAAGGCCAGGGCTTGTATTGTTATAAGAAAAAAGGGCGGGGGAGAGAGAAAAGAAGACATGAGTATTTACTTGCCGTACGAAAGACCCCGAATCGATGTTCAGCTATCAGAAGCTACGGATCTTGAGAGGTTGGCCAACCTGGTGTCATCTGGTGTGCTCACGGGTCCCCTTCTGCCAAGATGGCGCGCATGTGAGGAGCCAGTCGGTGTGTCCACTTTAGTGATAAGCTACTTCACAATTGTCCCTGCACTCCACATTCCATATCCCCAAGTCCGGCTGCCGCTGCCCCAGCCTGTATGGACAGCGTTCACTGAGCTATGACTGCGCCCGTTCCAACCTTCTTCACCCAACCTTGCAGGTTACCTTGTGCCACAAGGCCCTTGACCTCGGAAAGAGTGACCATACCTACTTGACCTTTTGAAACCTTTACCTTCACATACCGTTTTACAGCCCGATCCGATACTTATTTGTCCCACTAGATTGGTTAACCTACGTCGCTTGTGTCTACTTCTTCTGGCTCCTCCATACCCATTACAGCCCAAAATTCGCCAAAACTCGCATATACCGACAAGTTTATCAATATGGGGTCAAGGGCTTTGATCCCATTTCTCGTGGCCATGATGCTACTGACTGGTGTTTGCAACACTTTGCTTACCAAGTACCAGGTAAGTCCTGCTGTTGTGCTTGCAGTCATAACCCTGGCTCTCGACATGTTTGCTCCGGAGTGATTACCATGTACTAACCTCACGTACCCCTCTGTTAGGACATGCAATGCGTCGCCAACTGCGACTCCAAGGACCCGTCGAAGCGATTGTACTTCAACCAGCCCGTTCTACAAACGGCGCAAATGTTTGTTGGTGAGATGGGCTGTTGGCTGGTTGTCGGCCTGATGGCTCTCTACCGTCGCTTCGTCTCTGGAGCATCCCCCACGTCGGACGGGTACGAGGCCGTCAATACAAACGATGCAGACGAAGCAAACACGGCGCTTATCAACAACTCTGGTGGAGTACCCAAACCGTACGGTGAGGAGGGCAATGGTTCTATTCTTCGCGGCCCTCGCATCCTCCTACTGGCCCTTCCGGCTATTTGCGACATCCTTGGTACAACGCTGATGAACATTGGTCTGCTTCTTGTGGTCGCTTCTATTTATCAGATGACTCGCGGCGCTCTTGTTCTCTTTGTTGGTCTATTCAGTGTCATTTTTCTTCACAGGCGGCTGTTTCTCTTTCAGTGGCTGTCCCTCGGTGGTGTTGTGTTCGGCGTTGCCATTGTTGGTTTGGCTGGGGCCATCTATCATGAGGATAAGACCAAGGTTGAAGTCATCGACAACGACGCATCTCCAGCCTCAAATGCGCTGCTGTCTGTCATTGGTGTATTGCTCATCGCCGGTGCTCAAATCTTTACTGCGACGCAATTTGTGCTTGAGGAATGGATTCTGGAACGGTCTGCCATTGAGCCTATTAGGGTCGTGGGTTGGGAGGGCCTCTTTGGCTTCGTCGTCACGGTAATTAGTATGATTGTTTTGCATCTGGCGATTGGCCGTACCGACGCTGGCCGCTATGGGTATTTCGACATGGCAGAGGGCTGGAGACAATTAACTAACAACAGAGCGATTGGCATATCCAGCATCCTGATTATGATTAGTATCGGGTAAGAGTACCTTATCACCAAGCCGTCATGGCCGTAACTAACAGTTACCGTATGTTCAGCGGGTTCAATTTTTTCGGGCTGTCAGTTACTAGAAGTGTCTCTGCCACATCCAGGTCTACTATCGACACTTGCAGAACACTGTTCATCTGGATCGTCTCATTGGGTTTGCGGTGGGAGACATTCAAGTGGCTCCAGGTCCTTGGCTTCGCGCTGCTCGTCTACTTTACTTTCCTCTTCAATGGCATCGTCCAACCCCCATTCCAGTTCCTCGTCCCCGATGAGGAAGTGGAGGAATTGTTGCCAGAGGAACCGATTGAACACCAATGAATCAGAGCAAACATGTACGTCATGTTAATGATGCATAGATTGGAAACGAATATACAGGAGGTCCTATACGTCTAGTTATTGGTATCGGTCTCGAGGTTTCTAAAGAGAACCACGAAAGCTGTGTCAAATGTATAACCCAGAACGTTGAACAAATATATTCGCGAGGTGCTATTTGCTAGGCTGCTACTGCGGGTTGTCCTGCTGGGTGATCGCACCAGACAGTAGTCTGGTTGAGGTGCCAAGATCAAATTTCTTGGTGAAATCATGGTGGATTGAATTTACGCTGAGGACTACAAGACAAATAACGGTTGTAATTCAAGCTGGAACATTAATGTTGCCCAGCCCGGCAGTGAGACGAGTCTCGACTGAACTTTCAACTCTACTGACCCCGTCAAAGTCTTTGGGAGTGCGGCAAGTGGATGATAAGCACCATTACGTTCATGTCAAATACGGGCTATACTAGAGGCGCGTGCCCAAAACCCCCCAAACACCAATAACGCCGCCCAAATGCAGCGTAGCATACTGCTTTCCCTCGAGGACGATACCAAAGTTCCCCGACCCTAGGTTTAAAGCAAATCCAACCGTAGCCAATGCCCACTACGTCACCGCCAAGACGGTCAAGTAACGTTGCAAAGCAGCTCAGCTTCCAGAATGAACTTGCCCTCCTTGTATTTCTCTGTGGCCTCGTATGCCTTGTCGTATTTCCAACCGACCGTCTCCTTGCATTGCTTGCAAGTGATATCTCGCACAATATGGCGCCCGGTTGTCATGTTGCGCTCGCTCGGCTCGCCCGTTTCAATATTAACAACGCTATTGAAGAGGTACGCTTTACCATGTTGGCCTCTGAAGTTCTGTTACACGGGTACGATGGTTAGGAGAGAAGGTAAGATGATAAGAATTAATGGCGTCGTCCGACTAATAGCCATCTTTTCAGAGCAAGGTTGAAATAGGTAAGTCGTACGTACCCGACTGATGATGTCTTCATGGTTCGCCAGATGTGCCTTGCAAGTCTTGCAGCCATAGACCTTGCTGCTGTTCAAGTACGTGTTGTAAGCTAGCCCCATGGTATATATTCACTCCTCTGCGGAGGTAGTGAGGTCGAGGGGAGTTCGTCAAACGGGGTTATCGTACAGACTGTTGTGAGGTCGCCAGATCTCATTGGCGAGCCTCCTGGAACTCGCCAGAGCAGAGGAATGAGGCGACCGTTGCACTCTTGTATCCCAGTATTGTGTCAGACGAAAGCAAGAATATAGGGGAATGATGTTCAAGTCACAGACAGCTTCTTGATGAGTACGCACGTTGTTGGGGCGCAGGTAAGGTGCGGGGAGTGGTTTGTAGTAGAGAGACGGGGTCGACAGCACAGGTGAGGTAATGTCCAAGCCAAGGACTAGGCGATAAGATGACACAGCTGGGCACTGTTCTCCACTAAAACCTACACAGCAAAAGCACTTCCCTCCAGATATAGTTATGCAGCAAACGCGCCCAGGTGATATTAGTTTCAACTGTCAAGTTACGACAAGAGAGAAAAAGTAAAAAAAGCCAGGTTTTCTTTGCTGCAGCGGAACACTTGGATTTTTTTTTTTTTGGGGGGGGGGGGGGGGGGGGGGGGGTTTTTTTTTTCCTATTATGTCAACTGCCCGGAAGCCCTGGAAGCCTTCTGATTGAATCAACAGCTGACAGTCGCCTCACGTGGTGTATTTGGAAGCAACTGGGGTTACTGCGCTACAGGGGAAGAGGGGAATGGGGCAGGCATCATTGGATCTGAAATCATGTTTTTGTCCAGGGAAATATCGGGTGACGTATCCGGCGGCTAACCCCGCTGTTTCTCTTAACTACATGGAATGCGTATCTATCTACACGACACTACGACCTCTAGTGAGCCCCTATATTTACATAGAACATTTCGAGCCAAGCCTCCCGTTTGGTCTGGATTCCTGGACATATATCTGTCTGCCTTATGCTGTCCAGTATCCATTTGCCCTTCTTGACTTGCACAAGGGCATTTCCCTTTTGTTTGATGTACACGTGAAAGTGCAAAAGCGTCGAGGTTGCTGCTGACTACCACCTTCTTACCATGAAAAGGCCTCTTCGTTGAAGTCGATAGCAGAATCATGCTGGCGGTCGCGCACCGCGCGGCGCACCTCATCACTAAGAGCTCCAGGACCACAGACACTGATGCCCATCGTGCCGATTTGGGATTCTTGCTCGGCCCGAATGAGTGTCTCGATGTTTGGTCGACCAGGGAACATCTGTACAGTGGCCGAGGGGCTGTGGATCTCTTTGGTCGAACGAGGACGACTGACAAAGAGCATGATGCGAAGAATATCTCGACGTTTCTCCATAGCCAGAATTTCTGTCATCCACGGGCGAATCCACTCAAGGTGTTCAGGGCTCTGGATGATCCAAATCAGAACAACCTTCCTAGCGGCAACTGTTCCGTTGGCATAACCAGCAACAAGATCCCGGACGTGAGGGACCTGGTGAGTAATTCCGACACCGCCTGCGAAGAGCATAACGGTACCGTAAGAACGCATGCCATGAAGCCCACCGTAGGGTCCTTCAATCATGCAGGTTGTAGTCATACGACCGTCAGGGCAGGCCGCCGCCTTGCGATACAGGGTGTCCGTCATGCCAGTGCGGGCGCGAATGATGAAAGACATGGTAGTTTTGCGCATGGCCAAGATGTCTTGTCTGTTGAGGGACATTTTCTCGGCCTGAGGATCCTCCGCTTCTTCGGCCCACGCAACAGAAAAGGGGTGTGATTGCCACCAACTTATTGAAGGCATATACACGTAGGCGTGCTGGCCAGGGCCAAAGGTCCATGGGCGGGCCATTGTCACTGTTACACGGCAAGCGTTGCCTGGAAGAGCCTCAACGAGGGCTTTGCTGCCTCCGTGTCCAAAGTTGCCATAGAAGACGCGACAGGCGCGCCAGACACGATCGCCGGCCCAGAAAATGACGACTGGCCACAGGTACTTGAGCTGGGGCAAGGCTTTCATCTGCAAGTGATACCAGGTTCCGATGACGGCTGTGATTGCCAATAAGATGTGAAGGAGCTTGAACGTTTCATAGAAGGCATGGCGGATGGGGCTAGAAGCTTGAATCCCAAGGGCGACAAATGCACATGTGCCCTGTACCATGGCTGTCAACATCTCACCTCTATACTGTGGAGGGTATGTACTTACGATGAAACCAAAGAGCAAAAAGGGTACCGCGACAATGGATTTCCATCCAGACTCCCAGCCCGTAGCCTGGGCCTTGTTTGACCACCAAGCCAAGGTGTGAGCAAGGGCCTCCAGAATGACAATGCGACCAAACCAACGGTGCAACAGGTTAAAAGTGTCGAACGAAATGCCCAGCAAACTGATCAAAGGGTTGTTACGCCCAGCCATCAGGAACAAAGGGATCTAAGTTTGGTTAGGTTAGCATATATTCATCGGAGAATTTCATGTTTGCCTGCAGGTGCAAAGAGCAGGGGCTAGTTCGGTTCAGATTCAGCTGCAATGCAGATTAACACTTACCATGTTCACGACAGCGAGAGTACCTGTTCTGTTTCGAAGCTGACCAGCTGCAGCAGAGAAGGAGCTGGCGAAGGGGATGTTGATGACACAGAAGGCAATGTTGGTGCCCAGGTAACCGGCGAGGAACAGCAGCTGAAGACGACTGGGCAGGGTGCCGACGTTGACAGCACTGCTCATCTGAATTTCTCGGTTGTGACGCTTGCTGAAGATGGGGGCGTAAAGGATGTTTCTCTTCAGCCAAGAGACCTTGGAATCGGTTTCAGCAAAGTACCGCTGGTTGTCATTGTTGAGACAGGCAACGGTGCGGACATATTTGACGATCACAGCCCAGACTCTCCAGATGATAACAGCAGCCGATACACAGGCACAAATGTAGTAAAGATAGTTCGCGAGAGCCTTGTTTTCAAGGGCAGCATTAATAGCCGCTTGTTGCTCTTCTGGAGACTTTGCGGCACCGCCGCCGCCGCCGCCGCCAGCCATAATGATGGATATTTGACACGGAAAGCTGCTCGATCCACGAAGGTCCAGATGTAAAAGAGCCTCGCTTGTTCGTCGTTACGCAGGTGCCTTTGAAGTCTGATATCGACCGCCGGTTGCTCAGCAAACTCGTGACCAAATATCGAGAAATCGTAGGTTTATGAAGCAGGAATCTTTCTCGGGGAGAAACAGTTGTCGATTGCAGCGATGATGTGACGGGTTTCTTGTTTTGCAATAACAAAGTAAAAGAAAAAATGACGAATAAATAAAACGTCGAGTTTTATTTTCAATGTTTTTTTTTTTTTATGATTCTCGTAGGTGGAAATATCTCGAAACCGGCACGATAGGTATTTCAAAAGAGTAGTGGGTAGCCGGAGAAGAAACGTCGCCTAAGGTGCATTCAATGCAAGGAATGAAGATGACGGCAGCAAAAGAAAAGAAGAAAAAGGACGTCTTGGAATTCACGTCGCTCGAAGCCTGGGCCTGAGAGAGAAGAATTGAGAAAGGGAGGGACAAGAAGTGAAAATGAGCCGTCAAGCCGTAGAGAGAGGGGAGGAAGGGAAAGAAGACGGGATGGATCTGCGAGATATGTTATCAGAAGGTAAGCAAGAGACCGGCGCTGTAAGTACCAGACGGTGTATTTCTTAGTCCAGCCGAGCCCACGCACACAGACAGCCTGTATTCTAGGCTAGGCAAGGTACTGGATTCAAGACTACTGTGCAAGCAAGGAAGGGCAAGGAAGATAATCTAGTTGGTGCGCTCTTGGTGCCCATTTTGGAGGGGTGTGGAGTTGGGTGTGAACCGGTGAGTCCCCAGTCGACGAGGACTAAAACACCATTTCCCACTGTAAAAAGAGGATTGCAGATCCGCCGATGTGGGCGTCCCCAGATAGATGGAAAGGGAGTCCCCTTGCCTGTCCCAGGCTTTTTCGGTCACCACCTCTTCTTTTCTTACGGCTTGCTGCGCAAAATGTTACACTACGCAACGGGACAGCAGCACTGGCGATGAGTGGAGGGCGGCGGCGGTCAAACAGCTGAGGTACCATCAGGCAAGTCAAGTCGAGACGAGGCGTGGCACAGGGTCATGCAGGGCGACGCATGGCAGGGTAGGGCACGGCAAGGGTTGACTCGGCAAGTGCGTCCGAATTCGTTCGCGGTATCCGTATCATAGTACGGCAGTTGGCTCCTTCGTCCTTCATGTCAGGACTCGGGCAACCAGGGCATGGGTACCGGTTTCTGGTTGTCTAAACCGCAGCGAGTGGTGTCCGTACAGCGGCAGGCATAAATAACCGCGGGACTCTCCCCTGTCCCTTGCTGGTTTGCGCTAGTGGTATAGCACGTTGTGTGTGGGAGGGAGGGAGGAATTGGATCTTCGAGGAACGACGGGATGGCATGGCGCAATGGATGGGTCAGGGGTAGAGCATGTTGCCGGTCAAGGAGTAAAAGCGGCGAAGAATGTGTACATAGTTGACGTGTACTCTGAGAAGGATGGGAACAGAGGCGTGAGACGTAGAGCTAGCAAGGATCAAGGGTGGCGACGGAGATGCCTTACAGCAGATCAAGGAGGGAAGACGCAGGGGAACACTCAGTAATGAACAGGCACAGCACTATACATGGATCAGACCTTTTTCTTTTTTAGTGATTTTGCCGTTCCTTTTTCGGTGCATTTCTTTTTTAAATCGCTTCCTTTTCTCATCTCCCTGAACTATTCCTAGGCTTTCGGCGTGGCCCTTCCCAGGTTTGCCGGACATCGGTCAAAACTACTATGTATAGGAAGGGGTTTGCTTAGTGAATAGTTGTGGCTGCTGCTGTTGGGCTTGTTATTTTTTCTCCCATCTTCCCCCTTTCCTTTCATCACCTCACTATCATTGGATGCAACAGGCCAGCCCCTGGCCGAACCTGGCGGTTGGACAGTTGATTGGCCACAATGCTGACTGGTACCTTGGAGTCAACGTTTTCAGGGACAACGCCTTTTATTTCATCATACACGCACAGGTTGGTCCGTCGGTTGGCCATCGGAGAAAATGCCATTCACTAACCAACTTACGGAGTTCGTAGTACCCAGGTTGTGGCCCAGTTCAACCCCTCTTACAATGCAACCAGTAGCAAGCTTGGCAATCATCATCCCTCCACTATGTACACAAGTCTGGCTGTACCGTCCGAAGTGGGAAGCCCTTAATATTACACGCGCACCTTTACAAAGCGCAGTTGCTGTTAGATATGCGGCTACTACAGCCTTGAGTCTTGGTGGAGTGAGTGTGTGTCTTTTCCTAGTCAAGAGCTCTAATAACGAGCCGTGGCCCGGTATCAGTGCGACTTGTTTTCTTGACTGCGTAGCCTGTTGCAAGCTGTACCTGTCGATTTGATTTGACGGTCACGACACACTACTACTTACAACGTCCATCGAAAGGTAAGTTGGTGTGCGACTTAGTAGAATGACAGTACATGCGTTGAGATTCGCAGCAGCGGCGCCTATTGCACTCCGACTGGTGGCGGGGAAGTGTGATCTTTCAATCTCTGAAACAGGCCGCGTCTGTGGCTGCACCAAACTAATACAATAGAGGAGGGTCCGGTGGGACCCAGCTACGGGTAGTCAAACGGCCAAACGACTGTCGCCATCCAAATGATTGCCAATCTAGGCCCACCTATGTTCTTGAACCATACATGCCCTGCTCAACCTTACCAATCATTTCCCAAACTTCGATCATGACATAATCTAGCCCAACCAAAACTGCACCACTGCAACTGCGATTAAAAATTGCCCAGTCCCAAGCTGTATCAGCGTATGTGCGTCTCGGCCGTGTCAGGGTAGGATCAGCCGAGGAAGCCCTTGTGGGTCTCATCCCAAAGGGTCCAGCGCAATGCAAGCCAATAGAATAAGTCTATCAACCCCCAATCCCCAAATCCCCCGCCAGAAAGAAAGGAAAAGAAGGAAAGCAAGCAAGAGGGAATGTCAAAGACGTCCTCAAACATGGTAGCACATGCACCGGCACACTGGCTTATGTGATATTCTATACAGATCGCAGGCTGAGTCCGAATCTGCTTGTCCTCGTTATTTTTTTACCCTTCACTTTTCATCCGGACTTCTGACACCGACCAGATACCAGGCCCTGATTTGCTTGGTCTCAACTCTTCCTGACGACGTCACAAAACGCAATACCAGCCTTTCCATTGGCGTCCACTTGAGACAACCACACCCGCTCTCTTGGCTGGAATTTCATCTGTGGCTTGCCCAGGGTTGGTCTATGACCTGGCTGGATAGTGGAAGGTCGATGCGCTTCCAAATCCAAAGGAAATACATCAAGCCAACCTAGGACCACGGCTAGATCTGAACATCGAATAATTAGTGACCAGACGTGATGTACAACACCTCTGGCCAACCCCCTACACACCTTATTGATCACACTCAAAGCCATCGCCAAGCCATATATTCTTTTTTTTTTTTCCCTCTCTATTTCTTTCATTGTTTTGAGGGAGGCATAACATTAGCCCTTTGGCCTCACTGCTTGCCTCACTGCTTGCCTGCGTCTCCGTGTGACAATTTACCTTTCTCCTTCATCTTTTTCTTCGGTCTCCTGTTAGGCCGCGATAACGTATATCGCTTCACGTTAGCTACTATTAGGTTTCCATTGACATTGTACACATAGAAGACACGCCAGTGGATGACTGTGTCCCTGCCAGCAGACAATTCCCAAGATCGTCTCCTTCTATCTTAAATTAAATTATCTGGTCATGTTTATGATCATCATCATCATCATAAATAGAGAAGTTCATCAGCACAAGTAACAGTGTCATTGAAAGACTGCGCCGCAAGCCTACTCATGGTTACAAGAGCTGTGTAGTTACTGGTACCATGACGTGTCTAGCCTAAGCGTGCAATATCTCTGGGTCTAATGTCCTTACTTTCAGTTTTCAGGTTACAAGTTTTTCCTTCTAATAGTCGGGGACAATCTTCAGGATATCACCGATGAACAAACATGGCCTGTGCCTTCGCCTGCCCGGCTGGAGGCCGAAAGGCCGTGCATTCTGCACACAGGCTGCCTTAGAGATGAGACGCTAGATTGTCCTGCCGAGATGATGGCGTTTCATCGATTCCATCTATAGACATGAACGTAGCGTTGAAAAACATGGGACAAGTCAAGTGGAAGCATCCCATGTTGTAGGACCCTCGCCCGCGCGCGGGCCTTGACTCAGGCACTGCCACCGACAGAAACACCAGCGGCAGCAGGGAAAGTAATTGCAAGCCATCATTCATAGACTGCAACCGGATGGGCGGACTTATGGATTACCGTTGCTCTTCTTCATGAACGATGCCTCCCAACCTTCACCAAGGACGGCTGGTGATGGCCGCTAATACCGCGGAGTAAACTCACGGATCAGCCACTTAACAGACTCGGACTGCCGTCATTAGGTCACATTTTGAGGCAACAAGCAGTTCAACCTCTCCTACTTCGATCCTCGGCCATCTAAAGGGCTTGATGTTACATATGTTTGTTTGATGCCTGCTATGTCGTGAGTATCCGCCTACCATTCTCATCGTGCCCGTGCTACTTCCGATCCGGCCATGCACCAATCTCGTATTTCTAAACATGCTCGCTGTCGAATCCCCGTTGTTTCATGCAGTCATCGGTGAACGTATATCATTCGTCGTCTGCGTGGGATACGTTGGTGAATATATATTTGATTCGCAATTGAATGATGAGTATCATGTTCCTCAAAGTCAACACGAAGTAACCCCTCGGGGGTGTGTCCATCCAACGAATGTTTTGTGCTGTTCATCTGAGGGCACATGAGCATATGTATATAGTTTTCCTCAAGTAAGGCAATGTCTTGTTCATGCTGCATTCCTCGTTTCCCATACTTGGGTTCGCTTAGACCCTGTCCTCCTACGCTTGCCATTCTTGGTAGCAACCCAATTATTGTAATCATATCATCATATCATCAATACTATGCCATCTCTCCGTTCCGCCATCATAGAACCTTGTCGGTGTTGGGCCTGGTGGCCTGCCAATGGGGCCGGCCCATTGCCACTGCAAAGACGAATCCGCCTCCTATGAACACTAGCTACTCTGAGGTGAAGCGGATGAGCTCTAATGGATAAACAAGAAGTATGAGCATTCGGTCCTTTTTTTCACGTCACAATAAACCATGCATAGAAGGAGGCCTGATTAGAAAAGTAGATGTACAACGAAGATTCAGCAAACCTACGCGTGGGGATGCCAGACTCAGGTGGTCAGCCTCAAGAGTCTTCTCGCAGTTCTTTGGTGTGCGACTGGCACCGATGATCCTTCGGCCGGGAGTAGTTCCATTCCTCGGCTTCAGTGTCGCTACTCGTCCGAGATCTGCGATTCGCTTGCACAGTCCTTGTAATATGGGTCCTTAACTCAACAAGCAATGCGCCATAACATCTAAGGCAGCGTCTTAAGCTTTGGGGTATTACAATGTAGGTGTACGCAATAGACGTTCCCCGCCGAGGACCTCGCATTGCAAGATCCCCGTTTTCCATCGGGTGTTATGCTCGCGTCTCACTTGACAAAGTCACTTAGGCACCTAGTCCCATACACATACCATACAAGCTGGCGTCTCGAGGTCTGCCACCTCATCTCAACTACTTCGGCGCGCGACCCGCAACCACTTCTTAACATAGCATGCTAACATGTCGAAGAGTTTCCGACTTTTTGCAGATTGTTGCTTGGTAATCCGGTCTGCTTTCATGCTTTTCACTCCAGTGTAGTTGTATCAGTTCAGAAATAAGCATCCCTAACCTGCCATAACACCATCTCGGCCCGGGAAATTGAAGATGACGTACCACCTCGCCCGGACATGCATCATATTCTCCCTCCGTCCAAGAAAGGAAGAAAGAGCGGAGGGTTTGATGGAAAGGAAAATATTGATTAAAAAAAAAAAAAACACACACACACAATGGAAAAAGTGGAAGAAGAAGAGGAACCTCTTTTTTGTGCCAGCAGCTTTTCAGGTTCTCGTGAACATCTTGCTCTGAAGGCTAATGTTCTACACAATTTTGCGCTGCCCTGCAATGTCCACTTCACGGGATCGCCGCCGCACCAGACGCGAATGACTGGATGAGGGAAAGTTGGGGGAGGAAGAAAAAAAACCATTCAGATATCCCTGTCAACCCGCTGTTCATGTTCCTGGTCGAAACTCCACCGCGAGACAAGGCGCTGAAACAAGACTTGACAGATGTTTTGAATCCCGTTGGCTGTTCACAATACAGAAATGAACCATTCATCTATATGCTGCTATCCCCATTACAATCCCAGTTCGTCGTCGTCGCCGCTGTGGCCTGTCATATTGCTCATAATGCTCAGGTCTGCCAATACCTTGCGCCGCCCCATCTTGCCGCTCCGGATCAGATGCCGGCATTCCCCCCGTGAACTAATGACTCTGCTGCCTATTGGACAACAACCTACAGCTCGTGACCAACTCTCTTGGGATGTCTTGCTGAGTTCATCAACGCCATCCTCCACGTGAATCGAGACTTTGCCGAGTGTACCATTACGATAACAGCTTTTACCCGCGCGCCTTTCCCTTCCCTTCAAGAAGTTTCCTTGATGTGGGTTCGGTGTGTCCGCCGCCTTGGTCGCCGGCTGCAGACATCCGCTTTTGCCGGAACCCCCCGCTACCGACATTAACGGTTCTGACTCTGACAAGCTTAACCGCTTATATTCCTTCCCCTCGTTTTCCCCATCGGCTTGGCAGGGCCGCAGAGCCACTTGGGCAACGTTGCGCCGCTTCGAACCCGGGCTAGCGGCAATCCACTCGCTGATACCTTCTTCCCACCGGTAACCTGCGAAGAGTTCTCTGGCCCCAATCCCTTCCAAAATGGTGTCCCGCTTAGCCAATACTCCTGCCAGGGTCTCTGCGAAGACAAGGTCGCGGAGGTCGTCAGTTTTCTGCGCAAGAAGGAAGGCACCATCTTTTTGGAGCGTTGCGAGACCTGAAACCTGTAGTTGATCAATGAGATCGCAAACTGTGGCGAAGTAATAGCTAGACGGCCGGCCTGTGGCCTTGCCGCAGCAGTGAGCAATCGAACAAGCCAAAGCAATCGTGGCGTCGTAAAGCCGGCACCGTTGGTTGCCGCTGCCCCGTGACCCGACGCTCTGTCGCTCCTTGAACCAAATAGCCTTCAAAGTTGCTCTGGATCTTGATCTCATATTGTGTTTGTCTCTTGCGCCTGAGGACAGGAAGAGAGCCAGCAGTAAAGGATACCTGGCTTCAACGCTACCGTCCTTGCTTGTTACCAGCGCCAATGCTTCTTGTAGAATCTGCGAGATTACTCTTGATACCTGGCTTGGTAATCCTACTTCTGTTTCGTTGGTTGTTCCCCCGAAGTCTTGAGATACCATTGCCATAGCTGAGACAGCACCCAATACGCTTGCCAACGTTAGCTCAGCAGGGCCATTCCTCAAAGCCCGTGACTTGTAGCTGCTGCACTTCGGAAATGAGCAGAGTGATAAAATTCCCAGTCCCGTGGAAGTAAAACGGATTCCCGAAGGATTGGTTTCTTCGTCAAGTGTCGAAGATGCAGCTTTCGTCCATAGAGAGCCAAAAGCTTTGGACGACAGTATGCTACAAGGAAGTTGCTTGCGAAGCAGGAGTAACGAGACATTTTCGAACAAGTGAGATGTGATGTGAGCGTTATCTGCAAGGTCTGCCAAGGACAACAGGACCTCACTCTGTAACTCCTTACACAACGTGCCGTTACTTTTTGAAGATCCGGAATAAGACTTACTGAGCACTGCCTCTATAAGTTCCGCAGACATGGACTGACCATCGATCTTTTTACAGTAATCGATCAAAATGTATGCGAATGTTGTATCCAGTGTGCCGTCGGTGATTGCTGCCCGTAGAAGGTGAACGGCGTGTGCCCTCAGTAATACCCAAAGATGACTCCAGCCATTACCCGCGCCACCCAAAATTTCTAACTCATCGTACATTGCAATTGAATAACTGATCTTTTTAATCGAGGATACTGGCCCATGGATCGGTGTGTTGAGCTTTTCCCAGGCATCAACGTGAGCCGCATAATCAGGCATTTTGCGGAGACAAAATGACAAAAGTGATTTTCTATCCGCTGAAGGTTTTGTGAAGGATGTCGCGCGCAGCAACGCATCGAGGTCGTGGAGAATCCCCTCGTATAGTTGATATCTTGAAGCTGGGTAGAGATGGCGGGCACGCTGCAACTTGCTCAGTGCTATGTCTAAACCCCCGCGTTTTGCCATTCTCGGAGGCAAACAAGCGTCCCTGGCCTCCTGACATACGGCTGTAGTTGAGGGCGGGAACTCGTCCCCATAGCACCTTACTTTGCGAAGTATTGGAGTTGATACGTTAGGAATTCCGGGCTGTGAGGTCTGCGGTTTTTGTTGTGCCCGAGTCGGAACCCGGCTCATAGTTCCAAGGGATAAATGACTTGCTGAAGTACTAGCGATCAAAGTGGGAGACAACTTCCTTGAGTAAGTGCGATGCGGTCGTTTTCTCTGGTTTTCATGGTTGTCTTCGCTGTCTCCAACTTTTCGTCTCTTGGCTGACGGCTGATGCACCACCTCTTCATCCTGTTGACACGGTTCAAGTTCGTATCCAGCTCTCCCAACCGCCGCAGCCTTCCGTAACGCAATTATTCGAGAATGAAGAGGCCGTAGAAGTCTTCGACACCTTGCTGATGTCCACGTACGATTCTCTGCGTTGTCTATGTTGCGAACATCGCCGATATAATTCCGATTCGAGAGTTTCGGCTGAGTTAAAATGCCAGGCTCCTCCATGGCGACAACAGTTCTTTTAATTGGGAACATCAACGCAATGTGAAGAGCGCCTAATATGGAAGCCCCCAGATAGGTGTTTTGAGGGTGAGTATCTTAAAGCCCACAAAGTATAGCGTCCTGGCAATGATGCGTAGGCCAACCAAAACGTCGAGCTTTTCAAGTAAGGATGTTTTCTAGACTGCGTTTGACGGCACAAAAGCAAAGATTGTGTATAGATTCAGGTAGAGCTAATGGAGGAAGATATGCTGGGTCTTACTTTGCGAAATTGGTGTATATATTTCACTGAGCATTCAATAATGATTGAAGCGCGGTGAAGATAAGTTGCTTTGTCTAAATGTTCTGTTTACTTAGTTCCTAATCAGGCATAGTGCACAGCAGGAGAGACCCACCCCTCAAGATGGATGGACTCACCAAGACCAATGGGAGATGGTCACGTGTGGGGGTACCCCCGTAACCTTAGGGTCTTCACGTGTATTAGGTAAGAGCCGACCAAAGGGGGGATGCCGATAGGCCACCGTAGCGGCACGGGGTTTCTCTTTGAGCGACCATACGGAACATACGTAGAGCTCTCCCAGCGGAGTGGGCCCGAGAAACCGAGCTCCAACAATCCGGGCCGGTGCATTGCCGTCAATTGATGAAATGACAAGGCGACTTTTTTTCTCCCATGAATTTTTTTCCCCGTCGCTCCAAAAGCTCTCTATCCCCCACACACCCCCAAAATTCGCAACTGGCCTCTGGGTTGGAACTTTTCCCTTCTCAGGCCTTTACCCTTCTTCTTTTCACGCCACTTGGGAGTTGTGTTCTTATTGAGCCTCCTTACGTTCTTCTCCATAGTATTTGCGACCCATACTTTGGTGGTTTGTGCGATTGTTGAATTTCAAGCAACCCTCCCCGCTTCACCAATACCATCTCCTCCCTCTCTACATCAAAAACAATTTTCCTGGCCGCAGCGAACGTCCGGGATCTCCAACAGCTAGCGTCTATTGGTCTTGCATAAACCAGGAATTCCAATGTCCCAGTCCGATCAACCGACAGGCAAAGGTATCTACGACCATCTTGTCACAAACATCCACCCCTTAGCTCTGTTCATGCTAATCATACTTTTTACTCAGACAATGCCGCAAAAGAGGCCGAGCCTCCCATCGTGGGCCAGCACGAGCCCCAAATTGATTCAACTGAGGTTGACCAGGGTCTTGAAGGTAAACCGACTGCGACCCTGAGTGTCCGAGTAAGATGGCTAACTGCGCACAGCACTGATAACTCTGACCGTTAAGCTGCCCCACGAGCCTGGTCAAATGCAGATTACGGTCAGTTAAGTTGCTTCTGATTCTAAGTATATTCGCTGACTAGTTGAATGCAGGTCTCTCCTCAAGAGCAGGTTCACGAGGTTCGACAGTCCATCATCGACTTGCCTGTGGCATTTCAATATACCTGCTTCCATCTCGAGCATCAAGGCGAGCGCATCAATGATTTTTTGCCCATCTCCGATATTCAAGGCTTGAGCGAGGACCCCGAAGTTACGCTGGTTGAGGACCCTTATACTGAGAAAGAGGCCCGGATACACCTTGTGAGGATTCGGGAGCTCATTGGCGCTGCTGGAGACCGCACCGATGCGGTCCAGGGCATTCTGCCGGGTCTCTCCCTTCTCGACACTGTTGCACCCCAGTCTGAGGAGCAGCCTACTGGAGAGCAAGCTCAGCCCCAAGCGGTTAAGGATACCAACGAGCAGTATACTTTCGATGCCACGGTTCCTATCACGACTCTGTTGCCTCCAGTAGCTGAAGAGGAAGCCCCAAAGACAATCAAATCTATATCGTTGTCGCCCTGGAACCCTCCGCCCTGCCACTTGAAGCAACGGGGTCACCTTTTGTATGTTGTGGCCACTACCAACGAAGGAGAGCAACACCAGATCACGGCTCATGTCGGCGGTTTCTTCGTCAACAAATCATCCAACCAAAAGTTTGATCCTTTCCCCCGAGCTGCCCCCAAGGCCCACTCGGCTCACTCACTGTTGAACTTGCTCGACCTGATCTCCCCTTCATTCTCGGGCTCTTTCCTAAAGCTCCAGGACTTTAACAATCGCAAGGATCCTCTTGCGACTTTCCAAATTACCAACGCTATTCCATCGGCACCCTGGATTGTCCCCTCAGCTTCGTCTCCTCTCTGTGCGCATACCGCCGACTGGACAAGGTCGCAAGAGACTTACCTAATTGCTGGTGCCGACAATACTGACACTTTGCGGGATTGGAACGAAGAGTTTCAGTCGGCGAGAGAGCTGCCCAAGGAGACTGTACAGGACAGGGTTTTCCGAGAGCGTCTCATGTCCAAGCTTTTCGCTGATTATAACGATGCGGCTACTCGTGGCGCCGTGCTGGTCGCTCGTGGGGAAATTGCTCCTCTAAACCCCACCGAGTGCAAAGATGCTCAAATCTTCGTTTATAACAACGTGTTCTTCTCTTTCGGTGCCGACGGTGTTGGTACGTTTACTTCTGAAGGAGGTGACGAGGCTGCCCGAGTTGCAACTGGCAAAGATGTTGCCGGTGTCAGACTAGTCAATCAGTTGGATATTGACGGTCTATTCACTCCGGCTACGGTTGTGGTTGACTACTTGGGCAAAAGGATCGTAGGCCAGAGCATCGTGCCCGGTATCTTCAAACAGAGGGAACCTGGCGAGAACCAGATTGATTATGGTGCTGTCGACGGCAAGGACGTTGTTGCCGCCGATGAGAGATTTGTCCCTGTCTTTGAGAAGTTGTCGCGCGCCCTCAAGGTTAAGAAGCATGCTGTCTGGGACAAGGATGGCAAGCGCGTTGATCTCGAGGCTAGTGTGGAGACCAAGGGCTTGATGGGAACCGACGGAAGAAAATATGTCTTGGATTTGTACCGGGTGACACCTCTGGATATTGACTGGCTGGAAGAGCAGGGCAAAGATTATCAAGAATATCCGCACCGAATGGCCGTCCTTCGCCCAGAGCTTATTGACTCTTATGGGAGGAAGAAAATGAAAGCCTGGGTTGATGAAGAACTCGCTCGACGCGGCCAGGCCAAAGAAGCGGCCAAGGAAGCGGCCAAGGAAACCTCGACAGAGGCTCAGAAAGTCGAACAGGTCACGACAAAGGACGATGACAGTGACGACAGCGACGACAGCGAGGAGAGCGAGAGCGAAAGCGAAAGTGAGAGTGAGAGTGAGGAAGGGTCGGAGTCTGCCCAGAAGGTTGCCAAAGCTGAGAAGCCCAAGGAACTGGAGACGCAGGAGCCAAAGGAGTCGAAAGACCATATCGACCTTTCCAAGTTCCAATTCTCTCTCAACCCTGATGTCTTCAGTGGCCAGGCCCCGCAGACTGATGCCGAAAAGTCTCAAATGAAGCAGGATGAACAAGACGTTCGTCTTGCCTGTGAATATCTTCAGGAGCAAGTTATCCCTGATCTTGTTCGTGAGCTCACGGACTGCGACATTAGCTTCCCTATGGATGGCCAGTCTCTTGGACGGCTCTTGCACAAACGGGGTATCAACATCAGATACACTGGCAAGGTTGCTGCTCTCGCCTCAGATTCTCGCCTGCAATGCTTGCGAGACATTTGTGTGCAAGATATGGTCGCTCGATCTTTCAAGCACGTCGCTGCCACATACCTACGCCATTTGCCCGCTCCATTTACATCGGCATGTATATCTCATCTCCTCAACTGTCTTTTGGGATATCAGTTGAATTCTAAGCCAAACGCTGGTATTGATCCCACTTTAAGGTCTCTCTACTCTGATGCGGATCTGTCCTTCGAAAACCTCACACCTGAAGATCTTCGAGCCAGCATCGCGGAGCAGGCTCTGAAGAGGTTCAGATACCGCCTCGACGCTGACTGGTACTCCAGCGTTAAGCCTTTACAGTTGCTGCGTGAAATTTCCTTGAAGCTCGGCTTTCAGTTGCAAGCCAAGGAATACAACTTCACCAGTAAGCCCCTCGAGCAAGCAGTCCCGGCTCCTACGACCAATGGCACAGCCACCAACGGCCAGACTAATGGCGAGGGCAACAAGAAGAAGAAGAAGAAGACTATTAGGGACGCTTCGCCCACTTCTTCATCCCCGGCGCCCCCAGCCACTACGTTTACCGCTGATGACATTGTCAACATTGTGCCAGTTGTGAAGCACTCCTGCCCTCGTAGTGCTCTTGCTGAAGAGGCCTTGGAAGCGGGTCGCATTTCCATCATGCAGAATCAGCGCAAACTCGGCCAGGAGCTTCTTTTAGAATCTCTATCCCTGCACGAACAGATTTACGGCATTCTTCACCCGGAAGTCGCTCGCGTTTACAACACACTGTCCATGCTTTACTACCAGCTGGATGAGAAGGAAGCCGCCGTCGAGCTCGCTAGAAAAGCCATCGTGGTTTCGGAGAGGACAGTTGGTGTTGACTCCGCCGAGACCCTTCTTAACTATCTCAACTTGAGTCTCTTCTTACACCAAGCTGGCGACAGCCACGGCGCTCTTGTCTACGCCAAGCATGCTCTGAAACTTTGGAAGATCATATATGGCCCCGATCACCCCGATTCCATTACTACCATCAACAACGGCGCCGTTATGCTGCAACATCTCAAGGCCTACCATGAGTCTAGACTCTGGTTTGAGGAGTCTCTTCGTATCTGCGAGAATGTTTTTGGCAAGCAGTCTATTAATGCTGCTACTCTTCTCTTCCAGCTTGCCCAGGCCCTTGCTCTTGACCAGGACTCAAAGGGCGCTGTCAACCGGATGCGTGAATCTTACAACATCTTCTTGAACGAGCTTGGCCCAGAGGACAAGAATACAAAGGAAGCAGAAAGTTGGCTGGAGCAGTTAACGCAAAACGCCGTATCCATTGCTAAGCATGCGAAGGATGTGCAGGCACGACGTCTGCGTGCTGGCATCCGTTTCACTCCTAAGGGCTCCCCTTATGAGGCATCAGCAGTCGCCCCTCGTCTTTCGACATCGCAACCTACACAGTTGGACGGATCGTCGCATATAGACTCCCGAAGCATCGATGAACTCATCAAGTTTATTGAGGGTACTGATCAGCAGACTAAGCCCTCCAAGGGAAGGCCAAACAGGGGCAATCCCAAGAGAAGGGGCAAGGCCTCAAAATAAACCAAGAAAGAAACTCCCATGAGTCGGTGCTGTGCGTACCCCTTTGACCGTTGTTCCTTGTTTGGCATTTCGACATTGTCAGTTTATAAGGGCACGCTTGTATTTTTATCGGACAATCTGTGACACTGAGGCTGGAGCACATGTACTCTTATAATTGGGTGGGTAGCACACGGTCGGTGCATTGTCAGAGAACACTACGACATATTCCGGCATGCAGAAAAGTAGCATGGGGTAACGCCCTTCAGAATCACAGTCTCTTCACTCTCAACCATAGTTCATTCAGTATCATCTATATTCATGCCGAAAAAATGCTTGTGTACTAAAGCACGTAACTGCAATAGATGCTAATGATACACAGAAGCCAAAATTTCATTCCTCGTAAAAAAGCAGCCACTTTTCACGTATGACCGTTCATGGCACTAGCTATGGAGATTCCCCGGCTAACGGGTGCATGGTATGACCCAATACTTTGAAAACCCCTTCAGTAATGGTTAGTACTACGACGCAGAGCGTATATGGTTGCTAGTAAACTTACTTTGCCAGATCGAAACCTTGTTCCTCTTCGATCTCGGGCGGGTTTGAAGGCTCGCTTGGCACCTCTCGTGATGACTCCTTGTTCGGAGACCTGGTGGGGCTGAGATTGGGCGACTTTACAGGAGGGGGGCTGCTGCTCTGTGGTATGCCACCTAAGGATGGTTTCGAAGGGCTCATGTCGAAATGGGCAGCGGGCTTCAACGGTGTGCTACCAATATCGGCATACTTCCAGAAGGGCGCTGGGGAGCTAGTCGGCATATGCTGGCTAGGCCGCTGGGCAGTGCTGGGCGGAGCTAGTCTAGGATGGACACGGTGAGGTGCAGGGGTTACAAAGGATGCTCCATCTTCAGGAAGATAGGATGATGTTAGAGTAGGGGACTGGTCATGGTAGCTAGCCGAAGTGAAGCTCGTTGAAGCTGACGCGCCCGCGCCTTTACGTGGTCTCGGGAGAGGACTGCCATCTGCAGTCAATGCTGTGCTCGGAGGGGCAAGACGTCGTGTGCTGCGGTCTGGGGTCGACTGTGCTGCGGCCAAAGAGGAACTGGGTGGTGGTGAACCCGTTGCCGACACTTTCCTCTTTCGTGCTGAGACAGGCTCTCTGGATGTCATGTCTCTTGGTCCGTGAGTAATGTAATTCAGCTGGCTAGGAGATGAAGGCGCTGAGGATCCCCTGTGGCCGCCTCGGCCGCCCTTGTACGCACTTCGGGTCATTTCTTCTCGCGCCTCTGGTACAATCTGCCACTTCATACCCTTACCAGGCTCATCAGTGGAGCGTGCAACCTTGTCAAACGCCTTATTCAATGAGAGGTTATGGCGAATAGAATTCTATAGAGAACGTAAGTTGGTGAGACGACAAATGGAAATCTGGAACACACCTGCCATCCAGCGGCTTGTTGATGTCTGTAGTAGGCATAATTACTCATGATAAAGTTGTATATTCCGTTTAAATTGAGCTTTCCTTCTGGTGTATTGATTATAGCTTGGGTTATCATTTGCGCATAGCTATATTGCGGTTTGATGTGCTTGTTATCGTCATGACTTAAATCGATGTCGTTTGAATTCAACAATAACGTGCCGGAGCTTGAGTAATGCGGTGACTTGTGCTGCGATGGTGTTGGCTTACCACGTACTGAAGGAGGGGTCCCTGGCCGCTTGTAGTCCGCCGGGGCTGGCGCCAGGGGTTGTCGGAATTGTTGGCCCCGCGAACTCCTAATGGTTGAGCCTAGTGCCGATGAAGGCTCGTCCGGTAGGTCTGTCCTGGACTGGGGAGGACTTGTGACGTCCTGCCGTGACAAGCCTGCTCTCTTTAGATAAAGGGCGTGGATGTGAAGAGGGCTTATCTCAGTCGGCAGAACGAACATCATCTCCGTGCCACCAACATCGAGCACTTCGCCACTCTCGAGGCGCCGAGAGCTTCCTTGTTTCAGAGGGGTTCCGTTTACTCGAACTCCGTTCCTCCCCTTAACTTCTAAGAACCAAATCTCTTCTTTGGAACTGAAATAGATGCGGGCATGTTGTCTCGAGACCATTTTGCTCGGGCCGAGATCGATGTGAATATAATCTTCGTCGTCCTCGTCCATGCCTTCGGATGAGCGGCCAATATTTACAACAAGCTTTGTAATGTAGAACGTCCAATCCTGCGCAGCTATTTTAGCATAAGCCTGGACACCGTTTTTATTGGCTTCGTGTATTGAGTTCGCGTGATCTTTGCTGGCTTGAACGGGGCCTTCCTTGGGACAAAGCAGATGCTGAACAACTTGAGAGAGCAGCTGATCCTCATCGCTTGCAGGCTGTCCGGACTGATCAGCAGTGAGGCTGGATTCATCCTCGTCGGCAGGTTCGGTTGGTGGAGGCTCTTCGACCTAAAGGACGAAATGTTAATAACGTGCAACGGTACAATATTGCATAACAGGGAGGTGTTAATTACCTTCTTGCGGCGTTTGGCTGGCCGGGTAGGCGAGCTGTCATCTAGTCTTGCAGGGGACGTATCCCGACGAGCGTCGCGGCGGGTGCGCTGTGAGCGCTTCGATGATGCCGGCATGGTGTGCAAACGGCTAGTTCAGGCATGCGGCAGCTCTTGTGAAAGAACCGAGACGGATGACCTTTGGCGCGTACAGGAGGCAAAAAAAGCGATGGGCGGCGTAGGTTCAAGTAGTTAGTCCTAGGGAATGAGGAATGGTGAAGGTCTTGTTTAGTCAACTTGCGAGGGCTGGGCCGACTGCAAGTTCGCGGCAGGGAAATGCCACTAGGAGGGGAGGTGCGCTGTATCTTTGTCTCTGAAAGGGATCGGGTTGCAGGTTGTAGCAGTAGTACTCAGGATTACAGTCGGAGCTGAAGATGTTGGTGGGCGGTTGGTTGTACAAGGGTTGAGATGCGGTCGCGAATGTCTGGCACGCGTCGCCCTTTTTGGGAGGGAGGGGGAAGGGCGTTAATTAAGTCGGAGGCCCTAAGGTAAGGTGTTAGGGAGCTGGGGAAAGCCCAAGAGCGATGGCAACAACGGCCAAGGTACTCAGGTACTTGGCTAATTACGTGCATTGTGCGCGAAAGTCGCGTACCCCTGGCTTCCTGGCTTACCTCAGTTGTGGTCTTCAAAAGTGGTTGGGCTTATCAGTAAAATTTCCCCTGTTTCTGTTTTCTCCACCTCTTGCGCGTACAGTGCTCACGAGACGCTTAACACAGTACTTGCAAGCTGCCTCAGGAGTAAAACAGATTCATTCAGCAGCTCAAATTCAGCCCTTTCTCACTAAGGAAGAACTTCTCGAAATGGGTGGCATAATAGTAGAGAACTAATTTCAATACACACCTTTACCTTCTATACATGTTGGCTCATAAGAACCAGTATCTGGCAGAGGTATCAACTGACCATGCATTGGAATTGGAATCCAATTAAGGGGGGAAAGTGACATCTGCGTTCATTCCTCCTAATGTCTCTATCCCTAGAGTCCGAAGTACTGTAATACTCTTCGCGTGTCCCTGAGGACACTAGCCAATAATTTGAACACCATCTTGAGTTCCCATCCTTTCGGACCCTGGCGCAACGTTCAGCGGCATGTTGCCCTCATTCCACAAAAAGAGGATAGCGGCTTATCGTACCTCACCTAGTGAGGCACTCACATTGCCGTTATACTCTCATTCACAGTGAGGTAGGGAGTGAGTGGTACAAACCAAAGATTGGCACAACCGCAAGGTCGAAACTTGTATAGGACCCGTCCCGGGTCACACCGGTTGTCTCAAGTACGGCGCATCACAGCCGAGTGGTCCGAACGTGTACAGGCCCACGTCGAGGCTCGATGCGTCCCCGCTCCGATCTTGACACCAATACAAGAAAACTAGCTTATTCATCTCCAGCTGACTTAGATTTAAGCTATGCTAGCTGCTACCCAAACCACACGCCTAGGACTGAGCTACGAATAGCAACGGCTCGCAAGTTGTTCCGACTTCCTCAAAATGCACGAGATTATTACTCTGCAACTAGGCCAACTGAGCAATTACACAGCAACTCATTTTTGGAATGCCCAGGTTTGATACCCTAATGATAGATGTGCCATGATATATCTGCACCTCGTAGCTGACTTCTGTGCCCTCTCCTCCATGATAGGAATCCTATTTCACATACTCACAACAGGATAAATCCTCAGTGGACCACAATGTGCATTGGCGGCCGGGGGTAGCACTCGATGGATCCGAAACCTTCCTTCCACGCACTGTCATCTATGATCTCAAGGGTGGCTTCGGATCGCTCCGCAAAATCAATGCTCTCTATGACGCAAGCGAAGAAGGCGCTCCCGCCCACCTTTGGTTGGTTTTGTCGATATCCCATAGCCGAAGATGATCTATAGTGTCTAACCACTCATGCTCCTTCTTTCGCAACAGGGAGGGGTCACCTCATATTCACAAGCAGCCTCAAATAGAACAGACCGCCTATCAGCAGAGCCTTGACTATGGTACTGCTGCTTCACCACTCAAGCCGTCTGACGTGCGCTACTGGTCCGATTTCTCACGCGTCTTCTATCATCCTAAGTCCATTAACCAGCTTTACGATTATGAGCTAAACTCAACAATCATGCCATTTGATAAATGGGCATTAGGCAGAGAACTCTTCGACACACTCGACAAAGAACATGACATCGTTGACCGGGATTTCCGTCCTTTTGTAGAGGAAGCCGACCAAATGCAGGGCCTTCAGATTATGACTACCATCGATGATGCCTGGGGTGGCTTCGCGACCGAGTATGTCCAGCGGTTACGAGATGAATACGGAAAGGCTACTATCTGGGTTTGGGGGCTTCAGGCACCTGTTCCAGCAGCAAGAATCGTGCGAATTTCCAAAACCCCCCCTTGAATGGAATTAACTAAATCTATTGTGAGTAGGACCAAAGACGCACCCAAATGGCCAACACTGCCATGACCGTCAGGGGAATGTGTGAGAATGCCTCAATGATGGTGCCCATGACACTTCCTCAAGGCCGACTGCACTCAAATATCAGTCTGGACCCAAGATCAACCTGGCATACCACAGCCCTGCTCAGCACAGCAATGGAGACGGCAGGGCTGGCGTCTCGTCTTAATGCCAGTGATGCCAATAGTGGGTTACAAGCCACGTACAATAGTCTCGTCGGTGGACTTAATTTGAGTGGAAAACAAACTATGAGCCGGCTACAGATGACCGTTGTGGGGCCAGCCTCAAATATGAAGCCCAATTCTCAGACATCGCAACCCGCTTTGGACCATGATGATGGAGATGGCGATGCCCAACTGGACACGGATTTCTTCGACATCGTAAGAGAAAAGCCCACGGCCAGAAGAGGGGAATCTAAGGGCACAGGCCGAAAACCCCGGGTCTTCGGCCAGACGATCACAACCCGTGGTGTGCCTGGCCCTATAAGTGACTTCGATCAACAACTGGAACAGCCAAAAGCAGCACTTGTGGAGACCAGCACTCAAAGGTGAGCCAATACGCGAATCAAACCTCGCACATACACCTTTTATTTACCATGCCCCTAGATACTATACAGAGGGAGGATTCCCAATGCCAGACAGCTTCCCTCACATCTATCGTGACGCCAGTGGCCAACCATCCACCGACGCTTTTGGCATCAAGACCAGCCTCTCAACCGATTCATCCGTATCTACCGCAATGAGAGCACTTCGAACCACCGTTGCATCTTCTATTGGCTTAGAAGACCGCGAAGACATCAGCAATGAGCTCGCTGACCTGGCTGAGGCATACCGTGAAGGCTGGTCGAGTGGTAGTGACGACGAAGACGACTAAGCCGACCCATCTCGCACACGCCTCGAACACAACCGACATTCAATTTACCATGTCTTTAAAGTAGGTACCTTGCCCCAAGAGCTCACCACTATATACTGACGTATAGCTCATTAGCTCATAATCTTGACTCATGGGGAGTACATAACTCAGTGCAATGTCGCACAACGTAGCGGGAATAGATAGTCTATGATACGACACAGTCTATTCGTAAAGCTGTGGGATACCTAATGTACAATTGACTTAAGGGCTGTGGTCGGCCAAATGAGCATAGAATATATTGCATCGCATAACAACTGTATGCTCCCTTTCTTGTTATCCTCATGGTAGGTGCCAAGCTTGTCCCTGTATTGCTCTTTAGTAGTTTATGCTCATCCAGGCCAGCTCATAACAAGCTGCCCAAGGTGAGGAACATACCAAAGTCCACAATACGTACTGAATTTTCAATATTTTAAAATCGATGGCTCTGTTGGGTTTGACCTAAGCTTGTCCACATGTAGCGCCAACAAGCAATGCGGAGTTGGCGAGCTCGCACCTGAGTTTGCATCCGGATTCGGCGAGCTGTATGGAATCGTCAATGTCGTCTCCCCTGCTGATTAGTGATCAAGTGCAATAGAAATACAGCCAGTGGTGTGTATGCATCAAGCAGGATGTTGGACAGAAGCATAGCCTGAGTTTCTACCGACACCGACGTCATGTATATGTGATGTAAGGTCTACAGCCCACGGTCAGCCAGCAGCTGTCACTGAGGCTTGCTGGCGCTTTGCAGGCGGTTGTTGAGTGTCCTGTACGGCACATCAGTAAAGCACATCTAACGGGGGTGAGCGGCCTCATGAGCTGTCCAGCATAAGCTGAAGCTCAGGGCATGCAGTACCTCTGAAGCGTTGCGCTTTTTGACCTGCGCGGCCCCATTCGCACTAGCTTGTCTCTTCTGAGGTTTCTGGGGCTTCTTCTCCCCGGATTCGAAAACGTCGTCTGGCAAATTGAAACTGCTGCTAGGTTAATGACTCTCTCCAAACAGACTTTTATTCGTCTCCATGCTTGCCTCCGGACGTGTTGGACAGTTAGGGAGTTGAGTTCCGGCTTGTATTTTTCCCATGCTGTACACAACGACTTGAAGTTGTCCACCTGGTAGGATAGATCAAGAGATTTGGCGCCTAATAAGTCAGCATTACACATAAATAAAACTACGCAACACAAGAGACCTGGAGTAACGAAGTGCTGGCTACGAGTCCGTTTGCTGTGACCTACCTTCGCTTAGTGTCAGCCCAATATAATGTGTGGTCGTGAACACTTCAGTCGGGAGGGAATGTCCTTCTTTGCCCTCCAACTTGACCTTGAACTCCTCACCCTCTTTCACTCCCGCAATCATATCTTTCATTTCAGATCTAACCGCAGTTATGCCTTCTGGTTCCGTCTTGATACCGGGTGTGCCATTTGAAATGGCCTGCTCGGCTTTCTCTTTTGCTGGCCCTGTAACATTCATGCCTTCGTCATCACCATCTTTGGCCAAAAAATCAAGACTTCCGGCCTGAACTCGTTGGATTTCTTCGTCATTTGAGCATCTGTGTCGTCGATCATAGCCCTTGTTGAATGCGTGGGCTAACGCTATTGACTGGTGCTGTTCCAAACCCTGGACCAAAACACGAACCTTCGACTCAACATAGCCGGACCAGACTTTGTGGGCCTCCTTATCGGTGCTTGCGGTGACAACGGAAATATAATACTTGTATCCTTGTGTGAAGAAGGTGTGTTTTATAAACAAATCACTCCAGGGGGTTTTACCCATCATGATGTTGTCCGTGATATCGCAGCCTCGTTGCAGCTCCTGCTGAATAACTGTCATGGCTGAACGCGTGATATTATAGGTGGCGCACATCGAGGGGTACGCAGGAGTGATGACGGGCATGAGATGGAATTGGTCTCCCTTGTAAACCTAAGGCGAGTGTGAGTGAATTCTAGAGGACGCTGAACCAGGCTTGAGGGACGGCAACCAACCTTGGGATTCCAGACGCGTACTTGCAAAGGGCCGCCCTCGACATTCTTGAGAAGAACGGGTTGTGGCCACGGCCAGCGACGCATAATATGAAAAAATTTGTTGACGATGACAGAACTAGCGGCCTTGGGGTACAGTTGACAGACTCGAGCAACCAGCATAGCCCATGCAACACCTCCGGGAAAGCCCATTATGTTGGCATAGATTGCACGGCGCTGTGCCCAAAGCTTGATGGCTCGCAAAGCCAACTTAAAGGTGGTCTCCTCTGGCACTAAGCTTAGAATTTCATCCGTAACCCGGGTACCATTCAGCGATCGGAGTTCTGCCTCATCTAAACCTCGAAGCAGGCTGGAGTCCTGGACATTGAACTTCTTGGGCAGCTGCTTCAGCATAGCGATGCGAGAGAAGATCAGGTCGATGCTGATGCCCAGGAACTCAAACTTGATAATGGGTACGAAAGCATCTGCCACAACAGCCATGTCCGTAATGGCGCCGGCCGGGGCCATTTCCTTTAACAGATCGGGAAAGATCTCGAAGTAATCAGCTCGCGTAACGTACTTCGGAGCGACAACGAGAGTATCGATATCTGAGCCAGGTCCAAAAACGCCCAGACGAAAGCTGCCATAGGTAAAGATTTGTCCTCTTGCGTCTCTGATAAGAGCCTCATTGCCTTCTTCCTTCTTCCGGGCCACTCGTTTTACGAATTCGTCGCAGATCAGTTGAAGTTGGTCGATGACCTGGTACCTGCAAGCATCCCAATTAGCAGCCATTTATAATTTGAGGTGTGAACTGCGGGAAGATTCTGCATCGCTCACCTCTTCGCAGTCTCTGCGGGACTCTCGAATGTGTTCTGCTTCCGAAGCTCTTCAATGAGGGCTTCCTTCGCCTGATTCTCTGCTTCGGTTGGAAGAGCTGTAGAAATGGGCGGCGTCACGCCGTAAGCTCTCTCTTCGCTGGCCATGACGAGGTGCTGCTTCGGGACTTGATTGGAAGGGTCTACGAAGAACGTCCAAGCTGGAAAAGGCAGTTGGGCGAAGAGGCACCGGGCCTAGCGATGATGGAGTGGTTAAAAGATTTGTCGGAGAAGGTGTTTTGAACAAACGCAAACAAAGTAATGGTAAGTGAGAGCGGATACAGGCTATCCCGCTGTGGTAATCTTACTGGGGTGCAGTTAAGCTGGAGAAGGTACAGGGAGTGCACTTTGCGCTACCTTTGGATGCCTTGGCTGACGACCAGGTTCAGACGCGAGGCTGAGGTGAGGCGCGTCAATGGCGGCAATCTTAGGTAAGTCCTTACAAGGCCCATCACTTATTGCCATTAGCCCAAGCCCTTTTTTTTTTCCCTATTTTTTAGTGTTAAAACTTTCAGGAAATGCAATCAGCACGTGGGTCTTGGGGCAATGGTGCACCTGCAATTCTTTGCATACTGCACTACAGAGTACTCTTAATGGAGCAAACGCAAATGTAGTCTCATTTCGCTGACAACCAACTACTCACTGATCGGTTTGTATCCTAGCCGAAGCTCCACAATGAGGTGCTATCCCGCCATTTGTATACAATCCTGTATGCTATCCGCAGCCCAGTGCTCGGCACCATACTATTTCCGCATTATTTTAGGCTTCGTTTACACTCTCAAACAAGCAGCCATGCTAGACCCCCAAGTATCCCAATTCCACCCACCATTTCCAAAGCACCTTGCCAGCGGAACTCGGCCCTAATTTGTAGCAAACCTAAGGGATCGTGATGTCTTACCGGTGCATCTGACCCCGTACTATATCTTCTCCTGCTATGATAGTGTGGCAGTTTTCCCCGCCCTCCAACTCGTGTCAATGCGCTAGTACCTCGTCTGCCATCCAACAGCGAGCCACCATCTTTACATGTCTCCCGTAGCCACGCAACGGCCTGCTCCTGTGCTTGTCTTTCTTGTAAGGCTCGTTCGTTCGCTAGGCTACGTTGTAGGTCTGCGGCCCAGTTCGTGAGTTGGACGCGATAAAAGCGCTTCTCGTACACAGAGCAGCTGGGCATGCGGCTCGTCACAAGTGGCGCCAACGCAACAGTCTGTGTTCGTAGTAGTTGTCTCTGTGTCGATAAACTGGATGCCGCGGAAAAGCCAGAGTTGTCACTGGCTATTGGGTGCCGAAAACGCCAGTCAAGAAGCTTCTTGGCTGCAGCATGGCGCAACGACGCAGCCCCGTCAAAACTGAACATACAACTCAGTAATCGAATAAGATCTGTTGGTACGAGCGGTTGGACGTATTCGGAACTCATGAGCAGACTAGCGTCCATAACATCGCGGTCTGTCCCCAACTGGCTAGAAATGGCATAAATGGCGGGGTCCTTCACATCTGAAGCCATTGCAACGAAAGTGAAAGGCTGAAGACCCGCATCAGCTATTTGATCAGAGATCAATTTTTTGCTTGTTGCAACCTGCTCAGACGTCAGAGTATCGGCATGTGCAAGAAGCGGTATCACATTGGTAAGCGCCTCCAGGTGACGAAGGTACAAAATGTCTGTCGAGTTGAGGCCTAACACAGCTTCAGACATAGATCTGCCTTAGTGTTGCTTTGGAAGCTCACCTGAACTGGATATCATGTAAAGCACGGCATCAACAAGCAAACCGCCCCCTCCGCCAACCGCTGTAAGGACGTCGCCATCCTTGAGGCTATCTAGGCGGTTCTTCTGAAGGTGAGATTCAACATACTGCGAAACTTGGCCGACGATATCGGCAGGCTATATATGATTAGTCAACCTAACCGCATGCAAGGCGAGCTAGTTCATAGCATACTCGACATGTTTCTTGATACCCAGGGGTATCGATTAAACAAATGTTCCTGTCCAGGATCATGTCCACAGAACTCCCGGTGTTGGGTATGGGACTTGATTGAGCCGGCTCTTTCCACCATGGCGGATATGGCTTGGTACTGGCGAAAGTCTCAGTGATCTGAAAAGTGCCTTGGCATATCGGAGGATCATTGGGATGTGCGTCTAAGGGTAGGAGCCCGGCGGATGCCGGAACAACGGGCAATGTTGGATCGACATGTACGATGTGTTGGCAAGATTGTGTTATTGCTTTAATTAAAGATGTCTTGCCCAAGCCTGTTATATTTTGTCATAGTCAGTACAGCTTGCAGGTTTTCGAGGTTTGTTGGTGGCATATACCTGATTTGCCCGCCACAAGAATCTTCAGTCTTCCGAGTGACTTTCCAACTTCCGTGAATGGACGTCGACTGGGAACGCTAATGGTGGGCATGATAAATTGCTGCACACCTTCACTGCCGTAATTGCTCAAGGGACGACTCGCTTCAGAGGCACAGAAAGCGCTCATGACGAAGCTTTCCTGATACTCAGAGAGTGATCCTGCCAAAGAATTTCGTCGCGATGAAGAACTACTGATGGCTGAACAAGGGCCTGATACTTCGCCTAATACAGGCGTCATAGGTCGAGACACTGCTGTCGTTGTTGTTGTCGTCGGCGGAGGAGTTTGTAATCTTACTGGGTACCTATTGCTTGCAGAGACCGGTCGTTGAGGTACTGCTTCACGTAATTGCAAAGTGGGAGCGCAACGTGGAGCAGACGGAGGCGGAGATAGAGCTGCAGTGGACTCGCGACTCGGGGCGGGGCCGTCGCCGAGAAGGGCATAAATAGGATGCTTTCTCGGATCCCGGGTGCGCATAGAAGGATGACAGTTTGATGGCATAGAGCTGTCTACAGCAGCTTCATCCGCGAGGATGTATGACATCTGGGGGGTCGTAGTTGGTGATGTGAAGCAATCGGTGGTTCCGTCACTCGAGGAAGCGTTCCCCGGAAACGCACTGTTGCCGGGTAGAGGTCGCATATCGAAACGAATGTACCATCGGTATGGAAAGGAGTTCGTAAAGCGTACAGCACTTCAAGTATCTGAGCGAATGTTGAGGGGTAACAAAGTTGTTGACGTGAGGTCAAGAGATGAGGTGTACACTATACTACACTATTACTAGGTGTTGGTAATGGGGAGTCGGCCAGGATGGGGGGTTCCAAGATAAGATTCCAGGTACTTTGAGTGAGCTGATAAGAGAAACACGATCCAAATACGGACTAGTGCGGGGCTTGGGTGGAGATTTGGGGAAGACGTTATGTAAGCTAAGATCGGCCTGGCTGATGCTTCAGTGCAAGCGCAAGCAGCACTATAATCACTCTACGGATACATATGGCAGTGGGTCACCACAAAGAACTGGCCGCTAGCACTGCAGTGCCCCTCCATTATGCTCCGGTATCCACTGCCCCTCGCCTTACATTCCTGACCTCCCCTCTCTTTCGCCTGAGCTTTCCTTCTCACCTGACTCACCAAACGCCCAAAATCCACCCGACCAACCTGGTAAAGTGCCGCCAATACCATACACAACGGAAGGTGCCTGCTATACCGTACTCCACATCGGCAGACGTGCACGACCTCACAAAGCCTCTTCCACATCATTTCGTTTTGGTCTTAAGTAGCAAACATCAGTCGATGCGATTTCTGGACGAGCTTCATCGACCCTAACTTACTTCGCGATATCGAACCGAGCATCTTTTGCGATAATAAATATCGAGCGCGTACGTCGCCAACTTCGCTTTACCTACGTCCCTTTTTCGTGGGTCCTGTGGACGGTGCCTGGAGCTTAGCACTATCGATCGCTTCTGCTTCTCGTAACAGTTTATCGATTCCCACACCGAGCTTGGCATTTGGACGCATTCTTTTCTTTCCACTGAAGCAAATCTGACGAGCCAGAGAGGTTCACCGCCATCAGATATGGACGGCAAGAGGCACCCAAGTTCATTCCAACAGCTGGAAAAGCTTGGTGAGGGAACTTATGCAACAGTACGTTCAGTGTAAGACTTCTCGTATGGCCTACAGGTAAACTGACAGTCTTGTCCTAGGTATTTAAGGGTCGTAACCGCCAGACGGGAGAGCTGGTGGCCCTAAAGGAAATCCATCTGGATTCAGAAGAAGGCACACCATCGACTGCGATTCGAGAAATATCTTTGATGAAAGAGCTCAAACACGAAAACATTGTCGCCCTCCACGATGTTATCCACACCGAGAATAAACTTATGCTAGTTTTCGAATTCATGGACGGCGACCTCAAGAAGTACATGGATACGCACGGCGATAGAGGAGCTTTAAAGCCTCACCAAATCAAGTCCTTTATGTACCAGCTCTTGAGAGGCATTGACTTTTGTCACCAGAACAGAGTTCTACACCGAGACCTGAAGCCTCAGAACCTGCTCATAAACGGCAAGGGACAGCTAAAGCTCGGTGATTTTGGTCTGGCCCGTGCCTTTGGTATCCCAGTAAACACTTTCTCCAATGAGGTCGTAACTCTATGGTATCGCGCGCCAGACGTTCTCTTGGGCAGTAGGACGTATAACACCAGTATCGATATCTGGTCTGCCGGATGTATCATGGCCGAGATGTATACAGGAAGGCCCTTATTCCCAGGCACGACGAATGAGGACCAAATCATCAGAATCTTCCGAATCATGGGAACTCCAACCGAGCGCACTTGGACTGGTATTACCCAGTTTCCGGAATATAAGCCGACGTTCCAGATGTACGCCACGCAAGACCTTCGCCAGATTCTGCCACAGATTGACCCCACAGGTATTGATTTGCTCCAGCGAATGCTTCAACTACGCCCCGAGCTTCGTATCAGTGCTCATGAGGCCCTTAAGCATCCTTGGTTCAACGACATTGTTATGCAGCAACACCAGCAACAAGCCTTGCAAGCTCAGACTAGATCTTACCCGGGGCAGGGATCGTATGAGACTTATTGATTTAACAAAATCGGGCGTTAGACGTATTCTGCTGGCTCATCAGACCGTCGTGTCAAAGGGATTTTACATAGTTTATTTCTCGTCAAGCTCGAGAGCGAATAATTACATTTTTGGAATCTTGGTGAATTATTTTTTGACTGAAAAGGGATGCCTTTGTATTTTCTGTGTGGCGAAAGAAGTTTTGCAGATATCTAGCTCTAAAAAGTGAAATATGCTCCGAGAAGAGGTATTACATGTGTATGTATATATGTGCTCGTTGAATCTATTTGATAAGTGTGTTATCACAGGGCTTTGAATGCTATACAGGAGTGGCTAGACTTTGCAAGCCGCCATCTAATCTAAATCACCACCTATAATAAGCTGAGGCCGTTCATTCCTTATGGACCAAACTGTCGTCCACGGGGCTCTTGAACTGCTTTTCCCTCGGCTCTCGCTCCCAAGTTTCAGCCAGTGCGTAAGCAGGATCGTCATCGGGATAGCCAGCACTAAGCCTTAGTTTTTGAATCATATCCCTAACGCTCTTGGCGACTTCTACCCGCAGTTGAATAACCTCGGGGTGGTCCTTAAGCGCCTCGGGGACGTCACCAACACTCAGTGGCTTTCCCAGAAGCTCTTCCTGTTTTCGTACCATGCGTTTCCATTTCGATCGCGATTCCCTAAAGGCCTCATCGACATTAACCGCCTCGCCGTATATGACACGTATTTTGGCGCCGATGCGTGGCAACCATCGTGGCCATTTCCTATCCTCGGGCATTATGTTTTGATATCCGTCGATAAAGATGGGAACAAGCTGAGGGGCTGGGTCTGATTCGAGTATCAGCCGTGATATTCCCCATTTGAAATATCTCAGGGTGAGCTGGGGATGCTGGTGCACACAGCCCTCTGGGAAAACGTGGACCCATGCATTGTGATTTTTGGCATAGAATGCCGGTGAGATAAAAGTCTCCTCATTGCCGGCATTAAATGTATTTCCACGAGTATAAACGGCGCCGGGTCCTGAAAGGATACGGATGGCCTGGGTCATGGTCGGCTGAAAAAGACCTCCATACGGCGAGTGCAACATACGATAAGTCGGCAAGACTTGGCCAAGACTGAAGAAGGAAGTGAAGAAGCTAAGAGAAGTGAGTGAGCTTCACTTCGACGACGATGTATAGTTAGGAAGGGTTCGCTATAGACCTATTCTTGAAGCAGATGTCGTGGGCACCCAAACCCCATCGAGTGCTCATGGGGCTTGAAATGTATTTGAGTGGTAATACGCCCCATATCAAAGGATCATCCAGACTGCGATTTCGATATGCGTCAGCTTGACGCAGTCATTATAGACCATTTGAGGTTCAAACCCACACGCTGATGTGATTGGAGACTGCCGTTAACGACAAATGGGGTCAGTAATTGGTGTTATGAAGCAAAAGAAATGACAGGTGAGATTACCGGTAATGAGGCCGCGCTCCGGAGATTCAGCTCGACGCTTGTCCAAGATCTTTAAAAACTGCGACTGCCCCTCCGTTTTGACGTCGTTCAGGGCAAACAGAAAGGCTCGAGAAAGCGCCCCAGTAATGGTCATAACAGCCGCAGAAGCCATTCGCCATGGCAAACTTGGCTGGTCTGGCGGAACATCAGTAGCCCCCATATTGATTGCATGAACAATCTTAACAGACTGTCGGTTGAGTTAACAGGTCAATCGACGAGTGGAGGGAGGGAAATCAAGGAAATGAATACACTGTGCGCAGGATTATGTGTCTGTCTGGGTGTGAGTAGCAACGCGATTGGGAACGGCCAACCGCGTTATGCAGCCCACTACCAAGCTAAAGTGCCGCAGCTGAAGGCAGCCTAGGTCGGAGGACACACCGTCTCTTCACACTGAAGAAATATCCTCAGAGATAATTGGCACTTTGAGTGGCCAATCGTTGCTTTGAGCAGAAGGGAGACAAATTTAGCATCCATTGAAAAAGCTCTGGGGCTCAACAAACGTGTGTATCGTTCTAGCATAGTTATTTCGCTAAGAGAACAACTGAGCTTCATAAATGCATGCTTCGTACATTGTGGGTACTTGATACCCCTGTCGTCGCGCTTGCTCTATGCATGAGTACGTACTTCGTCATTCTCCTAGGATCCAGTTTGCCGCCCATCCACCTCCGTTCACCTCATGCATCCAATAAACGCGCCTTACATTAAGTCCGTTTCGATGGCGCAAAGTTATTGAAAACTCTCCAGAAAAGATTTTTTTTATTGAACGCTTGGTGGAAGATACTTTTGTGCAAACCGTTAGATTCAATATTGCACTTTATGGTATTCAGCCATGGCACACAGTCAGCACAAGTTCATTCAAGCCTTAATCACGTGTATACCATCATACTGACCACATCTAGGCAAGCGCAACACATCTCGCAGTGTCTTCACCTCTCATGAGCGTGACATCGCTAAGGCCGCATGGTCCTCGACCTCTGCGCGACTGACTAGGGACTCATTCCTTCCGTTTGGCTCGTGCTACCTCTGCCTAGAGATAGCTAGGGATCCGGTGTCTTGTAGCCACGGCGATATTTTCTGTCGAGAATGTGCTGTTGCGAATCTCCTGGCACAAAAAAAGGAGATTAAACGTTTGGATCGGGCACGGGAGAAAGCTGAGCAAGAATATCTCGAGGCTCAGGCTCGCCAGGACGCCGAAGCTCAAGAGCGTACCGTCACAGAATTTGAGATGATACAAGCGGGGATTGTCCCCTCGCTCTTGTCTGCATCTTCAATGTCAGCTTCCAGATCGACCACAACCGATGCTGATACAATTGCCGATGAGTCCACAGCAAAACAGGGTACGAAACGGAAGTTCGTTTTGGACCAAGTCGAGTTGGAAAGAATAGCGAATGAAGATCGCATCAAAGCCAAAAAGTCGATTCAAGACGAAAAAGTCAGTGATTCTATTCTGTACCAAACCCATGAAGTATTGTACTAACTATCTTCCAGATCTCTAAGAAGTCTCTGCCATCATTCTGGACTCCTTCCCAGACTCCAGACGCCGATGCAGCCCGCAAAGCAACAGATAAACTAAAAAAGCTCAAATTAACTCCTGTTTGCCCTGCCTCGCCTGAAGAACTTCAGCATCCCTACTCCCTCAAGAGCCTGATTCGGCTAAATTTTAAAGAAGAGACTGACCCTCAAACGAAAGGCACTCGGCGTGTTTGTCCTTCTTGCCTGAAGATCCTTGGAAATGCCTCAAGACCTCAGCTTGCCGAGAAATGTGGCCACATCATATGCAGAAGTTGTGCCGCAAAGTTCATGTTATTGGAGAAGGATAACCATGCTTTGCAGCAGGAGAACGCTTGCTATGTCTGCGATGCGAGGCTTGCGTCCAAGGATATAAACGAGAAGCAAAAAAAATCCAAGGGAGAGTTTGTTGGACTGATCGAACTTCGATCTGATGGCACTGGTTTCTCTGCGCGTGGTGCAAACAAGGTTGAGAAGAGCGGGGTGGCTGCTTTCCAATGCTGAGCCTTGAAGTCCTTGTGCTGTTTTGGAAACAATTGCCGTGAACAGTAGTCAAGGCCCGAAGAAACAAGATTCCAGTTATCATCCAGCCAGCACTTTCAGATAAACGTGCATAGGGTCATGTTTTATGGGAATACAACAGTGTTAGCTCCTATACTAGCTCTTACAGAAGCCTGAGGAACATTTGCCGGAAGCGTTGCAACTTTTGACTGGACGAAGAGCTTTGCCCCAACATCATCAAGAAGATGCCAAGGCGAATGACCAACTTGTGGATAATTCCTTTGGACACCATTGTTAGGCCATGGCTGAAGAAACTCTTCAGCATTTCCCCCTGGAGACCGGCGTACAATGCCGTCACACCTTCTGTCCTTGCAATGGAAATGACGAGAGCAAGTACACTATCGTTGACAAAGTTCTTTATTTTTTTCCGTATTTCACTGCTTTCGTTGGTGGAAACCGGGCTTTGCGGCGGTTTATCAGACAGGGTTTGTTGGCTGTCGGTACTTCGACTTAGCGAAGCGTCGCTGGAAACTTGCAATCTAGCCTTGGCCGTTTGTATAGGATAGCTTATTGTAGTAGCGATGGCCTTACTGGCAGCGGCGAGTAGGAATGTCGTTTGAGGAGTGTGCGAGGCCTCATCTGTATTAGGCAGAAAGACCTTCCCTAGCTTGTCGTTTAGGAAGAAAGTTATGCTCGGATTAATAGTAAGAAGCAGTGAAGCAGAATACCCTGCCCAGAGCCCTCTGGCACCGTTTTCGGCACGTATAGTACCCAAAATATCCCACACAGATAAGCTTTCCCTCCTGTCCCGGCGATCCAGCATGGCCGATGTCTGCTTCCTCGTGACAACGTTCGCAATTGGCGTTGTGCAGGCTCTCGCACAGGCACCAGCCGCTGCACCGACAGCCAACTCCTCGAGAGCTGGCAGCTTCTTGCCATGTGTGCGGCGACGAGCTTCGCGGAAGTAAGCATAAAACAGGAAGAAAAGAAAAGAATCCGTAATGGACTTGAAAATGTCCTGGGCGAGGCCCGTATAAAGTGCTGAAATGCCGCCCTCATGCGTGATGATAGCCTCAAACGCGTGGAAAACGCCATGGTACTGCCTGTTTTCCGGCATGTTGGTTTCCTTCTTGAGCTGACGTTGGACTTTAAGACGCGTCGTAATGAGATCGAGGGGGTAGACAGTGGCTGTGGAGAGCGCTGTGCCTGTGGCACCGGCGAGGGCATGGCCAAAGGCCTCAACCATACCAGCTGGCGGCATGACGGCTCAGAAAACAGGCGTTTGGACACTGGTAGTTAAGTATCCTTAAGATAGACTTAATCGCGGGCAATTCGATCGATGGCGCAGATGCTGATCAATGTGTTATGGAGCGTGCCGTCTGTTAAAAAAAATAGGGCGATAGTGATGCGCCTTGCTTTTCCCCCAGCTGGTTCAGGGTAGTTAGTGGTGGTGCTGAGAGCAAATGGGTGGTGAGCTGCAAGATAGAGCTGAGGAACAGGATGTTATACGACAGGCACCAATAAGTGGCTACCTATGTTCATTCGCTTATTCTGGTTCAGCTTGATCGACAAGAACGGGCACATGCTGCTCAATCCCACGCAGTCGAGATTTCGTCAGATGGGAAGCACAAATCTGGGGAAAAGAACGACGTCATCAGTGCGTGGATGCTGGCGGCAGTTCCGCATTTGGGCGTCAGTGGGCTCATATGGCGGACCATGTGACAAGGCAGATTCGAATATTTAGGCCAGCCTGCGTCTTTCGTATCGAATGCACGCTAGCTGATGACTGGCTTAGTGCTACGCCTTGCCATTAACTATCATTACAGGCTTGATTATATCTCAATTTCCTTCGTCGTCAGTAACAACTTGACCATTGGTAACAATCAACTATCCGTATAGCTTGTTGTTCAGTATACTCAGTTTCAGCCCACTACAAGGTATTTCATTCGGGTTTAAAATTCTCGACCCGTTATTATACAAGCTCGATACTAGCCGTTTCCCTTGAGCTCGACGTCACACAACCGAAAACGCCGCCGCCAAAGGGCCATTCTTCCAGCCGCAATCATTTGGTATCCCACCGAACCGTGACGCCTCCATTCTCCTTCGTAAATGCATCAGTCCCTAATCCAACAACAGGATGCCAACCCAATGAATCATCCAGAAATACAAGCCATGTTCGAAATAGTTCTTCTCTAGTCCAAGTCAATGTTCCTCGGCCCCGCCTTTATCAAGCACGGTTGGTTATTGACTGTCTGCGTTGTGGCTGTCCCTGCATACTGAAACTGGAGGATCTGCGAGAGCCCCCAAAATTTATGACTGAGGTATCGGGCTCGCCCGGCGCGTCCTCTGTGTCAATGAGTCCCAGATGACCTTCGGGTAATTTTTGCGCGCCGAGACCTACAACCTTGAAGATATTGGTTCTGCCACCATTTGTTGCCATCTGTAACTGCTCGTGAAGCCGCGCTAGCTGATACTGCCTCTTGATCGGATTCAGTATCGGCTGCGGCACCACGGGTTGTGGGTTCCAGTGTGACAGAGCACTCATAACAGCGGACGTCTCTTCGTCTGAGTCTACTGGTCCCGCGTTGGCTTCATCTTCATCATCTAGCGGAGCATTGGCGTCGAGCGCAGCCTCTATAGAACATCATTAGCTATCCGATGCATCCTGAGCCACCGTCATAAGCAACACCTACTCTGCTGTTTCGCCTGGTTTTTCTTCTGGTAGGCCGCTAGAAGCATGTCATAAGGTAAAGATCTCCCTGCCACCGCACGTTTAGCGCCCATGGAATGGCTCTTGCAAGTTAACGACCTCGCACAAGGCTGGCCGTTAGGTAACAAAACACCACACTGTCGTTCAACATCGACAGGTCCTGCGCTCTAATTAGTATACTTTCATAAGCTGCGCTCGAAATGCTTCGTTTCATACCCTTGGGCTTTGGGGCTTTTGGTTTCGGTTCCTCCTTCTTCTTTTTCTGTTTAGGGCCCTTTTCGCCGTCACCATCCGCTTTGCGTTTCTTGCCTTTGCCCGCCTCTCCGTCTGTTTTCTTGCCTGCAGCCTTTTTAGCAGTTTTGTTGCCAGTGGCCTTTTTATCAGGTCCGTCGTCATCCCCGTCGCTATCATCGTCACCCTTGCCTTCGCCGTCCTCGTCTGCTTTTCTAGCCTCTTCCTCTCGAGCTGCTTCTTTAGCTCGCTCGCGGGCCTCCCTCGCCTCCTTCTTTCGCTGGGCTTTCTCCTTCTTCAGTCTCAAGCACTGTGCAATATGAGCTTTGGCAGCCGTCTTGAGAATGCTTTTCTTGCAATGCTTGCATTGTTGAAGGTCGGGGCTATCTTCTAGGGGACGGCCAGTCGCGAATGCTTCCCGCGCACTGTCATCAAGCGGATTAACAACAGGACCTGGGGAGGCAACGGAAATAGACGCAGAATTGTCGGCATTTTTTGGCTTCTTTTCATCTGATGATTGGGAGTTGTCGGTCAGTCAAGAGAAGGCGACAGCTTTTGCAAGGAATTGGCGTGATCTTACCTTCGATTACGCTACCTTCTCTCCAGTTGCCGGGCTTACTGTGCTTGGGTGCTGGCTTCTTCAGTTTGATAGTACCATTGGAGCGATTCCTATTGTCCTTTTTCGATGCAACCTTAATCGTCTGCTCGTCATCTAGATGCGCAACCAAAGTGAGTTCATGGCGGTATTACGTATCAGGGGAAGAAGTACTCTTTTTCGAATCTGAAACAGTCGCCATGGTTGCCGCTTTGTGCCCAAATAACGAAAACTATTCCGAACCCCAATCGATAATGAGATGATGAATTCGCGATGGTGGGGCTTCCGAGGATGATGTGAACGGCGATGTGATGTGATGCAAAGCGCCAAGCTATGCTGGATCACTCAGACGATACAGGCGCAGGAGGGAAAGAGGTGTCGGGGTCCGGCGATGAAATCTCGACCGGAGGAATCACTTCATGGCAGCCAGAATGCGTCAAAGCTTTGAGCGTTCATTGAGTGCGCTAACTGTCAACAAAATTTCGGACTGGGTTGCGCTGCGCTGAGCCCGGGTTGCGCGTGGCTATTGAATGTCGTTGATTGATGTTGAAGGTCGGTGGTGGTAGACCATGGGGAGAGTCACGCGTGGGATCCGGTAGCATCCGCCACAGTGATCCCATAGGTCGGACTGGTGGATAATCCGTGCTGCCATTTGCGAGCGACTGTATAACGCACACTGTACGCATATCAGAAACTCGAGCGATTGTCCCCCAAACTCAAGAGCCAAGTTTCATGCAGGGCGCAGTTACAACACTCTACACACCATGAGAACGTGGAATTATGAGAGTATATGAGGGTATATTACTCTGAATCATTTTAGTTCTTCCTTAGAGTGCCTGCATTTAAAAATGATGCCCGTCCATGTCTCCATTTGTTCGGCACGTCTGTTCAGCATTTATGTAAGGATAATCAAAGCAGATGCACTTCGACAGACACTCCAAGCTTAAGGAAAATTCGATGCACTCCCCATGCCTCGTAAAAAATTGGTATCACCCAACCGAAACCCCAAATGCATCACCGGGTCTTGAGCTTGCAATGATACTCTCAGTCCCAGGCCTGAACCCCATTACGCCGATCTTTTAACCATCGTTTTTCCCTAACCAGTTACCAGTCGTCTGCCAAAATGCCTGCTGCTCCAGCTCTTTGCATAGTGTCTTCGTGTGCTCTCATGGCCTCCATCATTGATCGCGCATGCAACATACCCATATCACTCCAAATCGTCTGAATGACAGCCAATGACCATTCCCAGTATTCTTTGGGAACGCCAGGAGCACACCCTGCCACCTTTAAATGAAACAATAATGCTGGCAGTCCTGCCGATCCAGCTCCTCCTCCTCCCGGGCTTTCTACCGTAACTTGTGCAGTCTTGTCTAGGACTGGGTGCCGCCAATGCGTGGGTGCGCTCACAAGTGTGTCTCTTGCTAGGTCTCGTATGGTCCTCAGCACCTTTTCTCGCGCCGCCGCCGATAACAGAGACAAGCTAGAGATAGGATTTTGGTTTGCCAAGTCCAGTAAGGTCTGGTTAACCAGTAGCCGGGCCCATCGATAGTAGTTCCAAATCCGGGCGGTCCAAACATCGTGATATTTGTGGTACTCGCCCTCAAAGACTGCTTTTGATGGCAGATGTGTTGCGTGGACGACACGATACTCCCACTCTCCAGTTAGCCCTGCTGTCCAAGCCGCCAGGTCGATATCGAGGTCAAGAAGCTGCTGGATAACGTTGACCGTTTTTGGCTTGCCGTCGCTAATGACGTGGTTATGAATAAATGAAGAGATCTCGACAAAGCGGGCAATCAAAATAGCTAGATCAGTCGATGGCCGATCAATAGGCCATTGCATCTGTGAACCATACGAGACCCAGTCGTAGAAGTCTGGGGGTATAGGCAGGCCAGCTACATGAAGGGGAATAAACTGCGAAATCAGTACCGCCGAAATAGCAACTGGAGACAGAGAGCCTCACCATTGAGTAGCACAGTTGCAACAACGCTCTAAACCCTCCAAACGGCACACTAGGCATCGGGCACCAGCTTCTCATCAACGCGGCACCACCCATAACGTGCGCATGTACGGTGCCAGTGGAGTGGTGGGTTCCTTTCACGACCTTTCAGAGCGCTCAGTATTCGGAAAACTGCCTGAGAAGAACAGAACCTAGTGACAACTTACTTCGAACATGGCAAGTGCCACTACAGCCCTCATCGTCACGTCTATACTCGGAGTATGTGGTGGGCGAATCAAGTTCCCCGTTTGGCGGAGTGCTGAACCATATTTCTCCCTAGCTGTCGCCATCATTTCCATATTACCTGTTAGATTGTAAAGCCCAGCGAGGCCCACAGCGCACATGACGTCTTGCAACGCTGGGTGCCATAACCAAGGTTCAGCGGCAAGATCATTCGCAGATTTCGGCTCGTCCGGGTGTCCCACCAAATATCGATTGACATAAAACTGTAGGCCCTGCTCTTCTAGGCTGGGGCCGACGTGTATGGTCAACGGGCTGCTATCGCGGCCAGGCTCTTGTTTGACAGCTGGGAACGCTATTGGAGATGCTGAGCCTGCAGATCGATGTGTTGAGGCGGGTGACGTGGAGATGGATGCTGGTGATGTAGCCGTTTTGTCTACTCGTGATGCGACTACCGTACTAGTTGGCGTGCTCTTTCGACTGTAAGCTGGCGATGAGGATGGCGGGGAAGGGGCGGTTGACGCGACTGGCCGAGTAGAACCGTTCTCGGAGCCTTCAGGAACCCCCCATTGGGCGTGGGCTTTCTTAATAACCTTGGTACTTTCGTCGCGAAACATGAGAGAGAGCTGGTCCCGATAGCCGGGGCATTTCTTGCCGACTCGAATGCATTGGGAGCATTCTGGCTTCACCTTGTCGCACTAGAGATGGCAACTCGTTAATTACGGTCTGGTCTTTCCTGGACGAGAGCAGCGGTCAAGGGAACAGTGCGGAATGGTAGGAAGACAAACAAGCCGATACAAACGCACCTTAATACGGCGAGTCCGACAGTTTTGACAGCCTTGAGAGGCCTTGCCGCAATAAACCATTTTCGCGGAAGAGCCTTTTGAGGATGACGGCCTCTAAGACGAGAGGCCCGAAAGAGGTGCTTGTCTTCTGGTATCAGTATGTGCTTCGAGTACGACTTGCGGCGGGCTAGAACAACTGGCCCATCACGAGGGGCAAGACAGGCAGCGTTGTGCCACCCAAATCTCGACGAGTAAGCCCCGCGGCGATATCAACGTTCACGAGACAGCGGACGTGGGACAGTAGTAACGGGTCTGGCGTAGGAAGGGGCCTCAATCGTGCTCTACAGCCGAGTTGTGAAGAAATGCAGCGAGCTTAACAATTCAGAGAGTGCAGAGATGGGGGGCGGGGGGAGCCGGTTGGATCCGCAGTGATCTCCCTTTGGATGAGAGAAGGACGGCAACCAAGGTGAGAAAGGCAGTTTAGTCTGCGGTAGTTCAGTGTATTCGCAGGGTTGTGTGTGGAGAGAAGCCTCTCAGTCAAATCGTGGTTTGGGAGCTGTCCCAGACTTCCGCTCGCACAGTACCTTGCGCGGGGCTCTAGTCCCAAAAAGCAAAGGGACGGGCGCTCGAGAACGGGACAAGGAGAACGAAAACGTGAAGACGAGGAGGGGGGTGGTGGGCGGTAGCACGCGCGGACGTGGGCGGTAGCACGCGCGGACGTGGGCGTAGGCGTGGAGGCTCCCGTCGCGGATCCAAATGACACTAGGACCAGGGTGACAAAGCAGCTGAGTCGTCAATTGCTGAGACAGACAGATAGGAGACGTCTAGCCTTTAAACAGTGGTAGTTAAAAGCCTTTGTGTGGACAAGTCTGGAGGTCAGGTAGACAGGCAAAAGCAGATTTCTAGGCTCTCAACACTAGGGTTTGTTCTAGTTCAGGGCAGCAAGACAGTTCCGTTGCCGACCTCATTCAGATGGAGCGATGCAACTGGCGAGGAGAGTATAAGCTGGACAAAAGGGGGAAAGAGGCTGTTATCAAGTAAGGCAGGTAGGTGTGAGGAGGAGAAACCGCAGCAAAGCGAGCTGTGGAAGGATGCGTACCTATGCTTGACGGGGCAATGTCAAAGTATTGGTGAGGCGGGATGGAAGACAAAGATGCCTAAGGAGTATCCTTATTGAGACGCAGACGTCAGAGCACAACCTTAGAAAGGCGTATCCATGGAGGACAGTGGATAACATCTTACATAGGTATTACATGGTAAAGTGCCAGGGCATGAAGAGTGATCGATGGCTTGTTGAACATTTTCGCACTTCAGACGCAGCTCGGACTTGGGGAAAGCTCCAGCGTGGCACAGCGGGATCTGTCATCGAATCCCGTCCCAGTCACAGCTGGGCAGGGTTCTTGGGACAAGCACCACTCCCCGAGTAGGGCAAAGTAAGGTAGGTACATAGGAACCCTGGGTACCTGAGAACCTGGGTACTTGGGCTGGCTGGCTTGTAAACCTCCCTCGTCTGGCTTAGGTAAGTAGTTGGACGCGTTTTGACATACCTGCAGGGGTTTTTGGGTTTCTTAAACACAGTACGGGCCATGAGCACGGCGGGGGTGACCACCTGACAGTTTCAATTTCAAAGTAACATATGTCAACGCCTGCTGTCATATGTCACCTCTTGAACCATTGTGCATAGAACTCTCATCGTCAACGCCTGTTCATCATAAATTCTCGGGTTGCGTTGTTTGAAGAGACATGGCTCACTTGATCGTCAGCGACAGCAGTAACTGACTGTTTACAGTGCCCCAGGTTAGCCTAAGCAATTCTGCTGGGACACTCAGACCCGGCCCTACAGGTGTTCAAAGTGAGCCGTGCGTGCATCGCCTTACCCTGTCAATGCACTTACTATAGTATGTACTAGCACGCCACAGAACATTGAGCAGGGTACTTGGGGATGCTGGACACTTAATAATTTTTCAATGGGCCTCGACACCTTGTGTGGTCCTGTGGAAGTGCCAGCGGCACCTCCCAGCGCTGAGCCGGACCACCACCCAACCATGTCCTCACTGACTTGGTGCATTTCAAGTGAAACAATGGCAGATCTGGCAGCCCTTGGACCAGTAATGTGTACAGAACTTTATGTTCGTAAAGAGAGGGCTGTTGTGTGTCTGGAGGCCCAATTGCGTTGATGAGTTTCTCACGGATACATACTTGTGTGTGTCCTCTAGGTTTACTTTCCATTCATTGCGATCCCTACCAGGGTCCCTGCAAGAGGCGGGTCAAGGACTCCTCCCTCCTATTCCCTTTTGAACAGCTATCCCGGCTCCATTCGCACGTACATATACCCGCATGCCACAAACTCCCCGACTGCTGCCCGGGCAGCCCTCCCAGGCATGTATCGGCCACAGGAGCCCCGTAAGGTAAGGGCAAAGCACCGGCATCTCAGGAAGGTGGAGGCGGCCCTGCTCTGAAGTGTGCCGATCGAGCTGCCTGCAGCATTTTGCAGCTTGCATCATGCAAAAACAGGCACACACAAAACGTCAAGGCCCAGAATGGCAAAGACACTGGAGAGACTAGGACTAGGCCGTTGAAGTTTGTCCTTTTCCTAGCTTGTCTGCCCCTTTTCAAGAGATAATCATGCTGGGACAGAAAGATTGGTACTAGTAGTATACTATGTACATAGGACTCATAGGTTAAGGGCTTCTTTTCTGGGGACCGGGACATCGTGGTCGCCCCCAGAGAACGAAACAAACTCCCCCCCGGTCCCCATCCTAGCAAACGGTTATCGTACCCTGCTTTACTAGTGTATTGATAAGTACAAGTGAGAAATGGGCAAATTAGTTCCAGCTTGCAGGCCAGACATCAAATTACCCGACTCAAACCACAAGGTATAGAGTATGATGAAGGATATAAACCTTGATTGTGTACGACATCCTCTCTTTTGCTCCAGCTCCTTGTTGCCTTTGCACCTCAGATTCGGGAACACTACGCAGGACGATTCATACAGCTAGTAAGCGGCAATATTCGAAATCCCCCAGCCAATCACGCCCCTTCTTGCCAAACTATGTGACCAGTTTGATTTTGGCCCCTAAAGTCCGATGCTGCGACCGCCCAGAAGTGACAACTCATCAACTGCCCCGCCCGAGCTCAAAGCGGAGACGGAGGAATAGATCGACGTTCATGTGCACAAATGCGAGGCTGTTAATCTCCAGAGATTCCAATAAGAGTGCTAACATGAAATAATTCTGTGGTGGGACTAGTAAACATCAATATAGCCTTAGGTCGGTCGCTGATGAAAGACATACCGCCGCTTATAACGTTCTGCTTCAAGACTTCATTACTCCGGTTTCAACCAGTATAACAACTATCATAGGAACGTGTTGAATGTCTGTAGAGTTGTTCAATTCAGCGCTGTCCGAGAGTTTCTCCGAGCCAAGAAGTTCCCCGCCAAACACATGCACCGTTGTCCCCAACGAGAAGACGGTGCCCCCTTTCCCTGCAGCCCTGTCCTCCAATCTGCTCTAGGCATGTGAAATGGGATTTCGGTGTAACTCGTGATCCTATGAACAAGTCTGTCCGACTAGAGACCGACTCCGAAGAAATTCTTTCTCCGCCTAGGACGCTGACGGAAGTCTGCCAGCCCTAAATAGAATAAGAACGACATCCACAACAGGAGTAACAGCAACAGCAATACCATCAACCACAACTGTACACAAGTGCAAGAAAGCCTCACTTATCGCGGCAAAACCCTCGTTTCATACCTTGTAATTATTACCATAGGTTCAATATACCTTTGGGCCGTAGCCGTCCGTAACTCAGGCTTTGCGATCTGGAACGCGCAATCCGCAGATTCTACGTGTATGGCGCCATCCTTAGCTGGGACCATGCACTGTAAATCTCGTCTCTAATTACCTCGTGGCCGAGACTCCTCTGCTTTAATCATCAGCCTCCTGTTTCAGTGGCGAGAGACGGGCCCTCGGCCGACAGAGCTTACCGGATGGAACGTTTTACCGTAGTACGTCGGAACGTACCACATTGAATTCTGCAACATGATATCTTCACGCGCAAATCGAAGCGTAGGATCGTCCCGTTTCGCCCGCGCCATATAGCACAATGCTAGCGAACCCCAATCACCCAGGCTTTCAGCCGGGCCCAGGCATGTCTCTGGATCCACGAGCGGCGACAGGGGCGGTAACACCTGACCACGTGCATAGTTGGCATCAGCCTTGGTGATGTTGGGAACCGGCGTAGGATCCTCTCTGTTCGGGTTGTTGTCCTTCCCCCCGACCAAGAAAAACCATGTCTCCGCCCGGCTGTATGCAGGTTCCGTTACGTTAGGTTCACAGAAGCGATGGCCTTCAAACTTGGCGTCATAGTCGACAAAGATCACTTTAGGGGTCGTAAATTCGGAGTTGACAGCTTCAACAGAAGCTCTCAACTTCTTGTTCACGGCCAGCACCATGTCGTTCATCCTTAGCCGAACTCTTCGCTCAAGTTTTGGGCCTTTCCACCAGACACCCAGCGTGCAATTGTCGCATTCCTCTGTGTCGGCGTTGAAAAATCGTGCATACCCGGTAACGGTAATGGTAAACCAAGGCCGCTTCTCCCACCGAGCCTTGTCCAGAATTTGCAAAATCACCATCTTCAACCGCCTCTCGAATTCATTGCTCTCGATCTGTTCGGTTGCATCTTTAAGAGCTGATTCGCAGGTGCCTGAATAGAAGCTGTAGAAGCGGAAGATGCAAGCGTTCATGACACGAAAGAAACCGAGGTCGTTCCCCCCAATAGAAAGCAAAGCCAGGTCAGCATTGATGGAGTTGTTAAAGCTGTCAACCTGGCTGCGCTCGCCCCCAGACAAAATGTTGCCAGTCGTGGAGCCAGTACAGGACAGAAACTGGAACGTGGTTGTGTTAGGACCCTGGCTCTTCGCCAGGTCACTATAGATCAACACTGGATGCGCGTGGTCTCCGAGTCTACACTGCTCTTCCACGCCGTCAACACCGGTTCCGATTCCCGCACTGTAAGAGTCACCAAACGCTACAAAGCCAGCTGTGTTGTGGGTTGGGCGACTGGAAAATGGAAGCAGCTGCTTAGAGATGTCCAATATGGGCTCTGCGAGACAACTTTGTGGTTAGACATTGGCATGGTCCTATTTACGAGCGTTAACACATGCCTTTAGAAGGAGTCAGGACCTTCTGATATGCAGACACCCTGTTGGGCGATGCGTTGAGGGGTAGGACGGCTCCAGCCAGGGTGCAGAGATGAAAAATAGCAAGCAAGCGCATAATTAGGCACTCAAGAGAGCGGTGCATGTAAGATGTATTGTCGTTGAGGTGCAAACAGCAACCTAACTGCGAGCTACGACAGGCTTGGGCTGTCAATTGTTGACTTGTCAACTGGTTATAGTGGCTCAAGAAGTTCAAAGCTGAAGAAAGTTGCAGTCAACTGAGATATGAGGCTACAGATTGCTGACAACCATTGCTCGAAATCTCGCGCACTAGACGCGCGGTCAAACTTGGTGGACAGCGTGAATGGCTACAGCGCACCACGGTTCCGTCGCCCTGGTAGTGTGCTGACAAAATCTCGAGCCAGTGATTTACACAAACGGATGCACGAGGGTCATTCGAAAGCCCAAGGAGGCCCACTTTCTCCCGCTATTACCCGGTGTGTGTATCCATAGCACGTGATCGAGCGATGATGATGCAGACAAGGCTATCTAAGGAATGCGGATGCGAAGACAGTTTTCAATAAAAATGACTGTCTTCCGCACCTCCCGATCTACCTGCCTCAGAGCTATACTGCTTAGGTATGCTTTCTGTTACTTCTTTGTTGGCGCTATACCGACCACCTGCGAGCAATATATGTAAGGAAATTATAACGAACAGAGGGCTTTATTTCTCCACCATGACAAAAGCTCTGGGCCGAGGTCGCCGTTGCTGTCGTTAGAGCGGCGTTGCTCCAAGCGGAAAGGCAAGATAAAGAGGGAAGGAGATAACAGACTCTATCCTAAACTAATATTGTCAGTAATATTAGGTAGGCACTTGATCTAGATGGGACGTTGGATGTCTTTTGATCCATTCTCATCTTGGCTTTCCACTACTGGCTTCCCGACTTGGCTGCAGATGAGAAGAGGACCCAGAATGATTTAGTGGCGCGGCAACGCTCATTATGAAGCCCTCATTGACAGAGTCTTGAGCCTTATACTGGGCCGTGGTGACAGCCTAACTATGAGGCACAGAGTACTTGGCGGGTCACCACCTCGTTTGTTGGTTGGATGGTGGATTATGCAATGAATGCAACCACGCTATTTCTAACGACCAGGCTATTTTCGGCAACGCCTTGCTCTGTCAACCTAAGCATCAGTTTGTCCATGGCACATGCGTTATAGAGATGAAAGCGTCACAATGAATTTGTTGGCGAAGGTTCAGAAAGCTGCGTGTATCATTGTAAGCATTTAAAAGTCGGGCGTACTTTCAGAGTGACCTTCAACCGGTGACGTAATCTGCACGCGACCGACAGGCACCTTTCTTGCCTTAGCTTCCCTTGACGCTGTGTCTGTTGCCTCATCACGCCTACTGCATGTAACGTCATAGCTCTTCAAATCCCCCAGAGTCGTCCACTTTCAGCCCACGATCGACCGATCTTACTCTTGGTCCTCCATCAAGACGCAGGGTTATCTTGGCAGAACGGTGGACAGGATGACGAGCCAGCACACCAACATCCCTCATTCGTTGGCTCGACTCTCATTATTGGCCACACCGGGAGCCACCACACAGCATCCGCTTGCACCGTCTCTGGCGTGGTCTCTTCGAGTCACTGACGCCAGTTGGTCAACCATCAGTCCAGACCTGCAAGATGGCCAACTTGCCTTTGCTCGCCTACCAACCTCATGCCAAACCCATACCCACACTACCTTGCTTTGGCCGTGTCCAAGCCACCTTTTAACCATGTTTTCTTGTGTGGCGAATGAAGACAGTCCAGGATTGAAACAAGTTGAGACTACCACAGGGCATGGCTGTTCGGAGGGACAGAAGGAACCGGGTCAACCTGGGCCCTCTCTTCTCGGATATCTTGTGGCCTTTGTCAACCACCAGACGGGGACACAGATCACTAGCCCTGCATGTTAGTGTATGTGAGGTACACATCGACCAACCATGACCAAGTTATCCTGTCTTCCTTGAGCCGTCCCAGCCGTCCCAGCGGAGAACCCAAGCATGACGACCGTTACCACTTTCCTCTAGGGGAAACTTTTCTGTCCTAACCAACCCATCTTTGTGCCCCTCCCTACTTTTGGGGTACCTTTGACATGTAAGGAAAGTCAAGAATTGCCAGGGCCAAAGACGTCAGACCCGTTCGAGCCCGACTTTATAAGAAGTCCCCCTCTGACGTACTCTTCCACACACCTCTCGGCCTACATCATCTCTTCTTGTATCAAGAAACAGCAGACACCAGACGCCAACCAGGGCCATTTCACTTCAAAAGATATCTAAAACAAAAGTCACCAACACCGTAAGATTGAACAACCTCACCGCGTAATCCACAAGCACGAAGAGTCAAAACTGAAACAAATCAACATGGAGACTATCAACAACATGGCGACTGCCGCAACAAAGGCTATCTGGGGAACCAATGAGGCTAAGGAAGAACCTATCTCAGGCGTCAGAGGAAACACCAACAATGGCGAGCCGTATGACGCCGGCAACATCGGTATGAAACTTGACTGGGCGCCTTCTGACCTCAACTTGGCATATTAGTTCAATATCACTGACATGCCGATTAGAGGACCCACAGAAAAAGGCGGATACCGTAGGAGCTTCCAATGAGTCTAGTACCGCTACTTCGACTACGTCCGGAGTTCCTGTCGCATCCTCGTCTGCGACAGAACATCCTACGAGGCACAAGGCAGACATCGGAAAGCCCGAGTTGAATGACCGATCACCCGAGGATGCGGCGCCGCATGATAGCGCTGCTGGCAAGACCGATACGCGGCATCCAACCGACCCTGCTACCGATCCGAAGCCTGAGGGCCAAGACGTTAGCACCGAGTCCGGCACTGGTCCTACAAACAAAGGGGATAAGCTTGATGGGCCCGGTCCGAGACCTCTGGAGGCCGTAGCCAAGGAGCGCGGGGGCGATGCCGGCAACATTAGTGGCTCTTCCCACAGCGGCCTTGCTGCAGGCGAGGCAAGCGAAGAGGAGGATGGTCCCCAGAATAAGAGCCATGGTGAAGGCACCGGGGAGAAGTACATTAAGAGCACCGGTCTGGCAGCGGACGGCGGTGACTTTGATGCGACGAAGCCCGGTGCCGGCCGTGAGGCAGACCGTAAGTCACAAAGAATAACATATTGGGTATATGGTAAACGTGCTTACATGGAGTTTATAGGCCTTTTGGACGAGAAGGATCCTGCAGCTGCAGCTGCTAGAGCAGCGGCGGCCAAGCCTGGCAGCCACAATACTACAGATAATAACAACAGCGGCAGTAAACATAGTAGCAACAGCGGTGTCGAGCGCACCCACAGCCCAAACGATGGTAGCGAAAAGGAGAAGAAGAGTTTGGGAGACAAGATCAAGGCAAAGTTACACCGTCACTAGAAGAGGTCAGGATAAACACGGACTTTTCGCAACCTCTTTACACGTTTCAATGTTTTAACAACAGTGTTGCACAGGAATGATGCCGGAATCTGACGTTATGACAGCCTTTTATCACAACTGTATCTGCAAATAAAATTCTAATGCCCTACTGTCACCTTGAAGCCTTTTTTCTGACCCTTTATTTGACATCACCATCATCCCTACGATTCTCCCTACGCCTGTACATAATTCCACTGTTTGTGTATGTGTGATGTGACACAATTAGAGAAAGATGTTTCTCAGCATAGTTGCCTGATTCAAGTTTCTTATTGAAACATTTGACTTGCAACTCTCATGCTCTCTGACAGAGGCGATCTCTTGGCCTATGCACTTTCCCGTCCCATACATCCGTCTTCCACTTCTTGCAGACCGGTTTAGCTTAAATCAGACCTTTGAGCGAGCAATTCTCTACCTCCCTAAAGGGTCATGACCAGCCTGCATTGATTGTATAGACAAGGCTAACTACCCATCAAAGGCTGTCGCGTGCTTCTCAGTCTTTACAGGCTCGTTTGTACATCTCTTCATCTCTTTCAAAAGTCGTCCACGCCCTTTGTGTGCCAATGTGTCAGTTCTCGTGAGAGCTTGATTTGTACCAGGCTTGGTTCAAAGTGATTATTTTGGCATAGCAAAGCAAACGTATTTTCACGTTAAGCTTCATGGAAAAATTCATCCTTTGTGAGATGGAGGTGAAGAATGCCCTTGTTGACGGGTTACCCTGTGTAAATGCTGCGTCTTCATAGTCTCAGTACTTTTGGCAGGCCATAATTATCCACTGTCTGAAGAGTGTTCAGTGTTCTTGATGGTAGCAAATGAAAGTTCACCAGTCTCTTATGCTGCTGGACCATCAAACAAAGTGCGCCCACATTTGCGGCGCAAAGAGACACCAGCCCCCGACTGCACAGCACGCATCTCAGCGACTCAGACACAATCTACGTCGAATCGAGATCTGCGTCGCTGATAAAAACGTTATATTGTCCTTGTCGTAGTCTTGACAATTTTGTTTTCGTGATGGAGCAGTCGAATATCTCCAAATAACCTGTTAACAGAGGGAGTATCCAGTATGACTTTGTCCCAGAAAACCGTACATAAAGATTTGTTCACATATCTTCTTCATCCCGTCGGATCGTCTTCCCTGTCCTCCGTGTCCTTCCTGTCTTTCCTATCCTTCCCCGCCTGATAATTCATCATCGACCCTACCCCCGTTTCCCGTGGCCATCATTGATAGAATGGGTATCCGTTCTGACCATATCAATTCCATTTTTAGAAGTAACCAGCACACAGTTGTGCGATTTCTACCCTATTTGTCGACGTTGTACCACTTTTCGCTCACTTGATGATCGCATTTTGGTTGAAGCCGCTCATCGTTCCCTTCTATTAGGCGCCGTCAGGCTGCGAATGCTTCGAACCTCCGGTTGAGGTCATCAGACGCGCGATTCACATAACGTGTCCAGGTGCTAACTCCCTTCACGACTCCGGTGGACTCAATCGCAGGGCGTAGGTTGCTGATGGTTCTTTGGCATGGATCATGTCGAATCAATTCTTAAGTCAACCCACCATTTGAGAACTACCTGCATGGATGTGTGCATTGCGATGCGTCTCCATCCCAGCAACTGTCGTTCATAGGAAACCTGACTCGGCAAGAACCCTGTACCATAACCAAGTAGAGTAAGCCTATGTGTCCCATTGTAAAGTAAAGGAATGTTAATAGAAAAGGAAATTGAGTGCGTGAAGATGCCGCTGAGTGGGCAGTTCTTATGCTTGCATAATGAGGCTGACGACCTCTAGTTCTAAAACGGAACTTCCCCAAGTGATCTAGGTAGATCTCTGAGTGTCACGTACCTCACGATTTTCTCGTCTTCTCGCTCGCGTGGCTCTACCTGCAAGCTCTTGTCATACATCTCATGCACATCACCAGCAGCTTGCATGTTGCTGATTATATAGTCCTGTAGCTCAGGGACAGGTTGTAACGAGTATCCAACAGCCTGGTACTGTTGGATATCACGAATTACTTCGGCAGTCTTTGCTCTCTTAGCAAAGTTAATGAGGTTGGTCTTTTTTATAACGGATGGGATACCGTCTTCGATAAAGGTCAAATCAGTCAGGTAAACACCTTTATATCCAAGGTCAGTTTTCTCTTGCCAATGTCACAAATGTGGTGGTATTAAGCGACCGAGGGCACGCACCAAAGAAAGGAATACAGGGCGGGTTCGCAACATGGAGCGCCTCCCTGTATTCACCAAAGTTTTTCGTGCTAGCCATAAGCTTCCTCATGGTTTCCAAGACGCCTTGGGTCCGTTGTGGCACTTGGTCCCAGGTGCGCTTTAAACGAGCAATTGGTGCCGTTCCAAGTGCCGATATGATTGAAGTTAGTGTAGAGAAGTTGTTTAAACTCCGGCATTTCTGTAAGCCGTCAGTAAAGCCCAAGTTGCAAAGATAACATTTTACATACATCTGCAACAGCCACAAAGTGTTTAATAACAATGACACGCTTCTTCACATCCATCTGTGCTAGGATCATCTCGGCTACCCAGTTCGTCATTTGATTCGAGTGCAAGATGAGGGCCTTGACGTTCGGTGCAGGCTCCGGCTCTCCTTCACCGACTTTCTTCTGCCAAGTCTTGTTCAGGCATTCGGTTGGCTTGATCTTGCCATAAAGCCGAGACTCGATAATCGTGAGCTGGCGTGCAAACTCTGTCACATCAATGTCCAGGAACTTCAGCTTCTTCATGTTCCTGGGCATGATGGGTGACGGCGTGTTCTGGTTGAGTGTCTGGACCATACGTCGTGCTCCAGCTTCTTTGCCGCTTAGGCGTTGGTCCAACACCGTCATCAGGGGGCCAGAACCTGGAGTCTCCGTGGACTTAACAGTGTCTCTTGCAAAAGTGTAAACGTCTCGGATCAGCTGCTTCGACTCTTCATTATGGTCTTCCATCCAAAAGTTATCAAACCAACTCTTCAGAATATTAACGACGCGGAAGCGGATGAGCTTCTGTTTTCTATCTCGCCATGCCTCAAAGTCAGATTGCGATAAGCCTTCAGGCGGCTGGATACCGAATCGGTTCACAAGAAGCTTGAAAAGATCTTGAGCCGTTGTGAACGACCTGTAAGTTAGAAGGAAGGTATTGTTGAAGTTGGAGTCAAGTTTATCATGCCGAGTCAGTTGTTCAACGAGAGCCTCCAGAGTGCCACCTTTGACGATCGGCGGCTGGATCTTGCCGTCCCAGGAGAGGTCAGCCTCGTGATCCAGTTTGAGAAACTCAGGAGTATCGTCCACAGGTGGCAAGTTGCTTTGGGGATTTGGGTCGTCGCCCAAAATCTTCTTAACCTTAGAGTAGTCGCCTCCGCGGAAGTTCCCAGTGCCATCTCCTTCCGTAAAAGATTGAGAAGTGATCATTGGGGGTCGAGCTGGAGTAGTCCGTGATTCCGTGCGCTGATGAGGTCGATCGTAAGGCATGGTCTCACCTCTCCGGAGCTGTTCGCGTTGCAAGGCATCCTCTCTTTGCCGCGACTCGGCTTGCTGCTGCAGGTTGATCTGTACTTGCTCAGATAACAGTTGTAAAGAAAAGCCAATGTGTGATGAGTTGGTCTCAAGTGCTTTGGCACATTGACGGACATAGTCCATGCGGTTCTCCAAAGCTTCGCCTCGTACTTCGGCCCATTCATCTGCCAATGGTCCGGCCACAGCCTGACAGCCTAAGACAAGATCAGACATATTGTCGTAAAGGCTTTGCTTGTTAGCGCTAAAGTCCGCCAACTGAGGCGTCTGGAAGCTGTTTCCCAAAGATGAGAGGTCGATGGACTCGATCAAAGCGATCCACGGCTTGAACATCTCCAAGACTTTACCACCTGCCAAGCAGACATTGTTGCCAATCACTTCATGCTTGAAAGGCGTGATGATTTTATCCGCGACAATCAAGTTCTTGTCCAGTTCCCGGATACTGAAGACAAGCATCCTCTTTAGTTCATCCAGCCTTTCGAGTAATTTGCCATCTAAAATTGCTGTAGGCTCAACAACGCCTTCTTCGTCTTCCAGGAAGTTGGCCGTGATGGGGTCGCGAGGCCCTAGGCCGTTGTTCTGCCAACTGCCGCCAGTAGAACTACCAATGACAAACCCAGGGAATAGACGAGGGATTTCCTCTCCTCTCTGCTGCCGTGCGATCTCCACATAACTGAAGACGCCGAGCAAGACGCCGTCAGCTTCTTGCAGACATTTTTGTACCGACTCAGCGTTGGGCCAATCGGCAGCAGCAATGTGTGAAGAGATTACGAGTTTCGAGAACTTGGACATCATATCTCTAAAGTGAGGATAAAGTGCCTTATTAGTTGAGATGATAGAAGGTTGACCAGAGTGATTGTCTGTTGTCCCAGATCCAGCGGCAAGCAGCAACCTTAGATGATCTGAAATGTCCTCCGCCCGCGCAACATACTCGGAGCGGTTATTGCTAGTGATGGCATCGCGGTAACGATCTACGGCCTTCCGCATATTAGAGACTAAGCGTGTCCAGGTCAATGGAGGTGCCGAGCCGTCATCAAAGAATGAGCGAGGCACGGTACTGGTCGGAGGCGTGTTGTAGGATGTGCTTGTAAACGAGGTCGCGGATGCAATCATTGGTGTCGTACCCGGCGCTAGGTTTGGATTGACGTACGTATCGTTCTTCGTTCTAGAAATTTGCGCAATACCGTTCATGGAGTCCATTGAGGTGGATGGTGAAAGCATGTCGTTGTTGGACCGGCGGCTACGGGGCTGTATCGAACATTGTCGAAATCAGTCACGGAACACAATCATAGGAACATGGAGCCTTGGGAGACAGGGGCAGAATTGTCTTACCAAAGATCCACGAGAAGTCATCATGAGAGATTCTCCCTCGAGCTCAGACGCCGAATTTACTTCAGAGTCCTCATCCTCGTCTTGCGTCAGTCCTCGAGCCATCATCTCGGGAGGCGGGCGTGTCTTTTCCGGAACATTCACATTCATCCTGTTGCGCGGGCCAGTCTCGTTAGTGGAAACAGGTGACTCGAGTGGCAGCTCCATGCTTCGATCGCCTGTCATCATATTGTAGTAGAAGAGACGACCGTCAGGGGTTGCTTGTGGAATCCAGAAATCGGCCCTCGACTTGTCGCTGAGGTCGGTGCCCTCGAGTGGGAGGGCGTTATTGAGATCGTCCAACTCCGACCCGTCATCTTCCTCAAGCTGCTCGTCATAGATTTCTTGTTCATCAGGGTCGTCGTCAACGTGGTCGATGTCGCCATTTTGGTCATGGTCAGGAATTTCGTCGGAGCTTGTGATAATTTGACAGTAATTGCTTGGAAACCAGCCGCGCACGCCGTTGATAACGCCGTCCCACCAACCACTTTCCAACTGTGTGATGACCTGAATGACGTCTCCTTCGTGAAAGCTAAGACTTGTACGGTCGTCGGCCTCGTAGTCGTACAGGGCTCGGACGTACATGGTGCCCGGCGGGGCAGTCCCCGCAATCCCGTTCATGAGGGAGGAGGCGGCGATGGTCTGGGAGTAAGATGAGTAGGGTTGGCCGACGTTGGATTCGTCCAACGTCGGTTGTGAGGGATGGTGAGTGCTGGATTCGAAGTTGAGATTTTCGCGCGAAGGCTTCTTTCGAGAATTATACGTGTTACTCTTCTGACCCTGAACTAGTGCCGGCACTGCAGTCTGTGTCATCAGCATGATGAGGCGGTCGCGCTGATAACCCAAGGAGGGGTAAGAAGGGTCAAGTCATGATCTGGGCAGGTGCGTTCTGCTCAGTTCAGCCTCGCCCAGTCGTGGAAAGGGTCGTCAATCGTCAAGCCAAAAAGTCGCAAGGAAAAAAGGATGTGTGTGCAGGTCGGGGCGACGAGTTGTTGAGAGAATCAGGAATCGAACCCACAATCGAGGAGTCGCAGGTTCGAGCAGGGGGTTGCGGGGGCGACGTTCTCGTCTACCAAGCAGGCAAGCGGCCTAGCTGTGTGTGTGTGTGTGTGTGTGTGCGCGCGCCCGTGCCTGTGGCCGTATCGACAAAGATTCCGTTTTGGCGCTGGCACAGTCGCGGGGAAACTCGAGCAAGTCGTTCGCGATGAAGAAAGATGACTGGTGGGATGAGCAATGCAGTCGGCGGGTAAAGTTGTGTGGATTATTGACGACAATTCGCTGATTTTTCGCGTCGTGGGCGCTGGGCGGGAGGGGGTGAGGAGAAAGGAGCAGAACCAGGAGAGGGTCGCCTGATGAGGGAAGTCCCCCTCACGGCAAAGACCAACAGAGAGACGGAGTTGTGTCGACGATGTCTAGGAACTAGGGGGCTAGACGGTAAGACACCAGGGTAAGATAGTCGCTTTGTCTACTACTGATAATGACGGTGCGTATTGGGGTCTTGATGCGCCCGGTGTCTGCCTCGAACGTGCTGGAGACGATACGTCTTGAAGCGACTGTCTGTCGTCTTTTCACGGCTATGGTTGTCGTCGAAGCGCAGTGCGAGACGGTTGGCCGTCGTAGTATTGCTGAGGCTAGCGACCGAAGCGAAGCAAAGCAAAGAGTACGAAGGTCGGTAGCAGTGATGAGACCTCCTCAGCAGGGGCGAAAGCAACAGTGGCAGGTCAGAGTGGTAGTGGCAGCGGGAACGGTGCCTCGTTGGGCATGACCGAGACTACGATGGCTGTCCCTCTCAGGGTCTTTTGCGTGCCGCTGGCACACAGTCTTGCAGGCTCAGCAACCGACAAAGGTGCTGTGGCAAGGAATACCTCCATCTGCGGAAGGCTTACGGCGTTGAATTGTAGCCATAATGGCAAGTGGACTCCTTGTCGTTGTTCCAGGGCCCTGCTGTCCTCCCCTAAGAGCGGGCCTATATCCCCTACTCGCCATCTTACTGGCTAGCTCCGCCATTCTTTGAGGAAACAATACACAGAGTGCGCGAATTGGGGTCAGGTATCTTGCCTGGGGTAACCCAACTCGGTACAGCACCACACTTTACAGCATACCGGATGTCACACACAGGCCCATTGCCCAGCTTGAAAAGTGCTGGGCATGTATGATTTCGCACACACTCGGAACAACTGTGATGGGCAATCCAGGCGTCGGGGAAGGAAGCAATGGTAATCCGTCGGCTGGGTCTCAACTCAAACTAGTATGCGCCCGCATCTCGGACGATAAAATCTTTTCTGCTCCTGCTGCAAGTTTGTCTGTTGGGGCTTATCTGGCTGCATGAGAGATATTCTCAATCTTGGTAAGCCGACGTGAAAGCGTTCTCTGCAACCGTGGGAAACTTGTTGGTCCGAGACATGCGGCCCATCACCCACCCTCTTGACTGTCGCCTTCGGTACGGGTAGCCCAACACACCAAATACTCAAAGTGTTCGAGGTCGCTGTGACGAACACTGTGAGATGAGAGGGGACGGAGGGGGGAACATTAACCTCGAGCAGGGGCCGCCTTACACCGGTGTGGAGCCGGGCAAAGCTGAGGCTGCAAAGTGGCGCTTTGCGCACTGTCCTTGCTACGCACCTGGGTGACAAAAAAAAGGCGCAGCTGTTCATTCATTCATTCACTTTTCAAAGCGTCTCTACCTTTACAATCAGAAACAACACAATTATAATGACAGCGAAGAAAGCCGGAGAACCATTTTGTACTCTATGAAAAGTATGATGGCGTTTCTTTTATCTTCTTTTTATTTATTTTTTCCCTCGTGGTATGGCAAGCTCATAGATAAGGCACTGGCGAGGTGCAGCAGCACCAAAAAGTGTACCACTGTCCTTTTGATCACATAGGTGGTGATGAACCAATGATGGCTAACGACTACAGTGTGGGACAGTGCACTAAGAGCAGTTCAGGCTCGCTAATTTTTACCCACAATCCCACGCCTCTGTCTCCGTTCTCTGAGGTACTCTTGCCTGAACCAGCCGCCCCCTCCCTAATTTTCGTCGATGAAATACTACATACTCGCGGTACAGCGTTACCTTCTTTTTTTTTTTTTTTTTGGTCGCTTGAGCAACAGCATCCTTCAGCTCCGAACCAGAGAGACTTCGTGCCATTCGTCTTGTTGTTCCCCGCCACCTGAGGCAGCACCCCTCCGGACGACACCACCACACAGACACAAGCTACTTCAGATCAGCCAACCTCACTGTCGACAGAACTCCTCCTCACTTTCGGCTGCAATTGTAACTTTTATCTGGTTGATTACCCGTCACGTTTCCCGACGGCTCGTCAAACATCCGCACCTGATCGGGCGTAGCAGAAGCGGACTGTCGCATTGCAAGTCAACCAGCTTGGCTGCTCCGATTTCTTCTCCAGCCCAACTCCGCGCTCTTCCTGCACTCGCTTTGTCAGATGTGGCTGGTTCTATATGTAGCCCGGGAAGCCTTTGGACGAAATGGCGTGAGTCAAGGTCGGCGGCCATCGCCTGGAAATGCAATGAGATCATGTCGCCATGTCTAAGAAAGCCGTTACAACTTATCTGTCCACAGGCACGCCGATGCACTTTGATGCGATTCGATCCGATTGATCCTCAAGGCCTTGCTGACTTTCACTCAAGACAGCTAATTTCTTCGGCACGTGTGGAGAGGCGGCGTGTTTGTATGAGCTGCTCCCGAGGCTAGTGGTCGAGCCCTTAGTGGTTTGCTAGGCAGCATTTGCGCCACCAGTTCCGTCACGACCACAAGCGGTCGGTGATTGCTTGTCTGCTTGTGTGGTACCGACCTTGGCCTGCTTTTGACCTGGCGCAATCCCTTCTCGTTGAGCTTTGGTCGGCTTCTAGACCACTACCTAATGGCACACACCGAAAATGACGAAACGGATGTGCTATCGTACATCCACGCACTAAGCATAGACCGGGCTTCGGCCTCAAGGTAAAATAAGGGTGCACTCATTGTTTCCTCTTTCGTTGGACGAGGCAATGCTCTCTAACAGAACCATACTCCATGCCAGGTCTGGACAAGCACACCAATTGGTGAGGGAGGTCCAGGTGCCTCCTAATATCAGGCCATCAACTGTTAAAATTGGTTTCGGATTGTGATTCGCTCGTGAGCCCGACGCTTGCCCGAGGCCCTGCCCGCCGGTGACAGTCCAACGTGCTTTCCAGCAAAATGCCCAGCATATTGAGTAATGGTAGCTGACAATGGAAATAGACATCGATGTATTAAAAACTTGGCTGGCAAACCTGCCACTCAAGGTGGTGATCGTCAGGGGCGAGCAACCAGCCGCCTCCCACTTGGGTTGCTGATCGGCTCACCAATTATGTACAGTACTCGCAGACGTGATTACAGCAAACCGCGTAATTGGATCCAGTCGATCAGATTGTTTCCACCATGTCAAATACCGAAAGAAAGAGACAGAGAAAACGGCACCTGCAGGACATACAGCACTCCCTGTTCAACCCGTCTTTTACAGTGGTACGGAGTACAGATAACATACCGAGAAATAACACGATAGTCCATGCGCTAGATCGTGCACACGAGATGTTGAAGCCCACTTCAAGGGCCTCACGTGCAAGAACAATAGCGGTATCTGAGATTGTCAATCTATCGAGTCGTGAGTCAGGTATACTGTTGGCAACCGCAACTGTCTAAAGCAAGATCCATGAGGCGAGAACGGTGTGAAAAATGCCCACTACTTGGGAGCAATCGGGACCTACGGATGACGGAGGAGCCCAGTCTTGCCAGTGTTTGGAAATTCTGAAGCAACCCTTCAACATGCCATGCCATTAATTAGACCATCTCCACCAAACCAGTTCCAGCAAGCACCCTGGTAAGTGGAGTGCTGCTAACGGGGAACCGGTTGACCGGAACCGTGCCGCGGTGAAGTGGCCCCAACCCCTCCTCCAGTGCTCAGGCGTGGAGGTGCCTCAGTAGCGGTATCTGTTAGCCTGCCCCGTTTTGCAGAGGTACTTCCGAAGTAATGACTCTCGTTTAATTTTTTTTTGCTCTTCTCTTGTTCGCTGTTGGCATATTGTCTCTGTCCCATCCCGTCTGCCCCTCTCCTGTGTGTGAATGAACGGTGTGTCTAACGCTGTTGCAACATGCTGGTTGGCATTGTCCAGTTGTGGGATACCCAGGCTATAACAGAGCCGCATTTTGAGAGGACGAGACGAAGCGTCCATCCTCAAGGAAGTGATGGGACCAGTTCCAAGCATTAAAAGGTCACTGTAACATGGACTTTAGGCTGCTGTCGAGTCAGCAAGGCGCTGGCGTTGCGTTCATTTGCGAAGTCGCCAAACTCTGCCCTGTGCCATCTCTCAGATTCAATTTTTGAGGAGCACCAAATGCTCGGGTTATTCTGGGGCCTGACAATCCCGTGTTCCTTTCGTTGCCCCAGTCGAGGACTGGTTCTGGGTCGTCTTCCGGCGTTCGCTTGAGTGGGCTCCCAGATAGCCTGGTTCATGGCGGAGACATGTCCTGAATTAAGTTGTCCATGGACCCATATATCCCACGAGGGGCCAACTTACGGATGTTGGAAGGAGTGCCGGGCTGGGGTGCAGATTAATAGTGTACAAGAAGTAAAGCGTGCGCTGGGCGGGTATCATCAATTGTGGTCGCTCATTGGCGTGAAAGACTGAGGAGATAGCTGGGGGTATTATTGCGCCGCTGTCACTGCAATGCGACAGCGACACCCTAAACCCAAACGTTGGCGGGTAGGCGCAACGATCTGCGTGTGTGGTATCGTAGTGTAGCTTGTAGCGCCTGGTGATTCGACATATGACAGGAGGT